TGTGTATTAATAAAACGTTTGACTACATCTGCTACAGTTTCATGGCTTCATGTGACAGCACCCATTAGAATGATTATAGTTAAAGCAGACTTCACTGCTCTATATTTCTGAGTGGTCTTCCTTGTATATAATATCCTACTTTTTTTTTTTTTTTAAATTGACAATTTTTATTGTTTCGTGCGGTGGGGGTACAGAAAGGAAGAAGGAGGGAGGGTAGGGGGGAAGGGTGGACAGATTTCATCAATACATATTAACATATTAACAACTCTCATTCAGTTGACCATGAGTATTCAGGCTACTTATACCGTTCGTAGACGGTTTGTGACCAGAAACCTTGTCTTGCACCTTTTGTGTGTCAGAGCGGGATGGGTGTGCTCCCCACTCGATCCCTTATGGGAACTAACAGGAGGGGTCTCATCCTCGCTCTCTATTCTCGCACCTCTTGCGCTGTTTCCCACTGATGTGCGAGGCGCTTCTGCTTTTATGTGGTTTGTACATACAGTATCATTGGTAGGTTACATTTACGTTTCTCTATCACCCGATCTCCATGAGTTCCACATCTCCCATGCTGCTTGTGTGGTGTTGGATGGGGGGAACAATGTTTTGAAGCTCGTTTCAAACGTTCTTTGTGTGTCCAGGTCCTCAATGACCCGTTTCATACCAGGGGTAGTTGTTTGTTTCCAGTGTTGAGCAATTAAGCGCTGTGCTGTCAACATTATATGTAACAGGAGTTTTTGCTTGGCTCTTGGTAAGCTTTTTGGGAGGTCGGTTATTAACATCTGACGGGGCGCAAAAGGAATAGAGCAGCCAGACGCCGCTTGTGCGATTTTATGGATCCCCGCCCAGAAAGTCTGGATGCGGGGGCACGTCCACCAGACGTGCAGGACCGTGCCCTCAGCCCCATTGCAGCGCCAGCATGTATTAGAAGTGGCAGGAAATAGTTTGTGCAGCCTGCACGGTACCATGTACCATCTATATAATGTTTTATGGCTTTGCTCCAGATGGGCGGCTGATTTGATCAGGAGCCTGGGCAGACGGAATATGCGCTCCCAGTCTTTGCTCAGGAGGGAGCAGTTTAGGTCCGCTTCCCACATTTGTGCTGTTTTTGAGGCAGCGAAGGGTAGATGGCGTGACAGGAGCTTGTAACTCATGGAGATCGGTTTACATGCAATGGGTAGTAGTCCCTTAATAAGCATTAACTCCCACCCGTTGGGGTTTCTGGGGTCAAATTGGACCCAGCATCTCTACAGTAGTGTTTGGTCAGAAACGACCGTAGTTGGATATAGGAGTAGTGTGAAGTAGGAGGCAGTGAGTATCGGATTTGCATCTCTTCAAAGCTAAGCATTTTGCCCTGATTGTACAGATGTGTCAGGTGGGTGACCCCCCGGGTCTGCCATGGTATGGCGTGGAAAGTGGGGATGCAATATGTGAAAGACTTTATCGGTGTTGCCAGGGAGAACCCCTTGTGGCCGCTAAACAGTGTCGCATTTTTGTCCCAGAGCCGTAAGAGTAAAGTAGTCGAGTGTGGTGCTAGGGGCCATTGCGGTCTGTACTTTTTTGGTATCCATATCACATCGGCCAGTGTGTGAGGGGCCACCAACTCTCGTTCTAGGTGTACCCACTGCGGTGGTGGTGTCTGGAGGAAATGTGGGAGGGCAGTGGCGATAACAGTTGCGTGGTAATACGTGTGTACATTAGGCAGTGCTAGGCCACCGTCTCGTTTGGGTGCGTTTAGTAAATTCTGTGCCACTCTGGGTTTGCTCCCCTTCCATACAAATTGATTTATATCTGATTGGACCGTTTTAAGGAAGGATCTGGGGAGTTCTATTGGTAGGGTACGAAACAGGTAGAGCAACCTAGGGAGGATTGACATTTTGATCGTTATAATTCTTTCGGTCCAAGACAGATATAGTGGTGACCATTTTTTGAGCAAGTTACGGCAGTTGTTCCATGTGGACACATAGTTTGCCGCGAATAGTGCAGTGTGGGCCTTCGTGTATGTAATCCCTAGATATGTGATAGTATTAGACCTCCATTCGAACGTATATTCCCGTTGGAGTTGTGTGGTAAGTTTGGTCGGTAGGGATATGCCTAGTGCTTGGGTCTTGGATGTATTGAGGGAGTAGTAGGACACCCTCCCATATTCCTTTATCAGTTGCATAACTGCTGGGAGTGTGGTGTGGAGATGTGTCAGGTAGAGTAGAATGTCATCTGCAAAAGCTCCTACTTTAACCACTTTGTGTCCTATCTTAACCCCATGGATTTCCTCATTTGCTCTGATCTCTTCCAACAAAGGTTCCAGGGCCAGGACGTACAGCAATGGGGAGAGTGGGCACCCTTGCCTCGTCCCATTTGTGATCTGAAAGGGAGAGGAGAGGAATCCCGACTGGAGCACTTGCGCCGAAGGATTCGCATAGAGTGCGAATATTTGTCGGCACACCTGGAGCGGGACTCCATATGCCTCCAATACTCCTTGGAGGAAGGGCCAGCCCAGGCGGTCGAACGCCTTTTCGGCATCCAGCGCTAGCAGGAGACCGCCCTCTCTGGCCCCCCTGAGCTGCTGGAGGACCACCGACAGTTTCCGAGTGTTGTCCAGGCCTTGTCTACCTTTTACGAAGCCTGTTTGGTCGTCTTTGATAAGGGAGGGTAGTATGGGGGCAAACCGGTTTGCCAGGATTTTTGCATACAGTTTAGCATCTGTGTTGAGCAGGGAGATGGGGCGGAAGTTTTTGCATTGGTCAGTCGGTTTTCCGGGTTTCGGTAGAGTCACTATAGTGGCTCGCAGCATTTCTGCCGGCAGTGCTCCCCTCTCCATTGCCTGATGGAAGGTTTCCAGCAGGTGTGGTGCCAATGTTTGGGCATACTTTTTGTAATAGAGGTTTGAGAGCCCATCTGCTCCGGGGGACTTGCCATTCGGTAACTCTTTGATAGTGTCTAATATCTCTTTCACCGTGAGGGGGCATGTCAGGGTTTCGACTTGGCTACTCGATAGTTGGGGCAGTTTGATGCGGGCAAGAAATGCTTTTACCTCATCTACAGTGGGGGTATGTGTATTGGGGTCGTCCCTCAAGTTATACAGTTTGGAATAGAATGTGGCGAACGCGTCACCAATCTCTTGGGGTCCTAGCCTTTTTGTCCCATCTTCCCCCATTATGTGCGCTATCCTATTAGTTGCCAGTTTATCTCGCAGTCTTGCTGCCAGGTACTTGTTGGCTTTCCCCCCCGAGTGATAGGTAGTCGCTTTCAGTCTGTTTAATAAGTACTCAGTTTTCGTTGCATTTAGTGCATGTAGTTTACGGTAGGCCTGCTGGAGTTCCGCAGCCAGAACCTTATTTGGGTTGGTTTTATTTCTAGCTGTCAGTGTTGCTATTTGTTCGTGACATCGGAGTAGATCTTCCTGTCTCTGTCTTTTTAGGTGTGCGGCCCTCTTAATGAATAGGCCACGGATAACCGCTTTATGTGCTAGCCAAACCGAGGTTTCCGATACCTCTCCCCCACTATTCAGACGGAAGAAGTGTTCTAGTTCGTCATTTATAAGTGTAGCAAAGGAGTCGTCAGATAGTAGCGACTCATTGAGCCTCCAGTTCCCTCGCCCCTTGAATTGGAACGCGTCGTGTAGCGTGAGATAAATTGGGCTGTGATCTGACCAAGCAAATAAGCCTATTTTACAATCCACCATTTGGGCCAGAGACCTGCTATCTACTAGGAATGTGTCTATGCGGGAATAGGTGTTATGCACCGCGGAGTGGAATGTGTAGTCCCTCTCCGTGGGATGTGTGACCCTCCAGCCATCGTACAGGCCGTGTTTTGAGATCAGGGTGGTGAGCCTTTTGCATGTGTTGGATAGGCGTCTACCCCTATTACGGGATGGTGTAGCTGATGTGTCCAGTTGTGGTGACTGGATGAAGTTAAAATCCCCGCACAGAATCAGGCCTCCCTGTCGGTGGTCCTCCACAGTCTGGAGAAGTTTGTTTAAGAAATTTGTCGAGTCGGAGTTGGGAAAATAGGCCGTAACTAGTGTGTATTGTGTGGCATTAAAAAGGCCCACTAATATAATAAACCTCCCTTGCGGGTCAATGTATTGGCTCTGGACCTCCATAGCTATGTCTCTGCTGATGAGGATTGACACCCCTTTTGTTTTGTTGGCGTGGAATTGAGTAGGATAGTGTTTAGCGAATAACTTTGGTTCCGTGGAGGACTTAAAGTGAGTTTCTTGGATGCACGCTATATCTATATGTTGTTGTCTGAGCGTCTGAAATAGTAGGCTTCTTTTAGTCGGGGAGTTAAGCCCCTTCACGTTATAGGAGACTATTTTCATAATAGAGTGTTAGATTTTGAGTGGGTGGTGACTCCTGGCTCCCATAGTGAGAGCACCTATGTAGACGTGTGATGGACAGCATGCAGTACATATTATCACAGTACATATCAATAAGAGTTGTGGTGAGGAACACAGTGTTGTAGTTGATCGAAATCCAACTTGGTGGGGGGAGAGGGGTGGGAGTAGAAAAAACAAGGGGGAACATTTAAGAACAAGTTACAAAGAGCTCAAGTCTCTTGAGCTGTAATGTGCTCAGTATAACTGGGCACAAATAGTGGGTGACGTGGCTGTAGGTCAGTTTGATGTGGTAATGACCTTGATTGGGGGAGGTGATAAGGAGTCGCTCAGAGGGGACCATGGAGTGGTAGTGGCACGGGAGTATTGGGTTGTGAGAGACTCTGCTGCAGGATGCTCAACCACTTTGTGTCAATGCCCTGCTCTGTCTGTGCTCTGTTAACCGGAGCAGGTGTGGAGTTTTGGGGTATGAATGCTATTGGGCAGCGCCTATTCTAGCCGTCAACTAAATGCTGTTGCAGTGTTATGCATAGTAAGTGGTGCACACAACAATAAGCATTATACAAGCCTATTTCAGGGTAGCAAATGAGCGATGACACAACATTAAAATTAAAATGGTTAGTAAAACAGTGGTCAGCAATCATGCAGCGTATACTCAGCCTTCACGTTAGGCTCTGGACCAGTCCACCGACAGTCTTGGTATCTTTTTCGCGGGTTGCACCGGTACATCCGGTTTGGGGAGCCCCCAGTCTTCCAGCTTCTTCAAGCCTTCCTCCACTGACGTGATAGGGTGATTGGAGTTGTCGTGGTGGACGATAAGTTTCGCTGGGAAGCCCCACCGATACGGAACCTCCTGCGCTCTCAGTGCGGTGGTGATAGGAGCGAGTGACTTGCGGAATTGGAGTGTGTGCGCTGACAAGTCCGCGAAAATCTTCAGGTTTTCGTATTGGGAGGGTAGGTTATCTTTTCTAGCAGCTTTAACAATCTTCTCCTTGATGTGGAAGAAATGCACTCTGGTGATTACATCTCTGGCCGTTGAAGTAGGCAGATGCTGGGGTCTCCTGAGTCTGTGCGTTCTGTCCAGAACTACTTGATCCGGGTGGACCTCTGGAATCAGCTCTAGGAAAAAGGCCTGGAGGTAACTGTGTAGGGCTTCATTTGTGATTGATTCAGGAATACCTCTGATGCGCAGATTATTCCTCCTGGATCTATCCTCCAGGTCAGCAAGTTTCAGGTTTTGTTCTTGGATTAGTTGCTGCATCTGGTGTAGCTGGTCAGCCATGCTGTTGTGAGCGGAGGCATGTTTGCTGACTGCATTCTCTATATGTGATGTGCGTAGGCCCAGGTCCTGTATATCTCTCTTAAGCTCACCTGCCAGTGATTTGAGCTGCCCCTCGATGGTGCTTTGGATCTGCATTGTGAAGTCTGCCATAAAGGACTTCATTGTGGCCAGTGTGAGGGGACTGTCCTCCAGTAGTGAGGTGGGTGAGGAGGGAGGAGATGGAGAAACTTCCCTGGATCCGTGGCCGCCGCCATCTTGGGTTTCCTCGCGGCCTTGTTTCCCATGCGCGGCTTTTGCCATGAAGAACAGTGTTTTGTCGGCTTTCGCCGGTCTTTTGGCGGATCTGTGGGACATGGCACCGTTTTCCTCTCGGTTCGTGCCGAGATTAATTGTTGCAGCCCGGTTATTTTTTCCCCTGTATCTTGCGGCTCCCCGGAGCTCTAGCAGAGCACGTCCATGCGGCCATATCCTACTTTTTTTTATCAGCAATACTACACTATATGATTTTTCTATTTGTCACTTCACTGAAATTAGCTGGTATTGTACTTACCTGTTTGACATTTTTTTTTGTGCAGCAATTGGAAGCACTTAATTGTGATTTTGCACACTATTGGATTGCACTTTATTCTTTAGCAGTTTTTTTGCATATCGCACTTTGGTACTATACTTGTTTAACCCCTTAAGGATCAAACTTCTGGAATAAAAGGGAATCATGACATGTCACACAAGTCATGTGTCCTTAAGGGGTTAATGGCATTGCACTTAAATATTGAGGTACTTACTCAATATTACAACAGTCCTAAAAACACAGCGCACTTTTTATTTTGTTGTGTTTCTGAGCTAATACACTAAGGTGCAGTTTTTAAATATTTTTTTTCAGCGCCATATTTCCTTTGTTTTATGTACACAGTAGCCACTATGTATTGTAGGTAGCATTCCATTGACATCCACCACACACAGTTTGTTCCACTGCCAGAAAGGTAAGCATAATTTATCACTCCAAAGAATACATTTCCACTGCCCGGAGTGTTGGCGTGCAATATATAATCAAAAAAGTGCTCTGTGCACCAAAGGCGCCTAAAGATTGTATATACAAAAAATTAGATAGCCCCTACACACTGTTGTGGGTTGTTCTCCTTCCCGCCTATTCAATCCAAAGACAAAAATGTAGGGTAATGAAGGTAAAGTGACCTCCACCAACAAATCCCCTATTGGAGTGCCTAATAGAATACAAACTCATCCTTCACTCCAGCCGACAGTTGGTATGTTTGATGGGAGCCTTGTGTACTGCTGCTCTGCCATGGAAACCCATTTTATTATGTTCCCAATGCACAGGTCTGGTACTGATTTGGCTTCCAGAAGCAGTGACGAGCTGTGCGTGATGCAACAGCTGATAGGCGAGTTTTCCTCGCTAGGTGCTTTGGCACTCAGTGGCCCTGCTCTGTGAGTATGCACGGGCTTTGTGGCTCTGCTGTTGCTGTTTGACTTAACAAATATAGCACTTACAGTTGACATTGAGATCTAGTAAAGCAGAAATTTCCCAAGCTGGCTTGTGACAAAGGTGACATCCTATGACAGTCCACGTTTAGAGTCACTGAGCTCTTCAATTTGACCCAATGTGCTACCAACAAATGTCTATGGAGATTTTATTCACCTATTAGCAATAAGTGAGGTTGAAACAACTGAAATAAATAATTAGTAGGAGTGTCCACATACTTTTGGCCATATAGTGTAGCAGAATCCGGCCTGCCAACTATTTTTCTAAAAAGAAAGGCTATGAATAATGGAAAAACACAGTTCCTGGATCGTAATGGACTCCCCAAGAAGCTGGAGATTTGTTTCGGAAATATATAGAATGTCTTGAACCACATATTAAATAATTGTTTATCTTTGTGGTTTTATTTGCACCTTGGCAAAGGTAAAGATCTTCTACAGTTCACTTGATTAGCAATAATGTTCCGTGTCAAACACTTCCAATGTACTGCACTTTATACATTGTACATGCACAATCTATTGCCAAGTAGGATTAACTATTAACTCCTGTGCATGTACTAGAATGCCATTAGTGAAATAATTAGATTTCTAACATATCCTCTGGCTGATCAGGTTGTAGCTGCAGACAATTCCGTGTATCAACATAAAATACTGCAAACCATGATCTATAAAGTAATCATTGCTATTAACCTAGAACTAGAGAGCACAATATTTTAGCAGTACTGTGCCAAAACAACATCTTGAAGTTGCGTGGCATGCCAGTACTATTTTTAAAATTTGATGTGTGTATGTAGCGTTGTGTTTGTGTGTATATGGGATGTTATATTGTATATGTTCATGAGCAATTTGTGGTATTGTGTATGATACCTATGAATGTGGGCTGCTTGTGGAATTGTGTGGTTGATATCTAACATTGTGTATTTGATGGTGTGTATATGAGAGGCTGCTTGTGGGGTTGTGTGCGTGTATGTGGATTGTCAGTGGTGTTGTGTTTGTGGGGATTGTGTGTTTGTATTATTTGTATGAGAGGGAGGCTTATTCTACAGCTTTATGTCTATATCTAGCAGTGGCTTCCCTGGGGTCCAGTGGGGACCGGGCTGGCCAGGTACTAGTCAAGAGCAGGAGCTGTGATAGCTGCTGAGGGCTGGTGAATTCTAGTGCAGATTTCTATTCACAAGTTGGAGGAGGATGTTTCCTGAGATCACTTTCTTTAAGTACTGCAATGCGCAAATTTAGGATTTTCCCTTACCACCTGCAATCACTGCTTGGTTTGCACTAGCAGAAATATGAATTCCCACTGGGACTAATGATAGGCCAGAGCCTGTCGTTGGCAGCCGTAAGGGCCGTGCAAAGACACCTCGTGTGCCATAGGTTGCTGATCCCTGATCTAGAACTAGCCAGATATTAGAGGGCTCAAAAGCCAAGGCAAACAAACACTGTATTTACAAAATCATGACGACACACAGCTTTGCTAGTAATGATACGCGTTAAGACATCATTTATATATAGTCCTGGAAATCACGAGTCAGGAGACAAGATTTAAGTCACTATTAACACATTTACTGTAAAAACAGCATATGTTCTTTACAGTATCACTATTTACAAGAATTAACATCACTTTAGAAACAGAGCAGGGGATGCAGTAAGGCACAGGACAATAAATACACACAGATGGGGTAGAGCAGGAGATAGAGAGATATAGATGGGAAGGGACCTGCCCGGGATAGAGAAAGGAGGGAAGATTTAATGTGGACACCCACAACCACATCCTGGAAAAGAGATTCAGGAAACCATACTTCAGATTTGGACACCATGACTGTCAGAGAGGCGGTGTGTTGCTTCTCTCTCTCTGCCAGTCAAGGAGTTTGCATTTTGGTCAGAGGCCGTTTCCTGCTTTCAGAAATGTACCTATTAGAAATGTAAACAATCTTTTGATCACAGACCAGAGTTGTGTTGTCATCACTTCACAGCTGAGTTTTTTTTTTTTTTTTTTAAAGTTCATAATAACCAACAATCACAAGCAACGCTCTTTGCACACTACACAATTTACATAGGGACCCTCAAATAAAAGCACTTATATTAACACAGGTAGAAACCCACACTTGGTGGGACTGAGTGGAAAAGAAGCACAGGGAAGCAGATGGGCCACAATTACACTTGTCGAACTTGCAGGAAGCTGGGAGGTGCAATGTGTCGACCAGACATAAAGTCTGTAAGGAAAAGGGAATTCAGAGTGTGCGCACTCGATGGCGTGAATTTTGCTTTGCTCACTTTACAATAGCTAAGGACAGCTCTGTCCCAGTCACACGAGGTAGCACTTAAACAAAAACGGTTACTTTAGTCATAAACTGGCTGCTGTGGCACATGGGAGATTATCTGTAAATGGTTTCCAAAATATACAGAATACTTCCTTGACTACAGAATAAACCATACCAAGAATATGATATGCTGCAGAAATTCCCAGGGCTCATTTGCATTTGGCTGCAGCAATTCCATACAGGTATGCACTTATAACTGGCTATAAAAATGCTCATGGCACAACTGTGATCTGCTCTATAAAAACTCTCCTGGCACAACAGCAGCTGGAGCAAAGAACAATGCTGCAGTAGAACCTACACAAAGTCACTTGAGGTTTGTGGCAACACCAGCCAGAAATATCACCCAGACTGGGCAACGCACGCCGTGAACACAGATCCTAGTCCACACTGACAGGAGGGGGGCTCAGTTCTTGAATTCCGTGGAGGATTCGCTTCATATGACCCACCTTGGTCACACCCAGTTCCTGAAAAATTAAAAATTATCGCTAGTTAGTAATGGAAAAAGTACCCTTACATTGAATTCCCAGCAAATCAGGACAGCATGGGGTGGACTCTTAATCGCTGTATAATAAGCTACAATGTAAAGTAATGTAACATGACAGTACAGTAATTAAAAACTGGATAAATCTTTGTGCAGATCAGGATCCATGATAGGAATACATTCAAGGAAAGGGGTGTTAAAATGGCACAAATGTGTAAATACTGGATGAAAACTTTTGGGAGTTAAAAACTCGACCTGTCCAGTTATGTTCTATAACTCGCAGCATTTGACGTTATAATATGGAAAATATATTGGACCTCTTTAACGGGAAATAAAATACAGAAAAATAAACCAGAACAAACTAGCAGTAAAACCCGTAACAATGACTTTTTGCTGTTGTGCAAACTTATATCAGCAGAAAGACACCTAAACCTGATGTTCCTTAATCTACTATTGCAAGTAATTTAGATACTGGTATCAACCATTTACTTATCTTACAATGCTGCTGAAATATAGTCAAGCTGTAAATTCCTTCCTCTTTGCCTAACATTGTTTACATGACAACTAGCAGTGTCAGCAAACTACTTAATGGTTGGTGGAAGAATATGAAATATTGCGTTGACAGCATTAGCTTTCATTGATTGGGGCTAGAATGATTTTTGCAGCATTTTTAATACCGTAGTGAGTGCATGTTACAGACATTACAAAAATATATCAGCAGGAGTATTAGTATATTCTGTATGTTTCTACACTCAGAGACAATGGAAGCACAACGAATAAACCAACAAACTTTGGGCATTCAGCATACTGGCACACGCACAGACAAGGACAAATAAACAGGCACGATTGTGTACTCAGCACGATGGCATATGGACGGACAAAGGAATGTGATTAGTAGCATGCAAGAAGGAATATGACTGTTAGAAGTAAAAGGTGAGAGAGAGATAAGTCTAGCACCATAAGCAAGGAAGAGCTGACATCTGCGAGAGATACCTTGAGGTCTCGACGCTCCAGATGTAGGAGCTCACAACCACGGATATCATGACGAGTAAAGACCTCCTTGTACTCAGACAGACTGAGCCGCTCCAACCATTGAGACACCTCCTCCGTTCCCCAGAGGTGAGCTGTCAGAGAGAGTCCCGCAGTAAGAAACCACAACCCAAAGCAAAGACAGACCACTTTCAAAGTAAAGACACACCACCACCACCCAGTATAAAAGTGGAAATGATTTGCAGGACAGTGATCAGTGTACCCACAGCATACTTAATTTACAACAATGTTACGTACAGGACTAAAAATGTTTCAAGTCTGATTAGCAGCAATTATGTATGACTTATAACTACATATTTCCTTAGGCTTTATATTGTGTTCCTTGAATAGTACCAGACCTTCTTTGAATACGCAATTAATTTGATTGAAACCTTTACTTGATACATGGTGAAAGTACATGTTGTTCTGATGCCTTTTTATCTTTAGAAACAGAGAAATAAAAAATACTCAGATTTTGTATGCGATTTATTTGGTCCAGACTACAGAAATTGCGTGTATGTGTTTGGGGGTTGGGGGGGGCTGCATTGACAAACAGCGTCTTTTTGCTATATTCTTTGAAAGTGTTTATACATGAGGATGATATATCTCACCAGATCTAATCCCCATGTCTGAAATATGATTAGAGAAACATTGCATCATGGAAATATGAGTTTACTTAAATAAAGACAGTGTAAATATAGAAAGTGGAGGCAGACAATGAAACAGACACAGCAGAACAGTTTTCCTTTTAAATATATATAAAGTCATGTTTCCTTTTAAAATTATTACCTTCCCAACCACACTAAAATTAGACTGAACCCCATGCCCCACTCCTCCGACCTGAACCATATTTAGACTTTACTTCTTATTCACTTGTATATTCAAGATCCATTACATGACTGAGCCCATCAGTATATTATACATTAATCCGTCATGTCGAATTCTTTATTCACAACCATGCTCTGATTGCCTTGTATGTCATTGTTTGGAATGCAATAGTACTTTCTAAATAATCATAACATAAAAACAACACAATACATATTTAAATGGTCTTTGGTTTCTGGTGTACCAGAATCACTGTCTGCCTTCTCTTTTTATCTATTGATCTGTCCATTTGAAAATTCAAGCATGTATGGACTCTTGCAATTGTTCTAATTGAATTAATTTGTATAAATTCCACTGTTTGGTACAGATTGTGAAGTTCTGTGGTCAAAATGCAATCAACACTAGCAATTAAGAAAGTACATTTTAAGACCTGCATATATTATTCTGTACATAATACACCAAATCCCTCTTCTTTGTATTATGTGCAGTTGCACCACACACACCATGTACCCCATTCCAAGGCATCTTTTATTGCAATGTAGCTATAGAATAAATGTCTCATTTGTAAAACAAGGCCAGTGTGCAGGTTTTCGGGTTACTAACAGAGCATATAATTCATTTAGATTCTTATTCTTCACAGTCAGTATATTTGATTTCATTTTGTAGACTTATTCAATATCAGTCATTTTCAAACACACAGCCTTTCAGCAAGATTTACAACGCATTTATTAAATACACTCCATTAAACTACGTATTAATCACTACGCAATCAATCATTGTTCTTTCACGTTTCTAAAAAAAGTCATATGAACTGTAGTTCAATTGACTTTACTTTTTGATAAGATACAGCAATCACATGCGGCTATGGAGGGGACAGAGATACATTATTTACCAGATTGTCCTAAGCTGTTTCCAGTGTCTTTGTTCCGACTGTTCTTCTCCTTCTTAAATTTGTTGACCAGTCTAAATCGACTGCTGCGTCTTAGCTTTGAATAATCCAGTGCACCCTGTGAATATATGAAACTGATCTTACCAATGAACAAGAATGGTGAAGGATAAATATGGACTCAATGGTTTATGAAGGAGCACTTCATCAGCATTGCACAAATATGTATCAATGAAGGTAAGTATTTTGTTGCAAACAGGCATTGCACATTGCATGAGGATGATTTTGTTTACATTTGTTTTTGAGCCAGATAAACTGTTCACATAAGGTGTTCGTAAAATTCTACATATCTGCTTGGGGGTTAAGGGGATGGCATCTAATTTTATGATGTAGTTTGAAATTTGAACACTCACAAAATGAGGAGATAGACAGGTAGTAACAGCGTAATAAACTGAAAGCCTCAGAACTCACCTCTTCATCTCCATGTTCAGTATTCTGGCACAACCAAGGAATGTCGGCAAGTTTCCTCAATTCTTGCTCTGTGTTATTGAGAGACATCACCAGCTGTTCCTTCTGAGGTGGGTCGAGGAGCTGCACAGCAACAAGGAGATAAGAGGAGAGACATTATCATAGTCTAAAGAGATCGAGTAGGTGACTGGTACAGTGAGGATTCCTCCCAGATTGAAAGCTAGCTTGACCAGGACTTTCATGACCTCTTCTCTGTTAATATTATTTTGTTTGTTAAGTTACTTGCTATCATATAACCCGATTCTATAATTTGAAAGCACTGCGTAAAATGTTGCTAATGATAATACTAATAATTAATACATACCAAAAAAAACTGTGGTCATTGGATCTGGAGTGACTTTACAGACTTGGCCAGGACAATCTAAAGAAACCAATCTTTTTCTTACTCACCAGTGCCATCCTCCCACCAAGTAGCAGCTCTGTCTCATTAAGAAGTGCTCGGACATTTGTAACCATCTCCATTACATGAACAGTACTTAGGCCCTGCAAAGATGGAGCAATGAGCAAAACAGAAAAGAAAATGTACATCAATGAAAAGATGAAAAGAAAAGTACATCAAACTACAAAGTTACTTTACATATTTTCCACCATAGCAAAACAGCACCTAGTAATATGGTGTCATTTTGAGTTTGTATTGAATGATGTTGTGCTTTTATGTAGTGTTCATTTGTCTATTGTTTGCACCAAAGCTTGAGTCATTTGTGTTTGACATCTAAGATGTTCTTAAATTCAACAGATATTTACCTTATCATTGTCTACTGCTGCAAACAATAGATAGATAGGCATACTATCACTAACAAGTCTAAGCATGCCTCAGTGATTTCTATTTTGTGTTTGAACTCAAACCATGACTATAAGTGAAGTGAAAAGGTTATTAGTAGCATTTCCATCTAGCCCAAGGGCTCTCAACCCAGTCCTCAAGTACCCCCTCTAACAGTCCAGGATTTAGGGATTACCCTGTTGTGTCTAAAGTGTTTCCCCCCCCCACCCCCCCTAAAAACACCTTAGACACAATTGAGTAATCCTTAAATCCTGGATTGTTAGGGGGTACTTGAGAACTGGGTTGGGAACCACTGATCTAGCCAGTATTAACTGGGCAATAACTTCTGCTTCTGTTGTATTTATGAAAGAACTACAATCAGCACCGATGCTTCAAGATTTGAAAATAAATTCAGCAATTCACAATAAAAACACTGTATAGCTAGGTACATAACACGTGTTATACATATATCAGAATCATAGGAATATTGAACATCTCAACATCATTTAGCCATACACTGGCCTCTATAATGATCTAGTTATCATATTAATGGACAGAGCATGCTAAGGTTAGCCATGCACTTTTTATGTTGGCGCTACACATGGAAAACTTTGAAATTGTGCATACGGAGTCACTCATTATACATGATCTAGTAATTTAGGCATATATATATATACACACACACAAAAACAGGTATATATAAATATATATATAAAAAAATAAGGCATATATAAATATATATATACACACAAAAACAAGTCCTGCGCTCAAACTCCCACTACTCTTGGGCGGCATCAATGACCATAGTGTATATATACAATGAATTTAACTATATATATATTTATACATATAATATATATATATATATATACATATATATATATAAATATATATATACACACACACATATATATATATATATATATATATATATAAATATCAAATTCATTGTAAGTTCTAAAGCTGATTTCTCATTACATTACAGTTATTTTCCACACAATCATCACATTGTGTATTGATAAACTTGTATTGATGTGTGCCGCACTCCATGCCTGAAAACACCAACATGAATCGAGATTTCCACCCCAGCTTACCAATTTATGCAGAGAATGAGGTATTGTCAGAGTGGTGTAATAGACAGAATGACAATATACAGTACCTCAGAGTTCTTATTATAAACATTCTCCATGGATTTAGAGCTGGCGTTAACAGCATGTGCCAATTCCTGCTCCATGTCCGGGTGTGAAACGGCTATATCTTTAATGCTGTAAAGAGAGATGAAGTCCATCAGAGGAATTTATTAACACATATACAGTCTATGCGATTTTTTCACTAAAGCATTTCCAGAAAGGGTTTACAAGATAAGTAGTTTATACAAAAAAGCAGTTCCACTCACCACAGAGGATGGGTGGAAATGCTCTAAAATCTGTATAGTGAAGCAGGCTAAGTGCAATTATCGGCAGAACCAAAACCCATGTTTCAGCTAGAGAAGGAGCTCTGTCCATGATGTGAATGTGTTGCACACAGGTTGCACAGAATTAATAAGTCAACCTATTACTCTCATTCCAGACTGCCTAATTGGCATATCTGTGGGGGTGACTTACAGCTACAGAGAATTTTACAAATTACTGAGAGTATGCTCAGTACACTCAATCATGTAAAGCTGTGATGGTGCTTTTAAGTAACCCCTGAAGCAGACAAAGAGGAGTAAGCATCCAGCAGCCATTCCCTTACCTTTGGATGAGTGCACCTGCAGAATGGCCAAACCGTGACACCTGTGAGGACTCCTCGTCAGAAAGCACATCTGGATGCAGGGGCGATGTGGCAGAGCGGGTAACTTCACATTTCTGTTTATCTTCCCAGGACTTCAATGTGCTTTCAAACGCCTACAAAAATTATTGGGTAAGGTTAATCTGAGAGCAGAAGAGGGTGCGTGCATTTACACCAATTTTAATAGAAGGACACTCCAACTTGCTGATAAGTTTTATGTATGAAATGTGTCCTTTTTTTTTCCATTTTGCAAAACGTGCAGATTTCAATAGAAATTGACAATTTTATAAATGAAGCTTCTCACACCAACTACATGTCAATCAGACAATCTAGGTCCTGTTAATTCCTAGTTTGGTAGTTCAGTGGAGCTAAACCTATGAGGCAGCAATTGCCCAGAGCACCTGCCTTGCAAAGACTTCTCATTGAGCTGCATTGGGAAGTCTGTGATTGGACAGTCACAAAAAGTCTAGTCGGGTTCGAAAGTGAGGGCTTGCAAAGGCTGCAGACAAGAAATCTGCAGCTTTTGCAAGCAGTTTTTAAAAATATTTCCAATAAAAAATGCATAATTAAATGAATGCATTGTTTCATTGGGGGGTTGTATCTACTAAATAGTCATTTACATTTTTTTTTCTTATTTTGGCAGTGGATTATTAACTCAAAGCAGAAATGAAAGTGCACACAATTCAAAGCAGAGTACAGAGAATTTAAGGAGCTGGTATAATATTGCTGTGGAACTAGATGTATTGCATATTTCATGGTATTTCTTGTTCTTTGATTTGAACAGCAGAAGATGAGTTTAGTTAAAGGAGCACTATAGGGTTATTAGGTGCCTCCCTCCCTCAAGACCCCCCTCCCGATGGACCACTTACATTAATCCAGCGCCGGGCTCCCTCGGCGCTGGTGACCTCTCCTCCCCCTGCCGACGTCAGCCCCAAATGCGCATGCACGGCCAGAGCCAGAGCATTACTCAATGCTTTCCTATGGACTTCAGCGTGTCCTCAATTCGATTTTCGCATTGAGGATCGCGGAAGCGGCCTCTAGTGGCTGTCAGTGAGGCAGCCACTACAGGCTGGATTAACCCTCATTGTAAACATAGCAGTTTCTCTGAAACTGCTATGTTTTCAGCTGCAGGGTTAAAACTAGGGGGGACCTGGCACCCAGACCACTTCATTATGCTCAAGTGGTCTGGGTGCCTATAGTGGTTCTTTAAGGGGGATTGTGATTGATTGACAAGGCACATACACACTTTAAGTCAATAGTTTTCCACAGTTTCCTGTTTAGTGATTAAACCCTGTATAAGAACCTATTTCAATCCAGATAATGATGAAACATTTTTTGTCCTGTGTTGAGAACTTCTTTGGCTGTTACTGGTCTGTATTGACCTCACAGTACAAGGATTACTGTCTTACCCTATCTCGTGTCAGAGTCTGCGTCCTGTTCTTGTGCACTATACGGATAAATCCAGGAGGCTGTACCCAGGCCTCTCCATCCACTTGCACTGGAATTCCTTCATCTCCCAGAACTGTAATCTTCACCATACGGCACTGGTGGAAAAACAAAGAACAGCAGGCATCTCAAAAAAATTGAATGTTCAGTGCCAGTAATCACCCTATTATAGGGCCTACTGTAATATGGATGTCTATGGAAGTCTTAAAGTTTAACATATATGTTAACCCTAATGTATAGCAAGAGTTTTCTTAAAGTGTTCCGAAATCTGGATGTCTCAGATATTACAATCATTTACAAATCCTTTGAAGCACCTATATAACATTTATGATGGGGTTTTACAAATCAAAGAGACCACAGAATCATGGTTTCTATACTGGCTGCTACTAGAAGCTACCTTTCTTGGCTGTCACTCTGACAATCCTGTTTTATGTATTGAACAGTAATATTGTTCCAACATCAGGATTTAAATGTCTTCAAAGTCTCTTTAACACATTTACAATATTCAAATAATCAATTAACACAAAATGTGGCCCTTCATGTGTGTATTACTCAGTTTATCGCAGGGGTAGAATTTTAAGTCCTACTCTGCAAGCCAGGCCTCAAACGTTCCTTGCCACTACAAGCCTGGAGGGTCCATGTCACACATGGGTGAAGTTAGATTTGTGTTGGAAGAATTTACACATGCCAATGGCTAGTGGAAATTTGTGAGCCCTGTTTTTAGTAAACCTTCTGAAACTCAGAATGAAATAACGGATATAATGAAATGAATTACAAACCTAAAGTTAGATTAAAATAATCACCTACAAATGATCGAGAGATCTACAAATCAGAAGTATAAATGTTCATATACTATTGCTCCTCTGCAATTGTAACAGTAAGAAATGTGTAATTAGTATGAAAATAATGATTTCTAACAGTGTTGTGATTAATACAGTTACCTGTGCAATTCGATGATGCTGCAGCTTAATGACCCTGGACACAGCCATCTGCATGCTACCAAATACAGCAACCACTTCCAGGATCTTATCATCAAAAGAGGGAGCTGCAAATGTCTGAGAAGAACAAAGGAACCACGTGAGATGGGGGACACTTGCCACATATAGGACAAGTTGCATATCAATTAGCCTCATTGGTAACTTACATCGTCTTCTTTGCTGCCTCCCCAGAAGTTAGTTCCCCCGGCGTAGCTTGGGATGTTCAATACAGCAATGCCTTGGAGGCTGGGCAAGGGAATGGGCACCCCGTCACACTGCGGGGGACATTGGGGTAAGTGGAGGGAGACACGCACATCCACTGAGAAAGAAAGAGACAGACATCTAAAAGAAGAAAGACAGACACAACCAGTGTTAGAGACAGACACAGAGACAAACACATCCAGAGAGGCAGAGAAATGCACAGTGACAGGAACACATTTCTAAAAAGAGATACATATACACATAAAGGAGATGATAGCCAGACAGAGAAAGGAATCCGTAACGTACAAGGAACATGAAGGTCATATCACGTAACTGTTTTAAAGGGATCTGCTAAATTATTAATGTGAACAAGAAAATAGTATTTAAATAAAATAAAAAAATAATAATGCCAGTAAATGGTGGAATGTGGTGTGAGTGGTTTTTGTACATTAGTGTTATAATCACAGCCCCTATTCCTCAGAGTTTATGGTTTACTGTACTCTGTGTTGAAATTATTAACGGTTTATATGGCAAGTGACATAGAAAATGTTCAGGTTATGTGCTAATTGATAACGTTTATTCCACATGTGCTCTTGCAATGATTGTTAACCCAAACGACAGGCCTCTGTACAATATAAAATGATTGGGGAACTTGAAGAGTTATTGACTAAGTGGGGAGCTGTAAAATCAATGTTAAAACGGTAACACGGCTACACTAGTAAAAAAGAGCCTTCACATAGAATACAAAGTGCTAATACATACCTCTAGCAACACCTTCTGCTCAAGGTTCTTATACGTCCTCTGTAAAAGCTCCTTGGTCCCCAGTACTCCGTACCACATCATGTTTTTTGTACGGCTCCTGACATTTGAGAGGAGTCATAGATTAAGAAAACCATGTTAAAAATGGACCCCTTATTTGATGAGCTTATCAGTTTGGTCAACAGAGCCTGATTTTATTCCATAAAGAAGTAGTTTATCCCCCAGCAGAAGTTCCTCTGACCATATAACATTTCCAGTGTGATTGATTTAAGTTTTTCAACATATATCAGTTCAACTTATTCTATCACTTTACACACAGCCGGTTCACAGTTTAGTGAACAAGGCAGAGGGTAAGAATCAGCCGAGCTGCAGACTGCACATGTCTGCTTCTAAGGGCTAATTTGGAAGTTAGATAGAGATATCAGCTCCATTTGAGGACACAATTAACAGTGGATGCCCAGACCTGAGAGACTTGTGCCTATAACTGCAACATTTCATTTTTACCAATCACAGTGGCTATAAATCATACCCAACACTAAGAGTGGTTGCGGATGTGATGATGCAGTGTTGCTATGGTCTTTTAAACATAACAGAACCCCCAAACGTTTAACCCTGCTTTAGAACACTTCTCTTACCTGCACTTTTTCGGGTGCTCATCCCTTTTATTATTAAAATCTAAAGATATTTTTGCATCTAGTCCAATCCCAAAATAGTTATTCATTACACACTTCTCTGTGTAACAATCCCTGGGGACAAAAGTGGGGGTTAAATGTACTGTTATAAACAGCATGTAATAATATAGAATTAGATTCAGCATGATATTCTGCACAAATCGCAAAAACCTCAACTTGAAATTAAAACAGCACAGAGTCATTATACCATTGTTTACATTGTACAGTCCCAAGATTCGCTGCTGTATTTGGTGTTGTAACAAAGTGGAATACAGCAGGGTGATCCTGTGTCATACAGTGTGATTATAGGTTACTTAACTTTGGATTATGATTCCTGGAGTTAATGGAGGCTTAGTGCTAGAGGTTACCTGCCCTCAAGATGTAAGATGTAACTACTACTATTATCATTAAAAAACACAGCAATCCCTATGTTTCTTCCATTTATTATGCTTGTGCCATAGGCTATGACTCCTGTTCCACTCCATCCTCTTACTTTAAGTCACAACAAGATAATCCGCAGTATCATGCTGGCTTTATTGAGCCATCAAACGTGACAAGGCAACGTTTTGATACAAGATGTGCCTTTGTCAATCCAACTTGTGGCTTGAAAAAGACACATCATGTGTCTAAATGCTGCCTTGTCATGTTTGCTGGCGCAATAAAACCACCATGAGACAACACACTTATTGCAGACACTGAATATTTTTTACTTGACCAGCAAGTCCGTAACATAATGTCTTATCTATAGTTATTGTAATAAAGGGAGCAGGATAAAATATAGAAAGCCTGTTTCTGATTTGCTTGCACAGATTGCTGGTATCACCCTGTTTCTTAAAGGGACACCCTGGGCTGGAGTTAACAACCATGTTCTTACTTTTATGCAATTAAAAAAAAATCTGATACAAAAAAACAAAAACAAAAAAACATAAAAATTTTAAATAAATAATAAATTAAAAGATTCTCACTTCCAAGTGCAAACTCCCAAGATCAGTTACTTCTACAGTGACCAAAAACTAGCTCAGCTCTTTACTGATTTCAGTGAAACTCCTGTGCAAATTCACAGCTCTCTGATTTAAAACTTTAATAGGTTTCCATCATGGGGAACAAAAACTACCATCACAAGATAACATGAGCTGCATTACAACACCCATTAGCTTGTGCTTCTATTTTAACTAATGTATTTATAACTATAACACTGATATTTTTCATATGGTGGAGCAAAGAGATTTTTGAACCAGTTATTTTTTATTTTTTTTATTTTTTTTAAACATGATGTTACATCAGAGGCATTGTTGCACCATAGAAACCTTGAATATCCCTTTATGAGCAAAGATAGAATACAGATAGGAGTTTCAAGGGATGAAAAATCATTTTTAAAACAACTACAACTATTTTAACACAGTTAGATTTTTGTCATATGAGAAAAGGTTGAATCCTGCTGCAATTGTTTTAATACCAAATCTTCCTTCTAGGTCATTGGGCTTAGAGTATGTACAGTACATTGTGAAGGAGTGACAAACAACATATACTTACAGGTTATCTGGTTCAGATCCAAAAGGGTCAGCGCTTATTAACAGACGGCTTATAATAGAGTTGCCAGGCAAGGATCCAGACATTCCAGCTCTCATATCTGTAAAATAAATGAATATATGTATAGGAAAAAACTTTTTTTTAGCCAAAAATCACTTTTGTAAGAAAATGATAAGAATAAACGATTTACTTGAGTATAGAATTTTGGAGTTCAGCACCGGTAAGCTGTCACGCTGGGTGGTGGGGGCAGGAAGGGACACAGAGGCTCCTGCAGATAAGCTGCTTTTGCTGGCAGATTTGCCACCTACAGAAATAACAGATAAAATGAGGGGCAAAATACAAAAATGCCTTATAGCTTCACTGGCAGGCGAAAACAAAATGACTACAATCATACAGGAGTATTGAAAACGAAAGGACTACAATTATACAGGAGTATTGAAAACAAAAGGACTACAATCAAACAGGAGTATTGAAAACAAAAGGACTACAATCAAACAGGAGTATTGAAAACAAGATGACTACAATCATACAGGAGTATTGAAAACGAGAGGACTACAATCATACAGGAGTATTGAAAACGAGAGGACTACAATCATACAGGAGTATTGAAAACGAGAGGACTACAATCATACAGGAGTATTGAAAACAAGAGGACTACAATCATACAGGAGTATTGAAAACGAGAGTACAACAATCAAACAGGATTATTGAAAACAAGATAGATACAATCATACAGGAGTATTGAAAATGAGAGGACTACAATCATACAAGAGTATTGAAAGGTCAATACTGAGATCTGTAATCACTGAGGAATAAAAAAAAAAAAGATTGAAAAAAGGATGTAATAATTAAAATCATGAAAATTGAGTATGACAACGTGCAGCTGTACAACTATGTTTTGACAGAAAGTTAAAAATCCCTCTAAACATAGAAGGGAGTGGGGCTACAGAACCAGCTGGTGGGTTTGGTACCTCGGCCAGAATTCCTAAACTTGGGTGGCATATTTTCACTCTGCAAGTTGACAGAGCTGTCACATTTCTGTACTTTTCCATCCTCAGGGGGAAAGGCCATCATGAAGTCTTCTGAATCTGGAGTCTGTGCATTTTGCTCATCCACAGCTGAAATGAAATAAGCTAGATTTAGAACACTGAAGCAAAAATATAATAAAACAATCACAGAGAAAAATCATCAAACTCTGCAGTAAATGTGCAACTTCTACGTATACCTTTCTCTGCTTGCTCTATGATTTGCCGAATTGCCTTCTTTAAGCTGTTAGCTCTAAGCATCAGCTGCTCACGAGGCTTGAAAGTTTGTGCACGACCCAAAGAAGGAGACATCGATGGTTGACTCGTGTCCATTTCCACGTTTTCCTCTCCTTCTTCACGAATGGTTGGAGGTGGCTGGGAAAGGACCGACGTAGCCTGCGATTCCTCATTCAATGTTTTTAAGAGGGAATCCAACTTTTCTCGCAGAAGAGAACACTATGCGAAAGGAGACAGTAGCTGTCATGTATTGAAAGGGCAGGAGTAACAAGACTTAAAAACCAAAATGCATTTTAACATGTTTATCTATCTAAATCTCGCTAAACGTTGACAATAGTAATAAGGATGAAACATGTAATCAGACAGACCTTTAATTTCGGGGAATGGAAGAGATAAAGGACAACTAGGACTTGCCGTAACCTACAAACATTGAATGGAAGTTTTAGATTAAATATAAATCAGATTGGGTATTGTACCTTTCCTGCCATTGTTTCTGACTCTTCACAGCTCTCTGTCATCCTCTCGTAAGCTTTCCCAACTCGTGCCACAAAATCCTTCACCGTCTCACATAACACCCTGAGGAAAGAGTACACAATGTAAATCATCACTGTACCAATATAGGGACACTGCTATTATGATAACCCACCCACAAAACAAAAAAATAATAATCTCATATCTAGACTTTGGAGTATGAGATGAAGAACTGATTTAAAGGGACACTATAGTCACCAGTGCAACTACATGTATTCCTAACCCTATAGTGTTAACACGACCATCTAGCCCCCCTGGGCCCCTCATGCCTCCATAAATATAGTAAAAATCTTACTGTGTTCAATATTCATATTATGCCTCCATCAACTCAGAAGTCCCTCTGGTTCACTCTGAGTGACTGCAACTGGAGGTGTTCCTAGCTTTCAATGTAAACACTGTATTTTCTCAGAAAATACAGTGTTTACATGAGAAAGGCTGCAGGGAGCTATAGTTCTCACCTGAACAACCTCATTAACCTGAAGTTGTTCAGGTGACTATAGTGTCCCTTTAAATATCTTGACTGAAAAAAAAGTCTGTCAATTGCCTACAGATTTTTCAAGAAAAAAAACTCCAAGTATATGAACCCTCAACAATTCCATCAAACATTCCCTCCCACGCCAGTAATCTTTTAAAGATGTAAAAGGTGACACATGTCTGCCTATATGGAGCGCCTAGGCACACCCTAATCCCCGCCGCACGCAGGTGAGGGAGATCAAAGATCTCCCTCACCGACCCACAGGCAGGGAGGGAGGCAGGAGAGGACCCGGGGAGCTCTTGCCAGCAGCTCCGCCGGGTTCCTCTCGCGCAGTCGGAGCGTTGCCACAGGGGGCTAGAGTTCACTCTCCACTGGACTACCATGGAAGGCAGGAGCACGGTCCCCCCTCCCTACATAAGGTAAGAAGGGAGGGGGGATATTAACTAAACGGCCCCCACACATTACACACAAACATACAGCACAAACACACACATCACCCTTACACACACCGCACACACACACTAACAGCACCCTCACACATATACACACAGCACACACTAACACACAAGGTGGACTGAAACGTCGATTTTATGGAAACTGAATAAAAGTTATTTTTTAAATGGAAATCCGTGAGTGCAGCCATCCTACTTGCCTATATTGATATTGAAGCCCAGGCTATGCACCCGGTCTTGGAAGTCTTAGGAGCCTGTGTGCAAGGTACAGTTCGATTGTTTTTATATATATATATATACACACACACACACACACACACATATATATATATACGCGGCGTGTTTCTGCTTTAGGGTGCACACCCTTATACAATAGGCTGCGCACGCCTATGATGGAGCGAGTGCCCAAAGGTGATTTATTTTTGGACCAGTGTCCTTAAACAGATATATCAGACCGACAGGTCTCCAATATGTTCATCCCATACATATATCTAAAGATATGCATTGATGCTTTATATGGTTTATTTGCAATAATTATGGTTTTTGCATATTTAATATCATTTGACATTTAGATTGTTTTTTATTTAGTTCTATTTTATTTTTATATTTTTTTGTTTTTTATTTGGATAGGTTCTTTGGACTGGGCAGGTCCTTTCCTTTGTTATGTCGTGGCTGGAGTTTCATTTGCAGTGCACACACCTTTTCTCAGGTGTTCGTAATTTGAACCAGGTATGTCAGTCACTATATTGGTGAATTTTCCTCCATGTAAGTTTATTTATTTATTTATTTCGCTTTGGCAGATATTTTGTCTTGATAAAGGACGTTCGCTGTTTTAATATGGCTAAATAATACTACTTAAATTTTGTCTCCAACGTGATGGGAGTATTTCTTTTGGAACTTTTGCATCACCTACATATCCCATGCCAAACCATAAAAAACACAGCAGCTCTAAAACAGCTCACAAAATGTGCAAAAATCACAATCCACACTCCTGTTTCCTATGGTATTCCTTTGTGCTTTATTGGCTCCCAGGGGCCTTGTTTTCCCTTTTATTCTTTTCTTTTCAAGTGGGTAAGGCTTTTCTATTGTTACAAAACATTGGTGCTGTTACTCACAAATTGTAAGACTATGTTTTGTACATTGCACTGGATTCTAAATTAAAAAAAAAGCACAATTCAATTATCAACCCATATTGCTACAGGGTTCCTTAGCAATGGAATGCTATTTTACAACATTGTTATGTCAACACGCTGGTTATGATTTTAAAGTGACACTCTAAGCAGCAAAAGAACTTTAGTTTAATGAAGGTATTTGGTGTATAGATCATGCTCCTGCAATGTTACTGCACGATTCTCCACCATAACTCCTCTGGGTGATACTCTACACACTTCCTGAAAAACAGCTCACACTTTTAGTTTCCCTTATTGCACAATGTGTTCAATTTACAATGTCATTTCATTTTCTCTGTTAATTGCATGCGAGAGACTGAAACAACCTCCTACGTGTGATTAAAGTCCAATTAAGAACAAGAAGTATGAACTTCTAAGGTAAACACACTGTGCTGTAAAAAGGAAACTCTGTGTTGAGCACAAATTATTCTGGTGTGTAGAGTAGCTTTAATTGATAAATAAACAACTATGGCCTGCACAGTCTCATTCTTTTGGGTCTCATCAGCAGAAAAGCTGTAAGCGTAAAGCTGAGTATTATTAAAATTGCAGACACAGTGAAAATGGATAATGCTCCCCACTGATTTGTACATACGATTTAATTTATTGTTGTATATCACCTACAACCTACATATTCCAGCCTTTCATATGGCAAATATTAGAAAAGGACTGCCATAGGTACAGCAGCTCTGGAAAACAGTGCTTTCGGTGGGAAATGTGAAAATAAAGGATGCCACCTTGCATAGTATTTTGAGAGAATTGTGGAAATACATTATTTGGTTGTCACTAGCAAGGTGCTGAAATGACGATGGGGGTGTATTAGTACACATGCCTAGCTCTCTATAGAGGCTTTCCGTGTAAGGTTTGTAATATTGCTTATTGTTTGATTGCACCCACTTTGCTCCCCTTCTGCAATACAACCTTTACCAATTTGTATTTATTATTGAGTGGAAATGTTGTGCCGTGCATACACGTATATTTAAGCACTGCAAACCTCATCAAGCAAACTAGGTCAAAGCCTCTAACACTGTTAAAATGGATGGAATAACCACACTGACACTCATACACCATTCGAGGGACCTACTTTGCTGATGAGATAACCACAGAGTGCTGGTCTGAGCTAAGAATCTGTGATAGATGAGCAGCCACAGAGTCCTCATAGCCCAAGATTTGCTGCACCTACAGAGGAATTAGAAGATGGTCAAGAAGAATAAGGTACAGGCTGTGATATCAGCTCCATAGACTCAGAAAGATAAGTCATTCAGGCAACGTCTACCTACCTCGCAATCTTCATTTGGCTCCATTGCTGTGCTGGAGTCTGGAGTTTGGGCAGGAAGCTTGGTTTCATACACCATGATGCTCCACCTGTCAGGACAAAAAAAAAAAGCAAATAATATGTAATTCAGTTCACAGTATGAAGCAAAACTATAGCGCATCTTCACTTACTTAAAGCTTCAAATAAGAAAATTATTTTATGCTCACAAAGTCATGTTAGCTAGTAGCATATTAACCTCTTCCTTATTATATGACGTGTTAAAGTATTAGTTGTCAGTTTTATTTTAATGCATATGAATGTTAGAATTGTGAAGTAAATGTTTTTAATCTCCAGTTATTTAAATGTGCATAGGGAATTAGGATACTGCACCGGTAACTCTTTTTTGTGTTTTTTTCTGTGTATTTGGGCTGATGTATACTGTAGCCATTGCTGCAGCGCAAGAGTAGTGGAAGTTTGAATGTTTGTATTCTCAATGTGACAGACTTATTTCATGAACAAAAAGCACACACATGGCCTTAAAAAGACAACATTTATCTTAATGCACAGATTCTCTAGGGCCTATTGAATTTAACAAACCTGGCTATGCCAACAGACTTTAAAACATATTTATAGCTACGAAAACCAAACCTTTTCTTTGTAAATATAGTAAAAGTATAGTAAATATAGTAAAAATATTTTTTTATATATAGCTATCAGGTGCTTTGCATTGCATAATTCTATTACAGAGGTTTTTGTTTTCTTTTTTTTTTACATATTTTTATTGAGGTTTAAACTACAGCATAAGTCTACTGAACACATAGGGCTACTTTAATAGCATATTAAGTCATATCATTGCACCTGACACAGAGCTTTGAAATTAAGCCAAAAAGCACTAAGGTACTGTTCACCATTATGGATGGTCTCCCAACATCTCCTTCGCAGAATCATAACCCAACTCTCACCTGTCTAGCATTTTTGTTCCCGCTCTTTCCAGTTTCTCCAGAATTTGGGGGAGCTGAGTGTCATCGTCACAAGCAGAGCCCCATCCAAGCACCCGAGCCAGATCATTCCCGGTCCCTAGAGGGAGAACTCCAAGTTGGCACTAAAAGAAAGAGGGGAGAGTTTTTTCCTCAAGGAGACAAATGATTCAAGTAACAAGTACAATACTATAGTAAATGCAGACACAAGAGCAGTGAGTTGACAGAAAAGTGAGTCGTACCTACCTGTTTGTGAAGGTTAAGAGTATCGATTTCAGAAAGAACCCACCCAACACTTCCATCACCTCCACACACCAAAATACGGAATGTGTCAAACTTCTGAAACAGGCGCAAGCTGAGCAAGAAGAGAGAAATGCCCTGTGTCAGTTTTTTCTCTGCAGGTCCATGCTGCTTTGCTCCCAGAATACATCATATTTGCGTCTGCAATGTTCCACCCTTGCATTCACATGTAACTTTGCACCATTTTTGAGTACGTACTTTCTTACTCATTATGTTCTTCTTTGTCAATTGCCTTTGACTGCTCTCTATTTCATCTGCTTACCCATGCTCTTGCCCCAATTGCCTCTTAACTTGCAAATTTGCTCTATTTTGCTCTCACCCTAGATGAGGTCCGCCATTCATTAAGTCAAATACTTGAGCTGGGTTGAGCAGCTGTTTGAAACGCCGCAGAAACTTCACCCCTTGGTTGTCTCCACTCTTTGAATTGACAAACACAAGCAAGGGACTAGTGCAGGAGGGGGGGCAACTAGCCTTCCAAAACCCTGAAGAGAAGATAACAAAAAAATAAATGTGTATGGTAATTGAGTAATACAGTCACAGAGACGGTGTTACTTTATGAATTACAAAGGAGAGAAATATCTGTTACATTCAACTATTTTCATAGAATTAAAATACTCTGTAAGTAACAAAGCATGCAGATGGCAGAGAGACGGCTTGATATATACATATAACCAATTAACTGTGCTGGCTATATCACCAAAAAAATGATTAATTGGACATATGTAGCTGCCTGGGGAATGTGTGATTGAGCAGCCATCTGTACTTATCCCACAATGCAGCTGTCTGGATCATGTATGACAGGACGTTGCAAATGCAGCTGCTTGTCTCAATTTCAGGATGCAATGCTTAATGTTTTATTTGTATCTATAGGTAGAAAAAGTCAAATATAATTTATATCTATACCTCTGTTGGTCAACAGACTAACAATGTTTAGATAATATTAATAGCAACACAAAATGAGATCCCGACATCTTTGACATGCATTGTATTTTTGCATTGTTTAAGGCACTGTATTTTTAAAATATATATATATATAACCACAATGAGTACGTATGAATGGCTTGCACTAAGGACTCAGTAATCTGTTAGTAAAATAATCATTTGACTTTATTTTAAGTTTGAAATAAACGAACAGCATGAACATTTTCACCTTCTTACTGTTTCAATGTAACATACCATCTGAATCTATGCTGTTAAGAGCTGTCGGAGGAATTACTGACACTTTACATTGTCCCAAGGGACATTTCTTAGGAAGATGATCTTTACAAGATGTGTGTACCTACAGAAAAGGAAAGATAACAGAAGACAAAAAACAATGAGTAAATGTTATAACTAAGCAACAAAAATGGAAGGCATCTATTATAACACAGATCTGTGCTTAGCTGGTGACAGCAACATCAAGTGTAAGTATCAATGTAACACTGTAGTTCTGTCCCAGTGTACGCATAAAAAGGTTTTCTGTGTCACTCAAAATGAACTGGTTGGGACCAGAGCAGAAACCTGATGCTAAAGTCAAACTGGGAAAGCAAGTGTGCCATAATCCTTTATTCCATCTTTGCACTGAGCCAGAAAAGTCTGAAACTGCAGCGTGGAGATGAGGAGAGCTGGGTTATAGACTGCCCTTAAAACCAATGGACAGAGTTGCTATTTGTTTGCTTCAATTATCCCAAGCATACAATACTGAAAACTAACTAGCATATCAACCAAGGTCAGGAAAACAATATTAAAGGGATACTATAGGCAACGAAACAACTTTAACTTAAAGCAGTACTGTCATCCCCCCATGAAAAATTAGTATTTCATAAAGATAGAATCTTTATGAAATACTCATATTGGCTGTGTTGAAATTTCCCTGCAATCCCAATTCAGTCAAGAGATATACTGAGACAAAATAGGGACTATATTGTCACAGTATATTTCCTACAACTGACACTTCTAGACACTGGTCAAAGCTACCACCGTCTAGAAGTGTTCACCCCTCCAGCCGTCACCAAAGACAGCTACAGGGAATTGAATTTATCTATGGAGGATCTCAAGGCACCCTTCGTAGAATTCTATGCTGTACTCTCAATCGTGCGTGGGAGTACAGCAATGACTTGGGCCACAGTCGGAGGTCTATGCAAATTCTATAGAGGTCTTTGCTCAATTCTCTGCCATTTAGGGGTTTAATCACTTGTTTCTGTTTATACAGGGTTAGCCACACCTCTCCTGCCTGTGACTCCCACAGCCTGCAAGAAAAAAAAATCAGATGTTCACTTGCTTTAGAAGTTTTTTTTGTCAATCTCTTTTCATTGAACTTTTAAATTTTTAAACATAAACACGTAACACATTGTACATTCAACAAACGTATACTTGTTTTGCAATATAAGGTTTGCATTAGTGTGAGAACAGGAATGAACCGTTAAGATTATGGACCAGCTCTGGTACATTATCAGGAGAGTGTGAACTGCACTGGGAGCATGGCTGCGTGATATCGGTGGGCTTAATGCAACCTGAACAGGTTGTGGATTCAGGGCCTCCTTCGGGGGTGGGGGGAGGGTTGGAAACATAGCGGCAGATTCCTCCTTCTAAGGGGGAATCAGTAAACTGGGAATTTCTCTGGGCTAACAAGATAGAAGCATCTCAGCCGGGGGTAAACTGTGGGTGCCCTGGTTATTATTGTGTCCGGGGGAGTCAGGTATCTGTTGCGGTTCGTCGGTCGGCATCCTGCGCAGGTGCGGGAAGGCCCAGTGCCTTACAGAATGTCGGGAACTCTGCTAGTGTGGAGAGTTTATGGACAGTTCTCCTGTGTGTGACCACCAGGAACCTGGGGGACCTCCAGTGATATTCCAGTCCCGCTTCTCTGAGGGCGCTGGTGACCGGGTGCAGCGATTTTTGACATTGTAGCTTGGATCTAGTGAGGTCTTGGTAGACTGTGAGTTGTGCGCCTTCAAATGTTAATGGCGTCTTGCCCCAGAGAGCTGTCATCAGGCTGCTCTTGTCTTGGGAGGTGGTGCAGCGTACAATCACATCTCGAACCGCGTTTGGAGCTGCTCTGCCTGAGGATGGTAGGCGGTAAATCCCATCTGTGTTAAATTTTTTGGCATGCGTTGGCGGCAGGACAGTGGCTTCGAGGCGCCTCATATAGTGAGGTTGTTCGTCAGATGTGATGGCGTCTGGTACTCCCCTGATCTTAAGGTAGTTGCGCCCTGTTCAGTCATCAAGGGCGGTATAGTGGAGAGAGAGTGCTTGCTGTTGGGCTTGTAGGGCCAGGACCGAGTCCTGTAGGATTATCAATCCCTGCTTAATGCCTGAAATATCGTTCTCTGTGGACTGCACCCTGTCGGCAATAGCCTGCACATCTGTTTTTATGGATGCTATGCTGGATGCCAGGAGGGTTTTGAGTTCCCCGACTAGGTTCTGAAAGTCCCGCTGGGTAACTGGGGCAGACCCATCTGGTATCCCTTTGGGTGTCTGTACCCTTTCTGGGGGGTTGGTCTGGCGGCATGGGGTCTATCGGTACCTGTGTGGTGTCTTGCTCCGCTGCTCCCGCCATTTTGGACGTCGGTCGTCGGTATTGCAGCATGGTGCCTATGTCCCTAGACCCTGAGGGCATCTCCGGTGGAGGCTTCTGGGAGCAGCAGCCCATCAATTCCGAGGTCTGCACGTGTGCTGTGTAGAGGTCTTCCACCTCAGGGTCTACAGGCTGTTCAAGTCTGCCCAGGAGTGCCGACCAATCGAGGGCTGCTGCGGGCTTGTAGGCCTCGGGTCTATGCCTGGTCGGTTCCCCCGTGCCAGGTACACAAACGGCATGGGGGGTTGTTGGGTTGTGCTCTGAGGGAACCCCTGGTCAGGAGTGGGTTAATCGAGGGTTAGCCGAGGTGCGTCCGCTTAGGCTCGTGGTCAGGCTCCGCCCCCAGCTTTAGAAGTTTTTATCTCCTACTCTGTAACGTGAACTTTAATCATACACAGGAGGCTATAAGCAGTGCAAGAGATAAGAAATGCTAGATTAAACAGACTATGCAAAACTGGAATATCTTTATTGTAGTATTGTTAAAACAAAGTGCTTTAACTCCTAAACAGTAGTGAATTGCACAGGCATGATCTATACACTAAAACTGCTTTACTAAACTAAAGTTGGTTTGGTGCCTACGGTGACATGATCACAACAATTCACCCTGGATCGCACCCTTAGAATGTTGCAAAATGTTTGCATAGCAATACAGATGTCTATTAAAATCTTATCTAATTACTGCAACAACAGACCATAATCAAAATTGTATCAGCAACATCCCCAACAGAAATTCAACTGCAACACATCACTCCCCCACAATAATAACTTTCTACAGGAATAATCACGGAATATACGGATCTAATGCTATAAATTAAGATAAAAATATAGACATAGATAAGTATATCAAAAACCCCCACTATCATAGATAGGGAAATTGTCACTTCTCTTACAGTTATTACAGTATTGAATACAACACTGACAATCCAGTTTAGTCCAGGAGCACACTGTAAATGAGGAAACAGTGTTTCATTTCTCCTCTTCTCCATATTCTTTCTCTGACCTGTTCAAAGAATTACACAGGCACCAATCTGCATGCTGAAGAGATGAGGATTTCTACACTTCTCACCTCACACTTACATACACATACAGGGTTTGTTTCATAGCCTGTCTTACCGCTGCCTTGCACCACAAGCACTGCCAGTCCTGTAGACGGAGGACACTTCCACATGTCTTCTCACACACAGTACACTTTGCACTCACATGTAGGTTCCCTTCCAGCCACTGGTGTGGCATTGATACCTTCAAATAAAAGGGAAAATACATATTAAGGAACATTGCATGAGAAAATTAACTCGCCACAATATTAGGGCAAGATATGCCAAAACAACTTTATGGAAATCGGAAAAAATTGACTCACTCCATCCTCATCCTCTATAATGTCCTTCCCAATAGAGGCCAAAGTTGTCCATTTGCAGTTATTGGTGGCCCTCACCGCACATCTTCTGTGAGATTTAAACTTGCACACTGTATAAATAGATCAACAATAAATGGTTATAAGCATTATATTACCACCCCTCTTTATGTACTTTCACAGTGCTGACACTTTTTCTACAACTTTGTACCCAAGCAATCTCTATACCAGCACATCTTTCAGAATGTCTACTTCATATTTGGTACTGTCCATTAATGATACGCTACCAGGTCCTTTGTTACAGTTCTTCACTAGTCGCCTTCATCCAGTCTTCTGCTTCAGATATAACCACTTCACACAATTGAGGGAGCTTTAATTAAATGTCATTGGCAGAAAAGTGGTGCAATTCAGGGACAAAGTCTTTGAAACTCCAATAACCAAGGAAACAAAAGGAATGAAGAATGAAACTGCAGAGGTTTTCAAACTGGAATCAAAGTCGTAACATCTTCACTAGTGTCGATGTGTTAGTTGTTTTAACAGGTTTAAATGATGAAGGCACAGTGAATCAGTGATGGACATTAACAGGCTATTAAGCAGGAAGTGGTTTAACATTCACAGGTTACATTGACTGACAATATCACTGCATTACTTTTCAACAGAAAGGCAGGACCATTGCTACATAATCCCTTTGTTTCCACATATGAAGATATATGAGCTGTTGTCTCTCATTTTAACAGGTTAGACGGGAAGAATGTCTGGAATGTATTGAGATACATTGTTTTAGTGTGTAGACTCGTTTAATTGTAACATGGAGGACTGGGAACTGCACACAAGCAACTGGCTTGCCACCAACCAAGCACCTAGTTTACTTGAAGAAAAAAGCACTATGCCAAACAAATTGGGAAACTGAGCAACAGAGGGCAAAGCATAATAAGAGTACAAAATCTGACAGAAATGTTATACAAACTATGTCTGCCTGAACTGAATAACTGCAAATAAAACATTTTTTTTTAAAAAGAGGAAGAAGACTGGCTTGGCTACTTTTTTTACTGCAAGTCTGCACCACATAAACTTTTCATCCAATTTCCTGTCTTTATCTGCTTCGAGATTAATGAAGTTTTGCTACTTTTTATTAACCAGTTACATGGCCAAAGCAGAACATTCATGTTGCACCACCATCTACGCATGCATAATAATACTGTAGATGTATATTATATGTGTAGCAATGTATTTTTTACACGCTCTCTGGGACATACTTGAAAACAAAATACATTTCTATGTAACATTCTTGGTAAAACAGGTTATCAATAAAATAAATAAAACCGAAACGGTGAGTAAGGCACTATATCGTTAGGGATACGCATTTGTATTCCTAAGGCTATTGTGTTCCTTTACAAGTTCTAAATGACAGTCTCAAACACACAGCATTATTTGCTGGATACAAAACTTATATTATTATATACAATAAATATATTATTGATATAAATTAATAGTACATTAACTTAAAAGAATGCACATATTTTATTTTGAAATGTTTCTTATATATAGTGTTAAAAGAAAATATGCATCTCAGAAAATAAATGGAACACTAGTATCACTTGGACCCTTTAATGACAAAAAAAAATTATATAAAAATAAAGTTGACTATTAATAATAGGCTTAGATAAATATATGTAAATTATATTGTATTATCTGCAGAGAGGCAGCAAGCAAATAATTCAGAGGAACATTTTAAACTACTGCATTAAAGGAACACTATAGTCACGAGAACAACTACAGCCTATTGAATTTGTTCTGATGTGTAGAATCATTACCTTCAGGCTTTTTTCTGTAAACACTGTCTTTTCAGAGAAAATGCAGTGTTTACATTACAGCCTAGTGATAACTTCACTGGCCACTCCTCAGATAGCTGTTAGAGATCCTTCCTGGGTCATGGCTGCCTAAAATGCATCCAGACATTCAGTATCTCCTCCCTCTGCATGCAGACACTGAACTTTCCTCATAGAGATTCATTGATTCAATTCATCTCTATGAGGAGATGCTGATTGTCCAGGGCTGTGTTTGAATCATACTGGCTCTGCCCCTGATCTGCCTCTTTGTCGGTCTCAGCCAATCCTACGGGGAAGCATTGTGATTGGATCAGGCTACTACTTCTGATGATGTCAGCAGACTGCTTGTTTTTCTGAGTCTAACAGCAAGCAGAGTTAGTTTCAAGCTTGAATACAGTAAGACTTTGTATTGGGGGGGCTAGATGATGGTGTTAACACTATAGGATCAGGAATATATGTTTGTGTTCCTGACCCTATAGTGCTCCTTTAAAGGGACTCTCCAGTGCCAGGAATAAAACATATCCGTTTTTTTCCTGATTATTTTAGCTACTATCAAGTTCTGGTTGTGTGTACCCCAGTACTCTTCTCTGCTTTTTCCCTGAGCTGACATTTAATTCCCGGATTTGATTGACCCTTTAGCTATCCGGGGCTCAGTGTGCTAATAAGAGTACGGCACACTACAGACTTCTATATTGACCATAATATTAGTAGCCATTAGTATAGAACTTGTAGCATATACAGATTCACTTCTTATTCAGTAAAGCTTGAGAGTGCTGTTTATTAACATTAGGACTATCTTCTTACTCCATTCTCTATCCTATACCTGGTGCCCTTGAAGGCACTATTCCTACTTGGTTTATTTGGTGATTTCTTATTACTAGATATCATATTTTTCAATAGAATTACACAATTTCCAGATTACGATGTCCTTCCTTTTAACTGAGAAATTTCACCAGCGATCATTTGAATACTAATATAGCATGCCTTAATATCTGCTCTCATTCCTTATACCAGAACTTTTGACGACATTATTATTGCACAAGTCTATTCACTAATTTCATTATAGATAGAGTTTATATTATATCATAGGAGAATCTCCTGTGGTTAAACTGCATTGATACATTGTAGTGTATCCTTTTGGATACATATACACTAACCCATTTAGATGTAATTGACATGGAAGGCAGTAATATCCATGATAGTTACATTTGACTCAACTGGGTATCTCTTGATACAATTTATTAGAAACTGAATGTTATTGCCAGCCTCACTCAGTGGGATTCACTTGGACTATATCCTATTTTGGATTTACTGACACCACCACATATTCATTCTTTTTCATGTTGTTATGTGTAAACTATCCATTAGATTATTAGACTATTTATTTGATTGTTTTTTTTCTTTTTCTTGTGTGCTCCTTGCTTTGTCTGCCATAATTGACTCTTGTGTAGTCAGGTAGCCATCGCTGGGGTTTTTATAGATTTATGTTCTCTATATATAATAAAGTATTTTAGAGATTTTTAACTGTTTGTGTGTACCTTATATTGGTAGTAGGGACAGACTCTTTTCTTTCCTCTTTTTTCCTGGCACTGTAGGGCCCTGCAGTGGCCCTCTCCCTCCCATCCCTCATTCCATGTTGCTGAAGGGGTTAAAACCCCTTCAGTGACTTACCTGAATCCAGTGCCGATGTCCCTCGGCGCTGGGTCTGTCTCCGCCCACGCACCTCCCCCGCAGACATCAGCCGGCGGGGGAAACCTAATGCGCATGCGCAGCAATGGCCGCGCGCGCATTAGACCTCCCCACAGAAAAGCATTATTCAATGCATAGCGTGAGGATGTCCAGCGTCGTTTAAAATACTTTTCGTGTGCTAAGAAAACCGAAGTCCCTCTAGTGGCTGTCTGGCAGACAGCCACTAGAGGAGGACTTAACCCTGCAAGGTAATTATTGCAGTTTATAAAAACTGCAATAATTACACTTGCAGAGTTAAGGGTGGTGGGAGCTTGCACCCAGACCACGCCAATGGGCAGAAGTGGTCTGGGTGCCTGGAGTATCCCTTTAACATCACCTCCCTTGACCACTGTCAGTGTCAAAAGGCAGTGGCGATATTCTTTATAAATATTTAGTTTTGTAGCGATAGGGTTACGTAACCTGCAACCTTTAAAAGAAAATACTTAACCCCACGCCCAGATTCCTCCACTAAAGTGACTGAATCGTTACAGGTGAAATTCTAGCATAGCTCATAGTTAGCTTGGAGGACAGTTTATTTTCCATGAAAATGCACAGAGAGAAAGGACACCTTTTGTGTTCGGTGTCAGGCTGAAGGTAAACAGTTCTGAATAGGCATCATTATCACACAATATAATAGACACATTATATTTGAATTAAACAAAGAAAACCTGTTTCCTTAAGAACCCATGTATTGTAAGTTCAGTTAAGCAGGTTCTGTATCAACTCTTGTGACTGTCAGCTCAGCAGTACTTTGTCTGTCAATTGCCTCTTTCTATATATACCCATTCTAATTGTAAAACACAAGGAATATGCTGGGGCTATATAAATACTAATCAGAATAATAATGTATACGTCTCCTAAGGTACATAGCTAGAATTGGAATGCACACCTGGCAATCCACCTTCCCTTCTGGATACAAATCAATTTCACAGTCTGTGTAATTATAGCCCACTTCCTCCTTTAGGCTGTGTGCTCTTCTCTCGTTCCTGTATGACCACATATGGCATGAGTTACTTTTGTGCTTTGTTTATGCATTGCACAGCATTTCAAAATATTTACATATCATAATATGTGTGTTGGGTAAAGCCTACACAACCTATACAAACAATCTATACAATCAAAGTAAGTGGGTTAATCTCATAAGAGCAGGTGTTAGGTTGCTAGGATAGGACCTGCAAAAATTGGGGTATACTGGTGTTGCTGCAGACTTATGCAACATATGATTATATACTGTAACTAACCCCCCATTATTTTTGCCAGGTGTTCTAAAAAATTAAAACTATTGAATTTTGTAAGCTGGCTATCTACATAGCGTTACCATGATTTATGTCCTTTAGCATTCCTTATAAGTGTGTGTTACACCTCATATAAAGCAACGCAATGCAGTACACTCCCCCGTGCAGCATTGAGAAAGAGTGTGTGCTATTCAAAATTAAAATTCCATATTTAATCCAAGCTAATTTGCCCTACATACCAATCTGGATAACTCCTGAAAGAAATGTTTATTTTGCCATTAGCCCTCCTCCTTCTCTCTTTGATCTATTGGTTAATTAATGTGCATCGAGCCACTAGAAAAAAAACTGTAATATAATTATGAAAAAAAAGGAATTGTAAAAAATTATATATCTCAATGTTTCTAAACGTTGTCAGTTGATTAAACAAACATAAAATATATGCCCAAAATGATAGAAAAAAATGTTCTGTCTAAATTAAAGCTTATAAGTAAAACTACTAAACTGTTTACAGAAATACTAACATATAAAAGCAGGTAGAGAAGACAAGTTAGCTCTGCTTTAAAGAGAAAATCTAATTACCCTTAATCTACTGAGGTGCAATTAAAACAAATAAACACTTCGGAAGGTCTGTAAACATATAGAAGAACAGATGACAAAGTTGTCTCCCACATTGCAGTAGCTGAAATATAACCTTTGATGGGATCCACAGTTACACCAATTACTGGAAATACAAACAGAGTGCATGGTGCATTCATCACATATAGATAAGGAAAATAACCATATACATTAAACACATACCTTCACATGAAAGTCCATGAGAGGTAACCCCTGAAAGGGCTTCTCGGCACACATTGCAGTAAGTTGGGCGGGCATGAGAGCAGGCATACCAGTTATGCATTCCTGAGAAATGGTCCATACTGTACTGTGCAGACTGCAGAGTATGAAAAAGAAAATGCTGTTTACCCTGAAGGCAGTGACCACATGAGTAGATCCAGCAGGTCAGGGCAGATTAGTGCCTAGACGAACAATGAATGCTCTAATTACTGCACCATTACACAGGGAGGAGAAAAAAATAAGTTTACTGAAAATAAATATCCGTCACTGAATGAGAAAAGTCCCACAAACACAGCACTCCTGCCAGCAACAAAAAAAGTTATAAAAAAAAAAAACACACAAAAAAAAGAAAGAAATAGACATCTATGACAGAAAGCAAAAAATGTTTTGGCTATAAATAGTCTGGTCTGGAATGTTTTAGGCAGGGGTAAAGGGAGACAGTCACCTGTGGGATACAAGCTATAGGCTGAGTGATCCAGCTGCAACTAAACACAGCGTAAAGAATTCTATTGTAGGAGGAAATTCTCGTCATGATGCAAATGCTATTAAGGAAGGATTAGCTGTGTCACTCTTACTGGCTGAGAACTTGCTATTACCTCAAAGAGCTCGCGGTTCTGCACAGATTTGAGAGCTGCCATCCATTCCTCCATGTCCTTCCTGTTATCAGCACTAAGGATCAGTTTGCGAAATGGGGTAAATACCTAGGAAAAGAGGAGGTCAAAGTGTCAAGGGAGAGTGAAACAGGTAGATGTCCAGTAAGGAGAAGAAACAGAGTCTCATGCAATATGGGAGGAGGAGTTAGAAAAAAGAATCTAATTTGGAAAAGCTGTTTGCCAAAGGCATGTCCCTCCAGTGTGCATGGTGGCACTGGAAACACAAACAAGGGCTTGCCTGAAAACTTTAGTAACCAGAGAAGCTGTAAAGGGGTGGGAGGTTTGTGATCAGGGAACTCAGAGAGTGAAAGGAAAGGAGACAGATAGGAGTCACAATAAAGGATTAATGAAGAGAATTAAATCATGATTTATTAAACTCTATCCTGATTTAGGAAAGCCACATTAAAAATGGGAGGTCCCTGCTCACTAAGTGGGGAAACGCTAGTTTTGTCCTGTTGAATACTGGCACACAAAGAATTGTATGAGAAATTATTATTACCCTGTAGACCAGTAACCCGCTTTCTGCCCTGTAGAACGTTGCCCTTTTTGTAATTTAGAAAAAATGAGAGTGAAGCTATAAAACCACTCCTTGTTGTAAATTCCTTCAAATTTCTTAACCCTTAAACATTATAATACTAGAAAGGAGGAGCTACACAGTCTAAATGAGCACATCCGATAGTGACAGCCTTCCATTATCATGTCAGCAGTATTGTTCAGCTTGGAAACAAGGTTCTTAAACAGGTCTGGAGAGCACAAACTATCCATAGAACATGTACAATTAGCAGCAAATATTTTTTGTTGTCATGCTGCAATAGACCATTGGTAGAGATACAACATGGAGTTGACTAGATATTCTGCAACTTGGATGGAAGTCTCTTGAACCTGAGTGTGTGTGTATGGGGACAGTGTTTGTGGGGCAGTGTGTGTGTAATGGGGGGGGAGGAGGCTTTTTAATAATAATTTTTTTATTTATTTAATAAAATAAATATTCTGCCCCACAAACACTGTCCCCATACACACACTGCCCCCCATACACACACACTGCCCCACAAACACTGTCCCCATACACACACTGCCCCCTAACACACACATTACAACCCTGACCTACACTGCCGCACTCACACACTTTTACCCTTAACACACACCACTGCTCCTATACCCTATATCCCAGCAGATCCCAGGTAAGTTGTCAAACTGTTCTTAAACGGTATGACTACTTACTCTGGGGTGGAATCCTGGCACTACTGACACCATAACTACTACACTGAGCTGTAGTGGTTATTGTGCCTGGATTATTTATTTAAATAATCTACAAGTGCCCCTCCCGAGATCAGGCTCTGGATCCGCCACTGGGTACAGGCTGACCGAGTTATAGGGGAGAGTGATCACAAATTAATGCTTTGCACCAGCACACATGTGCAGATATACAGGGGCACTTTAAAATGTGCTAATAGTAGTGATGCTATTATGTATTTGCTCCTTAATTTCACTGTAATTAATGTTTAAATCATGTACTACATGGCTAGAATTTTATCTATATATTGTACTATCAAAATGGCAAATTAATAGCTGAAAACACTTTCCCACTTTATTTTTTGGATTACTTCAGCCTTTAGGTAAAGAATGCAATGCTTTGCACAGACAGCTTAGCAAAGTATGCTGCAAGACCTAAAGGGCACTCGCATGCATGTTAGTCACTATGGGGGCAAAGCAGCAACACATTCAAATGCCCTATCCATCCCAGATGTCATGTTGTACAAGGAGATTTGCAGGGCAAGAAACATTTAATTCTGGTTAGTAGTGTAAAGCATTGATTAGTTGTGCTCAGATCAGCACCCACCCTCTGAAATGAGTTGACAACCCTACAATAAGTAAAGAAAGCATGATATACAACTACCCATTGCGTTGCCTAGTGCAAATCTGAAGTTTAACCCTGCCCAATCTGTGAGATCTTTTTCACAGGCTAACTTACATACCGTAAAGCTGTTATTCAGGTTTTTAGTGCTGGACTCTGCAACACTAGCGTCTGTTATGTCCACTTCTTCAAATATGATAGACTGCAAGGAGTAAAGAACAGAAAGCACAGGTTAGGATTAGGGGCAGAAAATGCCAACAATCTCTGTCAGCAAAGAGCAATTTAGACTTGCATGGACAGTACTGATTAAATCCCTTATAGACAGGTAAAAGTAAATAAGAGGATGCTCCCCTGTTGTGTTTTCAGCAAAAGAAAAAACAGGCATCATTATCTACTTTGTGTAATCTAAGCTATAATGTTTACAACACATTTTATAGGTAAGGGGTAAATAATTGCACAAACAGAGTGTTTCATTGTATATTATTTTTAGGAGAGGAAAGCTGCTAAATTGTGAACTGATTTTAAAATGTAAACTGTTGGTCAAAAATGGTGATTTAAAAACAAAACAAACAAAAAAATCTTTATTTTTGGACAGCCAAAAAACAATACTTGTACGTAATTGCAGGAAGGCATTTGGTACACGGTTCAGCAGTACACGTTGACAGAACCAGGTTACAAAATAAGGTAAATAAGAGCAGATTACATGAGTTCGAACTGAAAAGGATGTGAAGATCAGATTATACAGTTGTGATTGGTAGCCCCCCGTGTGGTATGGGTAATCATTGACTGTCTGTTTTATTTTGTAAAAACTGAAAATAACTGAACGTAGCTTGTTTATATTGACCGTGTAATTATCCTGGTTACAAAATATTTTGAGGTTATTGTGCAGTTTTCTAAGCCTGTCAACTCGTTTGAGTTCAATAAAACAAAAAGAGAAAAAGGAACAGAAAATAAAAACTAAAGCCAACAGTGATCTTTCTAGACTTCATTCCATCCGTTGCCACAAAGCTTTCATGGGAACACTCCCACAATTAGCATGTGATCCGATGCAAGACCACTCTCCCCCTATATCCCCCCCAGCTAATCTCCCTAGGTCCCCAACTTGAGCCCTTACTTTTTCAAAGGGATTGTGTGGTGTGTAGTATGCTAGCTTGTCCACAAGATAATTCTTCTTAACCCTCAGTATAATCTTTGTCATTTTAGGGGTTGTATCTCCCAGCCATCTCGCAGCCTCTGTTCCCCTGGCCACCAACGTGATTCTAGTCATAAGTTTCTTAGTTCTGGACACCTTGGTCAGAATGACTGTAATTTCATCTTTTTCAATTTCCACTTCATTACAATTCACTATTTAGATGTTTCCATTCTATATATAATCCGATTTCCAAACGTGAATGTGGCTGTTACTTTAAATTCTATTTTGGAGCAAGTTACATATAAGTAAGGTGTAAGAGAACACAGCAATTCCCTGCTGTGCAGTCAGAGGTCAACACTGATGTGATGACAGTAAAAAATGTAGTCCTATTTCACTAAACCTCAACTTCAGGACAGATCAGCATTCCTTTGACTATTAGAGAACAAAAACATTAACTTAAAATGTCATTGCCATATCAACCACAAAGTAAACTGTTACACATTTATCCACAACATTTGAATGCTAAATTTTAATCCATGCTAAATATTCAGAATAAAGAGAAAGAGCTTATCTGGACATGCATAGTTGAAAAAGGAGCTATGTACCCTTTGATCTGTGCTTGTATAGATGAATGTTACTTTTTAGTTCCGTACATTATACTGGAAGTTGAACCATAGGGGTTATTCACTACAATGGGAATTGTCATGAATTAAAAGTGAATTCAAAATACATTTCAAATGTAAGGCCAAAGCAGCTAAACTGGAAGCTTTGCTGACATGGTGAATTTGTTTTTCAAGTTTAGCTATTTATGCCTTAAAGGGACACTATAGTCACCTGAACAACTTTAGATGAATGAAGCAGTTTTGGTGTAATACTTTATTAGTGACGCTCTCTGTGAGACTTTATTTTGTATGATCTCCTGATGTTTTTACAAAATAAAACCTACCCTTCTTTAGCAGCAAGAGAAGGCTAAAAGCCAATGGGACTTAGGTTAAAATTGAAGATTTATTACAACTTTATATATAAACCCCCCACCCCCACAAAAAAAAGACATAAATGTAGTATAAATGAAATGTAGAAGACCCAATGGTTGGTTTTGGCTGTCTGATTATATCAGTTATTTTTTAACGTTAAAGCATTTCATTGTTTTGTATGTAAATTTGTTGCTTCATATTGTAGGCTTGTAATAACTCACTTAAATCTGTCCAAACAAGAGTCTAGTAGACATCCTGGGTATGAAAATTTGAAACACAAAATCATAAATTATAATATAATAAATAATTCTTATAAATAATATAATAATTTTAATAATGTAATCAAACCAAAAACACTGAAATTTGTCCAAACAAGGGTGCAATATTACTAGTCACTGAAATACTAGACACTGCATATTGGTTTAGTTAACATCCCAAGTATGAAAACATTTTGAAACATGGGACTGCACAAAGTCTGACGTCACAAACAAGACAATGAAACTTGTTTCCTTTCTGGGTTTTTTTCCCACTGTCATCTCGCTTTGAGCGAGCAAAAACCACGCACATCCTTGTAGGTGCTGACTTTTTCTCGGTTGGTGGGATGTAGTCCATGAAGTGATGACCAGTCAGGCGTCCCGTGTTAACAACTCCAAAAGCACGACGTCCAGCTCTATTCACAGCCATTGATGGTGTTTGGTGGTTCACAATGATATGTTCAGCAACTTTCCAAATTAAGTCAGAATGTATCAAAGGCTTTTCACCTCTTTTTTTTTTTTTTTTTTAAAGCCGAATGTAGGCATTCCACAAGCATTGCTCAAGAAGATGCCTGGAGATCTTCTTGTAGTACTTATTTTGCTGTTTCTTTATTGCTGGGTAGAATGTCATTGCTTGGTCAGCTCTATCGACACCTCCCATGGTGTTATTGTAGTCTATCACTACTTGTGGCTTCATGATTTCTTTCCCACCTTTCGTGCGTTCCATAACAGCGAAGGTATTATGAACTGTACTCATTAGGCACACATCTTTCTTGTCACGCCATCGCAGTGCCATCCTTTTGCCTTTTTCCAGGCAACCATTTCTCCAGTCTTCAGCTTCTTATTGCCAAACATTGGCGGCATGTCACGCCGGTTAGCCCTAACGGTTCCATAGGAATCTGTTTTGTTTTACAGAAGAAACTCACAAAGTTCTGGAGACGTATAAAAGTTGTCAGTTGTTACGCAATAGCCCTGATTTAGAAATGGCTCAACGAATGAAAGAACGGAAGATGTTGCCATTCCATAGCTGCTGTATTTTGGATTTCATTTTTTTCCTTTTCCAGTGTAAATTAGTGAATTCCAAATGTAGCCAGTTGACGATTCACATAGCATGTAGGATTTTAAGCCAAATCGTGCGCTCTTTGAGGCAATGTATTGTACCAAGCTGAGTCTTCCCTTGTAGGCCATTAGACTTTCATCTATGCTGATCTCTCTTTCTGGCACATAGCTCTGCTGGAAATTCTTTAAAATCATTTGAGATACTTCCCAAATTTTCTTTAATTTTGATGCAGGATGAGTAGTTTTTATCAAATTGTTTGTTGTTTTCGAAGTGTAAAAATATAAAAATGATCAGGGAAAATCTGTACTCTGACATGACCGTACCAAAGAATGGAGTGGCAAGTAATTTATCAGTTATCTCCACCTGCAGGGCTTTCCCCACCACTCCTTGAAGTATTATTAGTCCCAGAATCTTCCAAATGTTATCTTAGGTCACTGGTTCCCGCTTTCTGCTTCTTGAAATCTTGCGATGCAGAGTAACTAATTGTTGCTCTTTGTACCGGTTTGTCTCAGTAACTATTTTTTGAATAACCTCATCGGTCATAAATAATTGTAAGTATGCCAAGGGGTTGTTGTGTTCAACGTCTACTTTCATACCAGATGCTCCAGCAAATGTAAATGGGGGCGTTGCCTGTTCCATACCACAGTCAATAGAGCCCCAAGTTCACACATCACTGAGCTCAGTTGCAGAATTGTCGCTGTTGTCACTTTCAGTGTCTGATGACGAATTTTACCATGAATCACTATCGCTCAATTCTACAAGTGATTTTAATTCACTATCGCTGTTTTCTAACTGGTCTAAACGCACTTTTGACCTAAAGGGACGCTTTTTGGATGCCATGGACGTTCTCATGTTTCCAGGCAGAAAGAATGGTAAAAGTGCAGACAGGACACTGGACAAAGCACTGGGTCAAAACTGAGGTGAAAAGGTTTGATAGAGTAATGTAACCCTAACAGATTACACTGTATCACTATGTATTATGTGTATTTGTACATTAAAAAAAAAAAAATATTTACGGCCTAGTTCCGCCAGGCGGCGCACACAGTGAAAAGGAAACCCGGAAGATGGATGCTGGCAGAGAACACTGCGGGGGGACATCAGGGGCTCGTAGGGACAAGGTAAGTGATACTTCAGTGTAATCTCGAGTGTTGCTCGGGGGTTACCGCTTTTGGTACTGAAAATTAACCTCGAGCTATGCTCGGGATTACCATCAGAGAGGTTTATCATGTGAGTCTTTAGTTTTTTTGACGTAGATTTAAAAAAACAAATACTTAGAAAGAATTTCAGAGACATGGATTGTATTAAAATATCAAATCTCTGTTGTGCCCTAACGAAATACCTCTAGACTGTAAGCTCACTTGAGCAGGGTCCTCATCAACCTATTGTTCCTGTAACATTTTGTAATTGTCTCATTTATTGTTAAAATTTCCCTCTTTAATAATATTGCAAAGTGCAGCAAAATAAGTTGGTGCTATGTAAATACCAATAATAATAATAAAATAAAACACATATAAGAGAATTAAGCTATCCCAGAGTTGAATAATCACATGTGCTATGTAGGTCTATCGTATCTATAAGATAAGGCCAGGGAGTGACGCTCTCTGTCTAATGACACTATTTAGAATATTGGGCAGACTAGATGAGCCGAATGGTTCTTATCTGCCATCACATTCTATGTTTCTATGATAGCTTAGGTCCCAGGTTTCTGCATTTCCACTGCAGGTGATACGTCTCGATAGAAGATATGCAACAGTTGTAACATTTATCATACCAAACTTACAGAAGGACCAGCCTACCCAAAGCAACCAAGTCATTGAGGCCAACTGTACCTTTCCTGATAAAACCTCTAAAACCCTAGGATAGATTTCAGAAATCAGGGGCACATGTATAGATGTATAGTGTTACCAACAATTGAGAAAAATAATATTCTCATGTACCAAGAGTCACTAATTGCTATCTAGGATGCCAGCAGGGGTCACCTACAAACTCCAACCTGACGTTTTAAGCAAAAAAAAAATCGAAAAAAACTAAAATAGTACAAGAAGGCTTTAAGCGAAGCTATAGTCACCAGAACAACTACAGTTTATTGTATTTGTTACGGTGAGTAGAATCATTCCCTTCAGGCTTTTTGCAGTAAACACTGTGTTTTCAAAGAAAATGCAGTGTTTACATTACAGCTTAGGGATAACTCCACTGGCCACTCCTCAGATGGCTACTAGAGGTGCTTCTTTGGGCAGTGCTGCAGAGTAAGCAGCACTGCCATTCAGTGCCTCCGCCCTCTGCATGCAGAAACTGAACTTTCCTCATAGAGATACATTGATTCAATTAATCTCTATGAGGAGATGCTGATTGGTCAGGGCTGTGTTTGATTTGTGCTGGCTCTGCCCCTGATCTGAATGCTTGACAGTCTAAGCCAAACCTATGAGAAAGCAGCAGGCAGATCAGGGGCAGAGGCAGCAGCTGCAGACTTGAAAACAAGTACGATTTTACTATATTTAGGGAGGCAAGACGGGAACAGGAGGCTAAATAGTGGTTTTAACACTATAGGGTCAGGAATACAAGTTTGTGTTTCTGACTCTATAGTGTTCCTTTAAAAAAAAAAAAAAACATACTAAAATAGGTGGTAAAATCATTAATTTAATGTCTTTCAAATATTCACCTAACTTAAAATGTACACTCGAAGTTGGAGATGATCATTAGTTTTAATGCATTATGTATTTTTTTTTAAAACTTTAATTATGCAAATAAACTATGTATGTTCATAAAAATATTTGGCGGTTTTACAAGTCTACATGTCACTTTGTTTGTGCAATACTGAAAACAAATGAAACTACAATGGTTACATTTGTGTAAGGCTGATTTTTTGTTTTTTTCTGGTACAGAGGGTCTCCCCTTAAATTGTCAGTAAAAAAAAAAATACATTTCAGACATGCAGACATTATTAAACCCTATACAGCTTTAGCATGTGCCTTTCCTCCTCCATGGCTGACCTTTGCAGTTTTGGCATAATACAGAGTCCTCCCACGCAGTTTGAAGTAGCGTCTTCTCCATCTCTGGAAGGAGCTGGTCTGTTTCTGCAGGTGGCCTTCCTTTACAATTGCCTGGAGAAAAGCAAGAAGGTAGAGTTTTAGAAGTGTACCCTGCAGCACATGCAATCCTGCACTTACATGTGAAAAAGTAGTATAAAGCAGATCTCAAACACAGCCAGCTTGCCATGGCAAAGCACAAATGGAATCTCTCTGTCAGTCAGGAAAGATCAAAAGTTCTGACACACACTTTCAGTTTTATTGTTCTCCCTCTCTCCTCTCCGCTCAGAACTTGCTGGTGTGGAGGAAGGAGAAGAGATGGAAAGTCTGAAGTACAGTCAGCATTGTTAATGGGGAAGTGAGCTGTCTCTGTGCAGTTTAATAGTAGAGATGGCATTCTCTGCTCCCTCTGCACTCCAGCACACCATCCTCTCAGCACTTTGCCTGAATACAGCAGTTGGAAGTGCTAGGGGGAGGGAGGCTTACTGCAGTGAAGGCACCCAGTTAGATTTCCCCCTATGGTGCATCAGAACTATTTCATTAGAATTTTGCTACAGAACAAATGTATCTCTTCTTCATCCAGAAGCCAATGTCCTATTCATCGAATCTGGATCTGTATAAAAAGCATTAAGAGTTATCCCTAAGCTGTAATGTAAACACTGCATTTACTTTGAAAACACAGTGTTTAAAAGCCTGCAAAAAGCCTGAAGGGAATGATTTTACTCACCGGAACAAATACAATAAACTGTAGTTGTTCTGGTGACTATAGCTTCCCTTTAAGCCTTCTTGTACTATGCTCATCGAATCTGGATCTGTATAAAAAGCATTTCTATGTCTGTACCATGCACATTTGCATTGCATGTCAGGAATGAGATGCAGTTCGTTGACAGTCTCTGAGATAACCCACTTTCCTGAGACTTTCTAAACTGCACCTCGTTCCTGTCAGTCTCTTAAATGCACCGTATTCAGGAAATGAGTTAAACTGGTCCTGATGTTAGACCTGGCAGTCTCTGTACTGCACCTTATTTAGGACACTATCTAAACTGCAGTTTGTGCACTATCTGAGCTGCTAGACAGCCTTTGAACCGCAGATGATTCCATATCCTCTTTCTGTGAAGATAAATGCATTCATGTACTTTAACAATTAATGAGTTCCTACAGCACCGCTCTCTGGGGCTATCTACTTGTCTGGTCCTGGTTTGAGTGTCTCGTTTTTTTCTCTAGTCTGTAAGTCTAGCTGCTATCATTTGTATTCCTTGCATTGTATTGCTGCATTACATTTTGAAGCTGACTGCCATCCAGTGTTACAGTTTAAGTACTGCTTTATTTTATTTTTTTTGCTTCGATTATTCATCAGTCACTGCTTATCACTGTCTACTTGAAATTCATAGTTGTTATATAAAAGAACCTGCCTGTATTGATTGCTTATGATTACCACTTTTTTTAATTTTACGATCAGATCCTTTCTCCCTCAATTTGTGATATTGTTTCTTTATGGTAACTGCACTAAACACAGGTAGGAAAACAGTAACATGAGACGGTTAACATAAACACAACAGGTTGGCATATATACACAATATATCTCTCCTGGACCTTGCACTAGTCTGATCTCTGAATATTTGGTCTGGAGCAATTTTCAACTTGACATTATTGAAAGAGAACACTCATGGGACTTCCCAATAACATTTCAATCTGTAATCTGTATTTAGTACATTATACCACAAAATAAATTGTTTTTTTCTGCATAAAAAGTACGAGGATAAAAAGAGAAGTGGAATGTAACATTTTACTAGAGGAAAACTGACGAAAACATTGATAAATCGATTTTATGGCAGAAAAATTGGTGTGCATTCAAAAATTATCAGGATGCAAAAGAAACAACAGATAAAAATAATGACAGATTTAATAAACTGTGCAAAAAAAAAAAAAAAAAAGTATAAAACCCCACTCCAAAAAAATAGTGCAAAATTGTCTGTAATATCAAACGGCTAACTGATGAAACAGACGACCATTTAATGCAGCGAAGTATTAAATTTAATAAACTTTCTAAATTATTCAACACTGTTAGAAGTACTTTCCATATGATTTATCTACAAAAATCCCCACTGACGTTAACGGTGAGGTCTATAGAGAAATAATTTGAAAAGGTTATTAAATTGAGCCCTAAGTGTTAATACATCTTTATTATTCTATTTGGAAAGTCCCTTCAGTGCAATAGTTCAAGTTGATATATACAGAACTATATATTTAAATATATATATATATATATATATATATATTTCTAGTTACCTTTTGATATGAAAATGCCACCCACTCTAAGAACCACAGCTACTACAGTTCATTGTAGTGGTTATGGTGGTGCAGAGCTCAGCTGTGGTGATTATGGTACCTAAAAGTTCCCCTTTAATAATTGGGTCACCACAGGTTGTTTTTTTTTTAAATGTTCAGCTCAATGATGGCAGAGTGATTACTGTGCTAAAGTCAGTACTGCATACACAGCTGCTGTTTATGTTCATTCTATTCCTTTTGTGAAGTGACCCAAAGAACATATTTGAGGTTAGCTAGTTGACCCATTCCTTTTTCTAAAACTAGGTTAGTGACATATGTCTCAATTGTAGTTTAATATATACTAAAACAGGGGGCGACCCATCAACACACCAACCTGTGCAACGTCATAAAGATCAGTGTTTTAAAACTACCGAGTATTGCAAAGGGAACCTACAAACATGTGGGATGAAAATCTGAAGACGTGATAATGCTGCCTGGGATAATTTGCGTATTTTGCATGACATTCTACGAGAATTCTAAAAACACGACATTTCATAGCTGCTGCTTCTGGTGCCTTGTGATATGTAAATAAAGACAGAGAGTCTAGGCACTATAATTGTTTTGCTCCTAGAGTGTTTTAATTAAATATATGCAACTCTGAAAGGACATGGCTTCCCAGCTGTAATCCCACGCACATGGATGCATCTGTGTCTCTATAACTCATGGAATCCTATACTGCTCAAATGGGAGCTCTCTGGGGATTCAGCAAAAAGCTCATGAGAGGGAAATATGTACCATTTTAGAAACACAACCATATGTCCTTATATGTATGTTTCGATTTCCTTTCTGTAACCCATTTCCTTTCTCTACTGTTTTTAGTAATGAAAACAGCATTAGTTGACAAGAATTTCTACATCATATTTCAAATAATGAAGCAAATTTCAGTGAATCGTTCTAGAAATACTGTATTTTTCCATGTATAAGACTATGTTTAAAAAAAAAAAAAAGAATTTGTCTAAAATTGGGGGTTGTCTTATACACGCAATGTCACTGCAGGGGTTTAAAAAACAACAACAAAAAGACAACGTATTGACATAGGAGCTCGTTATGTGAGGCATGATTCTTAGTTTATATGTTCTAGGCAACTATAACAAAATTCAGGTGTTCACTACATGTATACAATGTACATCGCTTGATTATATCATGTACCAAGCATGTAACCTTTTCTCATACTGTTTTCTAATGCATCACCTGCAAAAATAAAGAATAAAAAAAAAAAACACAACAAAAAACACTTGTGTGCGGGGCCTAAGTTAAGATGGCGCCTACCACCTTTCAGTGTGCCACAGCCCACACACATACCTGGCTTCCCTCCTGCCGACCAACTTCTGAATGCTGTGGCAAGGAGAAGGAGGTCCCTCTATGCATGGGAGCTGCAGCAGACATCAGTACTTACCAACAACGGAGATCCAGAGACATTCCACACCATAAAAGGAGAAGCCATATTAAGGTTTGCTCCATCTCAGGTAGGTCTTGCTCACTGATTTATATTTATGGGGGAGGAAATGGGGATCAAGGAGCAGAGGGAATACTACTGTGATGTCCAAGCATTCCCTCACACCACCTGCTGTATTGTGGGAGCTGTAGTCTTCCAGCATGCCCTCACACTACCTGCTGCATTGTGGGAGCTGTAGTCTTCCAGCATGCCCTCACACTACCTGCTGTATTGTGGGAGCTGTAGTCTTCCAGCATGCACTATAGAGCCATTAACTTCACAGAGCACAGGGGAGGCATGAGAATCAGAAATGTGTTGTTCTCCCCAGAAGTCACCTCTAAAATATCAAAGTGGTTTTATTTGATGTTTAAAATATTGATTTCTTAATTTTGGGCTCAAAAAATAGGGTTCGTCTTATACACGGAAAAATATGGTAATTCGCTTTCACAACTACTAGTTTCTTACTGCTTGTGGTCAGTATTCTTACTCATCTTCATGTATTTCCAAATACCACACCAGGTGTGTTACATCTACTGCTGTACTATGTTATTTCTCATGTACGATAAACTATCAGGGTTATTCATTATTGTGAGAATTCAAATTTTTTTTTCAATTGAAGTATAACATACAGTACATGCAGGTATAAGGTGTAGCGTCTAGATAAAAACATAACAGTTCACCAAAATGCCGAATACCTTGTTTTATTATATAAAAATAAAAAATAAAAATTTTACACTGAGGTAGTGTATCTGCACATTTCAAGGAAATATTTGAATTATCTCTTAGGCTGTGATAAAGCGCTGTCTATTTGCCGTATACCTGAAGCCGTGGGAGATACTATATGCATATTAAAGTGTAGAAGTAAAATGGTTAAGAGGTGGTTATAGCTATATTTATGACCCACGCGGTCGTCTGTCTACTTGGGCCCGATACTTATAAGAACATATAATACAATAAAGTAAACTACGGAGAGGATGCACTAGTAGTGGTCAATATCGGACTACATGGAGATTAAACATAAAAAGCAAACGTATGCATTTATATGCACAATTGATCAGTGTTAAGAATATAAACCTTATTTACAACAACAAAGCTGCGAAATAGGAGTTAGTGGGATCATAGCTGAAGACAGGTCGCAAGTACACAACAGGGTCGGCCTCGTTAACCTAGATTCATGGCTCAGTACTTTGAAGGCCCTAAAAACACTAGTGAAAAGCTCCTAGTCATAAAGTAGCCCTATTTCATTAGGCAACGGGGTGGGGCGGGAGTGGGGGTATTATACTAATGGAACGTAACAGAACAGCTTTCTGAGTTAGCACATGTATCATAGGAACATTTGGATAAGATTACTTTATCCCCAACATTGACTTTCAGTAGCAAATAAATAAAGCAAATAAAATAACAGAACGCATAGAAGAGGAGATACCTCTCACAGTACAATGACCATGGGGTCCACATCCTCACATGTAAATGTGGGAAAATAATAACAGATATACAGGGTTCCGTATAAAGAGCAGAACTGGGGCAAAGCATTAAAAGGGAGCAACCTGCAAGGAAACCAATGGCATGAACATGCTGAATGACCCACATTTAGAATCTTGCCCCAGAATCCTGCTTTACATATAAATTAAAGGTATGTCCCTTACATTCCATTTTCACACACAATTGTGGCAAACGCTCCTAAATGCTTTACAGGGGGCCATTCATCTGACCTGATTTGCAGGATTATTCCCCCCACACATAATGCTCTATCTGGGTATATCCAGGAGTGACAAAAAAAAGTCCTTTTCTTCTCTCCATTCCTAGCACTCTGAAATATTTGCCCTCTCTCTGTAGCGCATCTGTCTGTGACACAGAACATTCTTTAGTGAACCAAAAAAAATCATATGTACAAGCATGCCTTAATTAAATTATGCTGCTAAACCTTGTTCGACAGAGACCAAAATTATTTTAACACCTTTTATTTGGTGACCCATCATTCAGTTGTAAAATTATCTGTGACCAATTTTTCAATTCACATATGCTATATCCCAACGTAAACTCTGCAATACAACTTCCTTATACGCATTCTTAAAGGGAGATTTATCAAACAGTTACTAAAGTGAGTATTGTTGGAAATTCAAGGTGAATTCAAATTAGCCGAAATGGATGACTAGTTGACTTGGAGAATTATTCCGGAGTTCCAATTAAATCCCTTTTCTCCATATTAAAAATAATTATTTTTTTAACCAAATACACTATACTACCTGCTAAACATGTGCTTCTAATCAATATTCTATGTTTGTATAATGTTTCAGGATGATTTCATTGACATAGATTAAAAGGCAATATATTAAATGTTGGTTCTACCAAAATAATACACTTTTCTTTAAATAGCCATACACCTGATCCTTTCTAATGATCACCCTAGATGGCATTGGTATTGCTTACTACAAAGCAGTCATCATCAGGATAATCCATTAAAACAGGAATTGCGGACAGATGAAAAGGGAATGGCATTATTTAGACAAAAACAGAGACATTGAAAATAAAATCTAATTCAACTATTTAGCAAATTTGCAATTCGCCAAACAATTTCCTATCTAGTGACCTTAGTATTTATAGCTCATCTACTGTCTCCTTGCACTAATTATTTATCTTTGGCAAACTACAGTTTTGCTAGCAAATAGAAAAGGAGAAAAAACTATTTTAAAATATTTTTTTTCTCCCAGCTGTCAGTCAATACCTCAGCAATGTCTGACAAGGAAGACCAGAAAAGACCTCCCACAGGAGGTCCCTCTGCTATCCACCAATAGGCAAAATGGTGCATGCGCTGATTGCTACTGAAACCCCCTAAACTCCGTTCTGAAGCCAGTGTGCACATGCCACTGAAGAATTTTTCCCTTACTTGGGGATGCGTCCCAGGCAGGGCAAATCAAAGAAGTCAGCGAGAGGATCACAGGCGGAGCGGAGGATGGCCCATAGGTTGGTGTTACAGAAATAGGCGCTGAAACGGAGGAAACGCCATCAACTCTTATCATTACAGGTAAAGTGAAGTTACATTTTATTTTCACTTACTGTACATTGTGTTTGATATTTTTTTCTATATGATTTTATGCATGTCAGGCATTATTAAACTGTAAAATTTGTGTTAAAATGCTGTAATTTTGAGGGTCTGAAATGGATTAATCAAATTTACATCAATTCTTATGGGAAATGTTGATTTGGTTCTAGAACAAATCGGAACTCGAACAGCCTTCTGGAACGGACTAATTTCGAGTTCCAAGATTCCACTGTACATTGAATACACAATACATATTTATGATATGATGTAGTCAATGTATATGGGAGCGATTTCACGTAAGTTCATTTTATCATTGCAGGTTCACTCAGGGTATCTCCTTTAAATCTGAGGCTCACCCTTAGCCATTTCTCCATCAGTCTGTTACCCCATGTTCCTTAAAACTCTTATTGCTACCGAGATCAAGTCCTCTCACAGGGTTATTTACTAAAACATAAAATCTTGGTAATGCAAAGTAAATGTCATATTTTAGGCCAATACATCTAAACTAAAAACATAGTTGACTTGGGAGAGTGTTTCCAGCTTGGCTATTCTTGCCTTAAGGTTGACATCCGTATTGAATTCTGGTCTCTCCTAGCAGTAACAGTTAAAACATGTCAATGACTTATTTAACACTGCTCATTCCCAGACTGCAATGGTTAAACACTGGAACTCCACAGGTGCAGAACTACGTTTCCCATGATGCTCTGAAAGCACAAGCTGTATAGGGGCTACATTTCCCATGATGCTCTGCCTGGCAATTATCTAAACATTAATCTGCAAGTTCAACTAGGTTGCACTACGTTTCCCATGATGCCCTGCAGCCCAAATACTCCACTGTTATAACATATTTACCCATGATGAGTGCAGATATTAAGCTGTCCTCCATCTGTGATGGACTACATTTCCCATGATGCATCACTCACGGTCTCTGCAGTGCCAGAGGTTGGCCATTAATGGCTGTCTCCCAGGTCACCGTCTGGCAGGTTCATTGAGGGTCTCTGGGCCGCTCTCAGTGTGTGTGCCCCCCGCCCCTCTCCGGCCTCCCCCCAGCCCGCGGCTCGATTCATCCCCCCCCGGCTCACCTTCCGCCGGATCTGCCCGGAGGTGGACACTTTCCTGCGCAGCTTCTGCGGCTCGGGCTCCGGTTCGCTGTCTGAGGATTCCTCGGCCGGAGCCCCGGGAACTGCTGCAGCCAGGGAGGCCGCCATCACTGGCCGGGGACCGGGACACAGCGCCCGAACAGCGACCCCTACGGGAGACCGGCACACAGCGCCCGAACAGCGACCCCTGCCGGAGACCGGGACACAGCGACAGCCCTACCGGAGACCGGGACACAGCGCCCGAACAGCGACCCCTACCGGAGACCGGGACACAGCGCCCGAACAGCGACCCCTGCCGGAGACCGGGACACATCGCCCGAACAGCGACCCCTACCGGAGACCGGGACACAGCGCCCGAACAGCGACCCCTGCCGGAGACCGGGACACATCGCCCGAACAGCGACCCCTGCCGGAGACCGGGACACATCGCCCGAACAGCGACCCCTGCCGGAGACCGGGACACATCGACCCCTGCCGGAGACCGGGACACAGCGACCCCTGCCGGAGACCGGGACACAGCGACCCCTGCCGGAGACCGGGACACAGCGACCCCTGCCGGAGACCGGGACACAGCTCCCGAACAGCGACCCTTACCGGAGACCGGGACACAGCTCCCGAACAGCGACCCTTACCGGAGACCGGGACACCGCGCCGGAACAGCAACCCCTACCAGAGACTGGGACACAGCGCCCGAACAGCGACCTCTACCGGAGACTGGGACACAGCGCCCGAACAGCGACCCCTACCGGAGACTGGGACACAGCGACCCCTACCGGAGACCGGGACACAGCACCCGAACAGCGACCCCTACCGGAGACCGGGATACAGCGCCGGCTACCGGGAACCAAGAGAACAGCGACCCCTACCGGGGACCAGGACAACAGTGACCTCTACTGGGGACCGGTACAACCGCAATCTCTACCTGGGATCACGACAACGCGCCGACTACAGGAGACCAGGGCAACAGCAACCTCTACCGGGGACCAGGTCACAACACCAGATAGAGGGGACCAGGAAAACCACAACCTCTATCGGAGATCGTAACAAAGTGCCAGCTACAGGGGACCAGGAGAACACCGACCTCTACCGGGATACAATGCCACATATAGGTAACAAGGAGAACAGCGACCTCTTCTGGAGATCGGGACACAGCCCCAGCTACAGGGGATGAGGAGAACAACGACCTCTATCAGTGACCACGACACTGCGCCAGCTACAGGGGACCAGGACGACAGCAGCCAATACTGGGGACTGGGACACTGTCCCAGCTACAGGGGATAAAAAGAACAGTGACCTCTACCGGGACACAGCGCCAGCTAGAGGGGACCAGGAAACCAGCTTCCTCTGCTGGGGAACATGACAAGTTGCTGGCTACAGAGGACCAGGAGAATAGCTGCCTCTACCGAGGATCAGGACACAGCGACGGCTACAGAGGACCAGGAGAATAGCTGCTTCTACTGAGGATCGGGACACAGCGCCGGCTACAGAGGACCAGGAGAATAGCGGCCTCTACCGGTGATCGGGACGCCGCACAAATACAGGGGACCAGGAGAATAGCGGCCTCTACCTGGCATCAGGACACAGCGCCAGCTACTGAGGACCAGGAGAATAGCGGCCTGTACCGGGGATCAGGACATAGAGCCAGATACAAGGGACCAGGAGAACAGCAACCTCTACCGAGGACCAGGACACAGCCACAGCTACAGTCAATCAGGAGAACAGCGACCTATACCGGGGACTGGGACTCAGCGCCGGCTACAGGGGACCAGGACAACAATGAACTCTACAGGGGAGTGGGACACAGCGCCAACTACAGGGGACCAGGACAACAGGGACCTCTACCAGACAGAAGAACACCGCAACAGCTACAGGGCTGGTGCATGTACTTTTGACTACACAGGTGAAGATGTATTTTGCCGCCATGCATCTTCACCTGTGTAAAGTGTTTGTGCCTGTGTGTATATCTGTGTGTCTGTATCACTATGTGTGTCATTGTTGGTATCTGCAGCTGTGTCAATGTGTGTATCGGTGTATCTGTGCAACTGTATGTGTGTCAGTGTTTGTATCTGTGTGTCTATGTATTTGAATGTCTGTATCTCTGTGTGTGTGTCATGGTTTGTATCTTTGTGTTTGTACATCTGTATCTCTGTGTGTGTGTGTGTCATGGTTTGTATCTTTGTGTTTGTACATCTGTATGTGTGTCAGTATTTGTATCTGTGTGTCTATGTATTTGTATGTCTGTATCTGTGTGTGTGTGTGTGTGTGTGTCATGGTTTGTATCTTTGTTTTAAATCATTTTTATTGTATATGAAAAAATGGTAGCAGATAAGGAGCGAATTAAAAAAAAAAAAATCATTGCATGGGTGCCTGCACAGAGGCGTAATAAATCAGGCTTAGGTCACATACGGTATTTGGTCACCTACACAGAGGCTTAGATAGCTGAAGATGCAGGCATTGTTAAGTCAGGTACAGGTAACAAGTGTCGGCATAGTTTACTGCGCTGAAATGATTTAGTCTGGTTACAGCATTTTACTAACATATAACAGTAATGCTAATAACTACCTATATGTTCCTAAAATGTCAGCGTATATGGGAGCGTTGAACGCAGGTTAAACTGTATTCTGCACTACCATGAATCTGTATAGCATAAGTATCGGGCTGTGAGTCATTCAGACCAAGCTCTACGCAGGCTATGGCTGCCTGACCTGCACTTGGCCATGTGACATTAATATGGTAATATGCTATTAATAAAAGCCTATAGTAGCAATAAGGGACTCATGCGTAGGTAATCACTATAAAGTCAAGTGCTAAGCTATCTATACTTCCTTGCAAAATGTATAATAATGTAGGGCGCATTTGATCACCGTCACTGAGGCATGCATATGATATCCTGCAGATAGAATGGGCGCAGTATGCGAGGCAATCGTGTGTGTGTTCTGCAGGCTGACAGGCTAGTTGTCTGGCAAAAGTAAAGCACGATTCCGCGCGCCTGGGTTTGCGTATGTACCTACTTTGACATGCACTCCGGGTAGGCCTGGCGCGCTTAATGTGTTCCAGATACATATGATAAGTGCGGTGCCCAGTGGCCTGGACGTGCCCATTAAAATAATAGGTCTGCAATCAGTGGCTATGTGCTACAGTATTTGGTGACAATGCATAAAGAAAGTGCCAGCCAGCTGACTTATATAGGGTGCAGCTCGCGGGGAAAGGGCTTTAACCGTTTAAATCAGCCTGTGTATAGCGCGCTGTGCTAAAGCCTCATTAATGGTCACAAAAGTTATAGCAATGCATTCAACCCTGCCTAACCGGTATACGCCCAGGTAGCGGTCAGAGCAGGTCTTCAGGATGGGCGAGCTTTATATAATTAATATTGTAACGTGCGTCATTCAATAACAGTTGGCTAGGGCCCCTGAGGGCAACGTAAAGCAAACAATAATTTTTTTTTATTTTTTTTGTGCATATTAAAGCAACATCATCATAGAAAATAAAGATAAGAATTAAAACTTCAGTAACAAGGTGTATCCAAATCTGGGTCTATGTAACCCTAATAGGGGAGTCTCTCCACTGGAGGTGGCGTTGTGGTGCCCGATGGTAAAGAATGTCCAGTGTGATGTCAGTGGCCTCCTGTGGGGTATCTGTGCGGGCTTTCCTCTGCTGTGTCCTCTTGCAGGCTTATGTCTGGTGTGCTTATATTTGCCAAGCTGGTCCCTCATTGCAGGGTCCCCTCGGGGTTTGTATCTTTGTGTTTGTACATCTGTATGTGTATCTGTGCATCTGCATGTGTCAGTGTTTGTTTCTGTGTCTTTGTGTGATTCTGTGCATCCGCTTGTGCGTAAATATTTGTATCTGTGTGTCTAACTGCACTGTGAGAAGCAGGGTAGTCTAGGGCAGAGGAGCCTGAGGCAGACAGGGGAGATGGGCCAGAGAAAAACATATACATTTGAAATAAGAGCAACTATAATAATAACAAACATTGCGCTAATGTGAAAAGTACAACATATGGAAATGGGCAGCTAAGGAGTACTCAATTGAAAAAAGCATGGAAACCACTGCTTCAAGGGGACACTAAAGGTATCCAGACCATTTTATATAAATGAATTGGTCTGGGAGTAGAGCCCCTGTCGTATTAATCATGCGATATAAAACTTTGTAGCTGATCTTTTGCTGACTAGCAAGTCAGCAAAAATGTCTAAAGATCAAAATACAGAAGCTTCTCTCCAGGAACTTAAAAAATATAATTGAGGTAGAGGAAGACATTTTGGGGAAATTTAGATTTCCAGTATGTTATCAAACTCTTTTCTTTAAAATAATTGTATTTCCTATTAAAGATTTATGTCTCTTTATAGAAACCGTTTTGTTTTGATTTTTTTCGTTTTGTACACAATTTAGGAGCGCACATACTACAGCCTTTAAAATAGTTTGCAACAAAAATGGAAAAAGGTACTCCAAATATGTTGAAATACTCATAGGTAGCGTAATACAAATGTACCATATGAGATTGCACTCCAGGCATCAACATAATTATTCCAGTAGCCATTATTAATTGTAACTCTATATACCTCCCATTGAAAATGAAATCAGAAGACAATGGGGAAAAGGTGTTCACACATTTTAATAAATCTATAAAATTTGGCTAGAAGAGATGCCCATGCCTTAGAAATCAGTACTCCAAGTCTCCGTACTTAGCATGGGGTAATACACTGCTAGAATATTTTGTTTTTTTTGTTGATTAAAGGTATAAAGCACTAAGAATTTACACTGATGTATGATTGTCAGAAACAAGGCACATGGGGTCTAATGTTATCTTCCGGGTGTCCCTATTTAGGGTCCAAATCCCTCTGTCTTTTAAAGGGACACTATAGTCACCTGAACAACTTCAGCTCAATGAGGTTGTTCAGGTGAGAAATATAGCTCCCTGCAGCCTTTCTCATGTAAACACTGTATTTTCTGAGAAAATACAGTGTTTACATTGAAAGCTAGGAACACCTCCAGTTGCAGTCACTCAGAGTGAACCAGAGGGACATAATATGCCTCCATCCACTCAGATCTGCTGTGCAGAGCATCCTGTGATTCAGTATCTCCTCCCACTGCATGCAGACACTGAACTTTCCTCATAGAGATTCATTGATTCAATTCATCTCTATGAGGAGATGCTAATTGGCCAGGGCTGTGTTTGAATCATGCTGGCTCTGCCCCTGATCTGCCTCTTTGTCAGTCTCAGCCAATCCTATGGGGAAGCACTGTGATTGGATCAGGCTATCACATGTCAGCAGACTGCTTGTTTTTACTGAGTATAACAGCATGCAGATTTACAGCTTCTGGCTTGAATAAAGTACATGTAGTTGCACTGTAGTGTCCCTTTAATATCATAATGCCCCTCTTTTCTAGGAGCTCCATATTGTTGGTCAGTATACACCAAAGCTCCACAGCAATAATACTCACAGTAAAATGTAATTAAACGGTTTTGAAATCAGTGTGCTAACATAAGTTCCATTGGTCTTATTCTAAATCAGTTTAGTTCTACATATTAGTATGTCATCTAAATTTCTCAAAACAATCCTGACCCTCCTCACACTCCTGAAATTAAAGTGTCCCTCTTTTTCCATTTGAAATGTGGGAGATGTGCTTTAATGCAGTACCAAAATGTTAACCTTGAGTATCTGAACTAAACTGATGTGTAAGATGGGTGGTGTGGGGGAATGGTTTGGGACTAGTGATGTCCCGAACGGTTCGCCACGAACTCCAGTCAGCAGACACATTCCAGCCAATCAGCAGCAGACCCTCCCATCTCCTGGACAGCTCACTAAGAATGCAGCTTCAAAATGGATGCTGTCCAGGAGGTGGGAGGGAGAAATTTTACAGAGTGAAATTGCTATAACAGGTACACTTTAAGTTTATGATTCAGTTCACTAATCTTTTAAAAATCTGGTTTTGTAAGTGAATACCTTTGATGGCTTATAACACCTGACATCTCCCTTAAATGTTTGTGGTTCTCCAAACATTTCAAGTTCTCACAAATAGCTTTCCTTAGTACATTCTAAGTGTAAGAAAAACAGAGGTCTTTGTCATTATGAAGTTAAGATGCAAAAGGGTGTCTTTTTTACCACCATCTTAAAGCAGCTATAGCATCTTTATGAAATACTCGTTATGACTGTGAAATTCCAACCTAGTCATGAGACATACAGAGAAAGTATTTCTCCTCCACCTGACTTTCTTTGACATAAGGCAGAGCTACATTCAGTCCCTGCACCACTGATGGCTACAGGGTATTGGTTGTGTCTATAGAGGGTCTTGCGGGATACCCTATCAATCTCAATTCTGTACTCTGTGACAGTGGTGCCGAAGAGGAGCCTGCTAGATCATGATGGCAGTGTCCACGAGGGACAGGTTCACGTAAGTAAACTCAACTTTACTTGCCCCCGGACCACCGGTGGTCCTCAAACTGTGACAGTGCCGTTTTAAACTTTGCTCATCTTGGCCTAGCAGAAACCTTAACTCACTTGATCTTTGTCCATTCTCCTCTGCTGTCCTCTTTCCATGTTCATATCTCTCAACTTACCTCATTTTATAATACAGTCCTCTGTATTGTTCTGGATAAGGCAGCTCCAGTCAAAATATGTTCTAAACGGAAGATGTGTTACAACTCTGGCACATTTAACTCAACTGCATGTGCATAGTTGTATGTCATCACAAACGCACACACACCTTCAAGACACAAAACACACAAACTGACAGTGTGTGCAAGTGTCTGACACTTATGCACAGACACACCAACTGACACAATGTCACACATACAGAGTCTCACACACAAATATATCCTGACACAAATACATAGATTCAAAAAAGATGTCTAAAGTGTTGTTTTTAAGTCCACCTAGTTATCCTTACCTTTGGGAGAGCTGGCATGGGCCCTCTGGCATGGGCCCTCTTCCATGGGCTCTAGTGGAACTACAAGCATTCTTGAAGCACTGGCTGCACAGCTTCCTTGTGTGCTCTATAGTGATGTCTGGGTTAGAGTGCACTCACAGCCTGTCTACTGGCATCAGTACTGGGTGCTAGAGGGAGCTGTGCAGGCACAGGAAATATAGATCAGACATCCCTTGCCCAACCTCTGGACACTGACATTTGGGCAGAGTGTATACTTGTGAAGGGATCCCCTTGTGGAGCGCCCTCACCCCAGCCCTTGGTAACAAACTTGGCAGTTGCGCATGTATTATTGTTTAAGCAGAGCAAAGGCAGGTGACCCAGATAAAGTCCCATCAGGGGTGCCAAATACTGTTGTGTCAATCCAATCATGCAGGTGGAGAATAAAATGCCAGACCAAGTATTGCAAACATAGGTTAACCCTCTATGGGTTGAACTGTTTATTAATATTGTAATATGACTCCTCCACAATAAAACCAAAAGTTAATCTGGAGAATGAACTCTGCATAAAAAATACTAAATATGGAGAATTACAGATTAATAGAACGTAATTGGTTCTCAATGTACTCAGAAAGCATGGTTGTAGATATCAAGTCACCTAATTTACGTAACAAAGTACATATGAAAATTAGCTGGAACAAGGCTTTAAACAATTCTGACTCTTGCCACATATATTGATTTAGCATAGCATATATGACAGGTCCATCTTCACAAAATGGAGACCGCAATGTTAGTGCCAACAGGGCTAAATACTAGAGCAGGATAAATGTATTATTACAACCATAAAGCTCTTATACTTTGTCACATTTTCTTCCTCTTGTGTTCCTTTACTCCACGTCCTCAGATTGTAAACTCATTTTAACAGGGCCCTCTTTGTGTCTGTCTGCATTATTTTGCCTGTCAGTAATTTGCCACTGTATAACTGATACCGTAAAAAGACCCTATAAAAACACTACTACTAATAATGATCTTTAATCCATTAAGTCTTCCAAAAAAAAAATAAAAAAATTAAACATTTAAAGAAAAAAGGGAAATGGGGACACACCCGGAACATTTTACAGGAATGGTGCTCCCGTAGAGACCAAAGTCTACACATATAGATTTAGGAACAGCACACATAAAAATATTTTTTTACATTTTTATAAGGCTACCTAAAATTCCCTATCTTGGCAAACAAATGTGGGGAGATTAAGTTCCACCACATGGCCATAATGTGTTAAACCAGTATCCCAATATCGGTGGGTCCTACACTAATTCCAATGTGGAAGACAAATTAATTAAAGTGGTAGTGCTAATTGAGCTAATGAAAGGGAGGTTTTGGATAGTACGGTCACTCTAGTTATAATTTCTATTTGGTATAGAGCAGATATGATATGCATTGTTAGTATATACATCGCAGCACTAACACTTTAATTCTTTAGTTTTGATACTGCATTTATTTTGGTAATGTGTTTTTTTTTTATTAGCATAAAATATATATAGTCACAATGCTCTTACAACACTACTATTACAGCACTAGCACTATTTAATTTGTCTCCCACATTGGAATTCGTGTAGGACCCACCAATATTGGGATACTGTGAAGTAGTGGTGGGCTTAACACATTATGGCCATGTGGTGGAACTGAATCTCCATATTTGTTTGCGAAGATAAATGATTTTAAGTAGCCTTATAAAAAATGTAAAATTGTATTATATGTGCACTGTTCCTTCGTCTGTATTATTATTAAGGGTTCAAATCGAAAATCAGTCCACCAATCTTTGTATCATTACCATGGATATGAAACAGGATGACCCCACACCCACTCCCCTGGGCGACTTCTAACTGCAGCAAGTTCTAAAAAGAACTGACATCAATTTATAAAGCAGTTCCACTCATCCCAGATTATGAGTGGAAATGTGACTGTATAAAGATATATGGGTAAGATTAGACCAGAAGCAGCTCGTTAACGGAGTCTCTTCCTGGCCAGTGACAGTCTTGTAGAGGCTATCTTTAATTTTGCTTAATTTTTAAAGCATTATTTATATAAATTATCTATATTAGGGCTTACAATTTTAAAATGGATCAGAACATGTCTTATTTAGTCTTGACCATTCTCTTTAAAACAGAGTTCAAACAATTGCTGATATCTATATCCACCCAGGCAATACCTAGACTTTCTTATCTCTAGACAAGCTAGTTTTTCAAACAGAATAGTTTAACTGCAGTGTAGATCTTTCTGAATGCCAACATAAGCGAGACACAGGGTATTAAAACAGACTCCTTAAAATAAACACTTGTCATTTGCAGCCACCCCATGCATTTCCTTTACATAAATGATCATTTTGAGAAGTAGTCCTGGTTTGTCTTTTAAGAATCTGTGATGATTACTCAGAGGATGGTATTGTCTTGTATGGGTTCATGATGCCTTTTGGGTCTAGCATGCGTTTGATTTTCTGCATCAGATTTACAGCTTCTCTAGATTTGCTGTAGTGTATGTGGTCTTTCTTTTTGAATCCAAGGCCATGCTCTGCACTGATGCTACCCTTGTGCATTGCTGTCCATTCATAGACAAAGGGTTCTAGAGCAGTCATTAAGGTATCACTGTGTGACTCTGCAGTGACATTTAAATGCAGATTTCCATCACCTGAAGGGGAAAAGCATATCAGAACATAAATGTATGCACAATTTATAGACAACTAGATTACTATGCTGCGTGCCCAGACATCAAGTTTCCCAGGATTATTATAATTATATTTATATAGTGCCAACAAATTCCGTAGCGCTTTACAATTGGATTACCCAATTAAATGTTCTCCTAATGTATCAAATCTGTTTGTTATATTTATTATTTGTACTACCTTAAAAGGACCACTATATGCACCCAGACCACTTCAGCTCAAAGAAGTGGTCTGGGTACCAGGTCCCCCTAGTTCTAACCCTGCAGCTGTAAACATAGCAATTTGAGAGAAACTGCTATGTTTACATTGAGGGTTAATCCAACCGAAAATCGCATTGAGCATGCAGAAAGTCCATAGGAAAGCATTGAGTAATGCTTTCCTATGGGCGGTTTGAATGCGCATTCGGAGCAGATGTCGGCAAGGGAAGGAGAGGTCACCAGCGCAGAGGGAGCCCCGCGCTGGATTAAGGTAAGTGGCTGAAGGGGTTTTAACAGGGGGGGACTAATAACCCTATAGTGACCTGATCTATAACATTATTATGTTTTCATATAGAGAGATTTGTTTGCATTGCTTTAATAACATTTTATATACTTATTTAAGGGGGATATTTTTTAAGTTATAAAGGAATTTACATCCAACATAATTTTTATTTGTTACTCCTGACATTATTTTGTGTATCAATTATCTTCTACAGTAATGCATTCTCACTGTAAAATTGTAAAGCACTGCAGAACATGTTTCCACTTCATAAATAATACTAATAGCAACAATATTTGTTTTAACCCATAAAAACAAGAATTTGAGAACACAAAAATCATATTTAGAGGTTACTGATGACAGTCCTTTTCACATATGTCAATCCGAACACCTTTAAAGTATATCGCAGGTGAGAATGACATAGCTAAGGGGTAAGTACTTAACCTGCAGAGTTGGAGGTACAATTCACAGCAGGGAATCAGAATTATTATTTTCCATTAAAGTTTGCTAAAACCAGTACAGATAAATTGGGTAATAATACCCAGACATGAAGCTGTGATTGGAAAACTAGCAAAGGATGAACATTGTTCCTAGTTAAATATTTTAACAATTACTTCCTACACCAACAAGGTATCAGCTCACAGTTTTAAATATATAACCCGATTTCTATTGTGTATAAATAAATTATAGAATTAAACTGAGCAGTTACATCTACATCAAGATTAGATGTAATCGAGAAACTCAAACTACAAGGAACAATGTGAGCTGTGCAGATAAGTGGTTAGCTGTTGCGGCTCTAAGAGTAAAGCAGTTCTAGAAGTGGTTATAACAAAGTGCTGACTGAAGGAAACTGGTGTGAGATAGTGTACGGGAGTGTCTGTCTGTCACTGGAAGCCACAGGATGTTTATTTTAAGAGTCTGCACAGTCACTTAGATCATCTCATAGGAACCCTACTTCATAATTCTAATGAGAAGGGCAAAGGTACATTCAATCTTTAATGTGATGGATACACATTTTGACTCTGGATTTTAGTATTGTAAATTAAAATTCAACTCTGCATGTTTCTAATACACACGATTGCCTTGAAGTGGCTTGTAGGCTTGTAAAAACTGATGCAGGGTTCAGTTTGTAGGTTAAACATTGCAGCTGTCACAGTGAATAGATTACATGACAAGACATTTTGGCAGGTGCAATTAATGCATGTGTTTATGTATAAAAAGAATCCTGGCAGAAATACAGCCGTGGCAAAACAGAAAAGTGGTTTCATTATTTATTTTGTGGCATATTCTATTCAAAAACAGATTGCTTTATTGAACTGTAGTACTCCACCTTCCTGTTTCTGACATCACATGCATTATCGGTTGCAAATGTGATGATATAAAGAAGAAGTATAGAATAAACATAACATACAGAGTGTTTCCAGTTTGAATATTTTCGCCTTATATTTGAAAGTAATGTGGAACGCTCCCTTTAGAGAATAACCCTGTTACTGTTAATATCTGTACCATTACGAATACATAGCATTCATAATTATTGTAACTGTTTCATAGAGCAGCATGCAATTATATTAATTGTAGATGTCCTTAAATGTGGTATGTTCTCACCTAGATGTCCATAGCCAACTACAGTTTTAGCAGCAGTGCCCAAACGAATCCTTGTTTCTTCAACCAACTCGTACAGTTTTTCCACCGGCATTGACAAGTCATACTTGTACACATAGCCATCATGCGCCAACGCCTCTGTGATCCTCTCTCTGAGAGCCCAGAGACTCTAAAATGCAAAAGTCAGGGATCTCATACGCTGATATCTCATAGGTTGATGTCTTAAAACTCCCAGAATTATTTGAATGAAATAGATGACCAGAGAATAATAAGAGTTCTATTTCACCAACATCTGTGGAACATGCCTGATGTAAATGTTCTGTATACATGCACAAGTGGAATTTTCTAGTGAGCACTATACAAGTTTAGCTAACAAAATCTTTAAAAAGTTAAAGGAACACTCCTAACACAATAACTACTACAACACGCTGTACCTGGGGTTGGCCGGGTGCTACTCTCCCCCTCCATTTTAGCTACAAAGCACCGGTTAGGAACGTCTATTACAGTGATGGCGAACCTTTTTGAGCCCGAGTGCCCAAACCGCAATACATGCCAACATTTTTTCTCCTTAAAGTGCCAACACGGCAATTAAACCCAAATACTGAGGTTTAAGTTTAGAAAAAAACAACTCGTACTATTGTCCGAACTAATAACTTTTGTTTTAAAAGAACACAGAGAGTTCAATGATACAAATTTTAAATAATGATATAAATAGATAAAATTAAGCTTATATTTATGAGTATCTCCAACAAATGCAATACATACACACACAGACTGCTGAATACATAGACTGCTGAATTCACATACAGACAGACTGCTGAGTACACACACACACACACACACACAGACTGCTGAGTACACACACACACAGACCGCTGAATACACGCAAACACAGAGACTGCTGAATACACACACACACACACACACAGACTGCTGAGTACACACACACACACACACACACTGCTGAGTAGACACACACACAGACTGCTGAGAGTACACACACACACAGAGACTGCTGAGTACACACACACACAGACTGCTGAGTACACACACACACACAGACTGCTGAGTACACACACACAGACTGCTGAGTACACACACACAGACTGCTGAATACACAAACACAGTCCGCTGAATACACGCAAACACACACAGACTGCTGAATACACGCACACACACACACACACAGACTGCTGAATACACGCACACACACACACACTGCTGAATACACACATACTGCATTGAGGTGGGGGTGCTTGTGTGGGGGGTGCGTGTGTGTGTGAGTGTTGTATGTTAGGGGTGCTGTGTGTGCTATATGTGTAAGGGTGCCATGGGGGGTAGGGGTACTGTGTGGGGGGTAGGGGTACTGCTGGGGAGGAGGGTAGGGTACTGCTGGGGGTAGGGGTACTCAGTGTGGGGGGTAGGGGTACTGCTGGGGGTTATTAGGGGTTACTGCTGGGAGGGTAGGGGTTACTGCTGTATGGGTAGGGCTACTGCTGGGGAGGGTAGGGTTACTGCTGGGGAGGGTAGGGGTTACTGCTGGGGGTAGGGGTTACTGCTGGGGAGGGTAGGGGGTACTGCTGGGGGGTAGGGGCTGGGGGGTAGGGGTTACTGCTGGGGGAGTAGGGGTTACTGCTGGGGGGGTATGGGTGCTGTGTCAGTATACCCCCCCTCCCTCCTTCTTACCTTTAATGAAGTAGGGGGGGGGGGACAGCGATCCCTGGTGGTCCGGTGGTGGTAAGCACTGCAGGGGGAGGGCTCCAGGAAGCAGCTCCCCTGTCCTCCCGCGCAATGCTGTGTGGAGCGTTGCCATGGTAACGCGCGGCAACGCTCCACACAGCATCGCGCGGGAGGATAGGGGAGCTGCTTCCTGGAGCCCTCCCCCTGCCTCCCGACCCGGAAGCAGAGTAGGTGGCTGCCGGTTCGGGCAGGCAGGCACCTACTCTGCATTGATGGCGAACCTGTGGCCGCGTGCCCACAGAAAGGGCCCGGCGTGCCACCTGTGGCACGCGTGCCATAGGTTCGCCATCACTGGTCTATTAGCTCTCCTGAGCTAAACCCTAAGTCAATGAGCTAAGCCCTGCACCACTGGGGCTCAGGCAGTGAGATTCTGGAGAGAGCTTCCGTAGTGGAAGCAAGCAATGACACTTGCAAGACCCCAGGTAAGAAGTCAAACAGTTATTAAACGGCTTGAATATTTACAATGGATGTGCACATTGACACTACAGCTCACTGCTTGGAGTTTTACGTTATAGGTTTTCCTGTGTGCCCCCACATGGCTTTCACGTTATAATTTATATCAGTCTATGAACATTTGGACACTATCCCACTTCACACAAACAAGTGGGAAAGAGGGGCAGCTTGTGAAGAAGCCCACTTGCCTCAATGGCCATCTTTAAAACTGCCATTACATAGAACCTTCACGATCCTTTTCATGCGCGTATAGAGCAACATCCATATTTTAGAATGCAGTAATTAAGATACTGATACAAAGAACTCATACCATTATCTTGCTTTGGTCTGTAGCCACTGTCCCCGATGTGATTAAACTCGTGTCCAGAGCCTTGGACAAGAAGTTATTCAGTTTCTCTTCATCATGGTATGCAGAGGATCCAGATGTTTCTATTAATACGTAGAAGTTGTTGGCTGCAGGTTTTAAAAGGATATTATTTAGCAACATACTTAAAGGAATACATGATGAATATGTCAAGACATTGTTTGCTCAAACGTATAATGAAAGGATGACATGATAATCCAAAAACCATAAACAAGTGTTGCGCTCAAAATATACTTCACATACTAAAAGTGCCATCTTTTGAGAATGAAAGCCTTCAAGCCAGAGCATTGTGGGAGTTATCCCCTCTCAAGTGGAGCCTTTCTCACCCAGAGCCAGGGTTGATCGGGCTCTGATAATTATTTTCTTTGATCAAGTTATGTTAGGTATATTTTGAGCAAACACTTGTTTACAGTTTTTGGATTATTATGTCACTTTAGGTGATTGCAGCTTATTTTCACAAGCACTATTTATTTATTTAAGCGCCATCCACTTTTTGGTTATTATACTGAAAGGATGACATTGTCTGGTGGGATTGAACCTCCGTTTCTTCTCACCCACACTAAACATACCAATAATTCATGGTGAGAATGCAGCGTGTGAAACATGCTATGGATCACAATCAAAAGAAATGATAGGGGGGGCGGAGCTAGCAGCCGAGCCTGCAAGACGCATGAAACCCAAGCTCCGACATTACAGCGGCAAAATAGCCACGGATTCCGTAAAATACACCTCCAAAAGCCGGGGAAAGGCTGCAAGAGATTCAGCACAACATGGGGAAACACTCACGAAAACCCCGAGGGTCGTCCGCGGGACATACCCAGGACATCGGGCAACTCCTGTCCCAGGCCTGCAGGCCCAAAATGGCGGACGTCTTTCACACCGTGGGGATGGAATCACTCTCTGCCTCAGAGGATGAATACTTGAGTGATATGCCGACCCCGACACCCCAAAGGAAGCAACAAACAGCGCCACCAAGGCAGTCAGAACCGCCACTAGCCACTAAGGCTGACCTAACAGGCATGGTGACTGACCTTAAAGCATTCTTCACGGCAGAATTGGCAGGCCTCAAGACGGAGCTGAGCACACTTACAGGCCGCATGAGAGCCACGGAAGACGCAGTCCAGGACCTGAGAGTCCAACAAGATGCCACGACAAAGAAAACGCTCGAGCTCACAACCTCATGCTCCCAGCTAAACGCCCGAGTAGGGCAACTCGAAGATATGGCGCGACAGAGAAATGTCAAGGTGAGGGGGATCCCAGACACTGTAACGGCGGATGAACTGCCATCCCTCATAAAGAGACTGTTACAAACCGCCCTACCACCCAAACAGGCCAAAGGACTGACCCTAGATAGCCTATTCCGCATACCTGGGCGTCCAAACAACGCCTCCGCAAGGGATGTCATAATGAGCTTCAAATCCCGCTCAGACAGAGACGGATTCCTCCGTGCGGTCAGGAGCCAGACCCCGTACGTTTTCGAAGACCTTACCTTACACTTCTACCAGGACCTGAGCCGCCAGACGCTGCAGTGGCGGGCAACACTGAAAGAAACCACAACTCAATTGAGGGCGGCGGACATTCCATATAAATGGGGCTACCCCCGCTCGCTAGTTGCCACACGGGACGGGCAAAGCCACAAACTGACAGCGCCAGAGGAAGCACCACGATTTTTGCAAGCTCTGGGCATTCGTCCGGTGGCAGGCGCCAAGAGGAATACGACACACCGATGGGATGTCGCCAACATCGGAGTCGACAGCCCCAGCGGGAAGCAGCACTATGCACCCATCCGGTTCTTAATATGGGAAAAGTCTTCCGTCAAAAGGAACTAATGGATGTACCGGCTAGTTCTATTTTTGTTTGGACTTATTTATGTTTATGCTACACTGTCATATGCAATGTCCTCCACCGGTTGCGTATAGCTTTACATACATTTTGTTTTTCAGCTATGCATTTCTGCGCCTACTGCCGCACCAGGAGTAGGCCACCTAGTCAGTGGACTGCTCGCACCTAACACACGAACCGCACGACACCCCGTCCATACAGGTCCTCCAACCTGACACAATCCACAGGACACAGGGGTGACGCATTAATGCTGCAGTTACAGATAGCACATACTTACACGACGAAACCCCCCACCCCCCAGACTCCGGGGTTAAGGAGCCTTAATATATATATATAGGCCTTTTAATGCCTCTGGCCGTTAATCAGGGGACCCAGAACCGGGAACCCAGACCCAAGCTCACCTCAGCCTGACACTAACATATCCTGAGCCTGTACACTAGAGAGCTGAACTTAGGAGCTGTGGCTTTTAAACGCATCCTCATCCCGCTATGGTCTAACGCTCTTAGACCCTAAGGCAAATCCACTCACTTGTACACTACCACACCGCTAACAAGTCACCACAGGGAGCCTTGCCTGTCTTTATCATTTGAGAGCTGTGTAATCACAGGTTTGCTATCTTGTAAACTTATTATTTTCTTTTTAAAAACTGAGTGACACATATATTGCCATTGTTAAACCTAGCAATCTTACTTAACGCACCCTCAGGCAACAACAAACAGTATAATCTTGTTTTATCATACTTAACCTATAACAAATGTATACTGTATATGAAACCTCATGGCCTGATTCTTGTTTAAAAACAAAAATGTGCAGTACCATAGTATGCCACAAAATGCCATACCTCTTGAAATGCCTGTTTTTATTGACGTGGTATGAGAAGACTGTTTGTTTAACTTGTGCACACAAAAAATAAAGAATTTCAAAAAAAGAAATGATAGAGTGCACAGGATGATAAGCTGTGTCTCAAAATGAAGGGTATTATATTATACAAATATGATGAATTGTGAGCCAGGGGGAGTTTACTAGAACCTTATACACTGGTGGTTTGTCTGACTGAAATTTTTAAACATATTAGGAAATAATTTCTATAACAAAGACAATTTAAAAAATGGCCCAATAAAACTCAATGACGAGAAAAGTGTCTGTGATTCAGTTTACCGAATTATCCTAAATAGTTTCACATATGAAAAATAAGATGGTTTGACCATACAGCAGTAATAATGGTTTCACATTTAACCCCTTGAGTGCCAGCATGCCAAAACAGTGCAGTGGGCACTTAAATTTTTAAACCGGTGACAGAGTGTTACCTGGTAGAGGGTTACTGAGCTTGAGATGTTTCTTAACAACCTTCATACATGCGGCATCGAAGAACTCACAGGCAGATAGAATTTCTCCAAGGTGATCCCTGCACATAGTGAATACTTGCAGCACTCTACTGAAACTCTCACAGCCTGCGAGACAAAACAGAAGTGTGTTAAACTGGGACATGTCTGCTTCTGTGGCAAATTCGGTATCGTACAGCGTTTTTATAACACGGTGAAAGTCTCCCTCACCAAAATATAATTTCTGAGTATTTCAAAAACAGAAAATATTTATGAAACACTCATACTGACTGCATTTAAATTTCAGGGACATTCCAAAGTAATCCAAAGATATCATTTGTCTTATAGGCAAAGCCTAAGTTGACAAAACTTGACAAGAGGCAGGGCATCCACTTCATTAATGCCCACAGCTGTTGCTAGCACCTTCTCTCTCATTACAAGATTTGGTCAATGGAGGACCTCGCTGGTTACTCAATATTGCACATGTGCAAGATTACAGCAGTGACACAGGATCCTGGGGGATGACTTTCTGGGAGCTGAAGAAGGAAGGCAGCAGTACCAGCAAGTAAGCTTATGCAATCTTTTTTCTTCAGCTCCTAAAAATTAATCTCCCTTGATATACCTTTATTTCAATCCCTGCCGCCATGCCGCACACCAAGCAGATCATCACCTTCAGGCTCCTTTTATATTTGATTTTGTACGGAAGTAATTTTCTGACAAGAAATCAGAATTTAATATCAAGATTTTGTGTTGATGATAATTGAGGATATTATGAGGACATTGGCATATACTGTGCTTTCAAGCACAAAGGGATAGGGATAGCCAGAGATAAACCCCTAAATTAAAATATGCAATTATTTCCATCGTCAAACAGTCTTTACAGGTTAAACAACACTAGCGCAAAGAGAATCTTTCCTAGGTTCTGCCAAATTTTATACGTTGTTAGATCAAAACTCCCTAGCATCGTGCTAGTCAGCATGACAAGGTTGTTTTACTACATCTTGATAAAGAGAGTTAAATGTGCTTCCCTGCTAGGTATTTTAATGAAAAATGGACACAGAAATATAAGGTACTCCAAACAGCACTGCGACAAGTTGTTGTTTGGCTGCCTTGAACCACATCAGTAATTCACAAGCGCTGAATTTCCCCCTCTTTGAGCACTGCGATAAGTGCCTCACAACATACTCCAATCCACCACAATGTATAATTGAGTGCATTGCTGATAAATGCTATGATCTGGTTCCATCCCTGTATTCTAACACATTCAAATAAAATGTAAGTGAGGTGGAACAGCTTTACATCTAGGCACCACACTCTAAATACTGCCACTCTGTCATAACTGAATTTATTTTGTCTCCAATGTACAGTTTATCAAAGAAAAAAAGGTTAAAGGGACAGTATAGTCACCAGACCAAACACAGCTTAATGTAGTTGTACTTGTCTATAGCATGTCCCTGAAGCTTTTTTTGCTGTAAACACTGCCATTTTATAGAAAAGGTAGTGTTTACATTACAGCCTAGGAACACCTCAATTGGCCACTTCTCTCTCTGCATTGAGACTCTAAACTTCCCCCACAAAGATGCATTGAGTTCATGCTTTTTTGAGAGGAGATGCTGATTGGCCAGGGTGGTGTTTGGCACCGCCACCTCGGCCCACCTCATTGGCTGGGTTCATGAGAATTGACTATCTCAGCCAATCCCATGCTTTTCTATGGGAAAAAAGGCAAATCGGGAATGGAGCCAGTGCCGACAGACCCGCCCGGCGCTGGAATAAACATACGTTTTCTGGTTGTTTTTTTTTTATTTTTTTTTAAGAAAGGTTGAGGGGGATAAGGGGGCCTAACACGGATTTTAACACTATAGACTCAGGAATACATCTGCAAATTCCATTAAATACACTTAATTGTTTTAATACTATGGATCATATGCATGAAAAAGCTAAGTTTCAGCCCATAGTGTTCCTTTCAACCTACCTAAAAGAACCAATAACATATATTTTTAAAAATGGCATTTACTCGTAGTTTGTAACAAGCCTTTTTTGAATTATAGTCAATTGAAAAAAAAATCCATAATGGAAACAAACAAACACGAGTGTGATCTTAATAATTCTAATGACAGGGGGGAAAAAAAAAAAAAAAGAGGAGAAAATTGCAGCCTTAGTTTTTAGAAGCCAGATATACTTTACCCAGCAGTGCCACATTGACAGAATTGGGTTTGCGTGGACAGAGAATTGACACAGCTGATATCAGACCCAAAGTCCCCTCAGAGCCAATGAAAAGCTGCTTTAGGTCGTATCCTGTGTTATCTTTGCGGAGAGAGTTGAGGCAGTTCAGTATGGATCCATCAGGAAGGACCTGACATAAGACATAAATTGTCCTATAAATGGAAAACATATACATCTAATAAACTGTCTATTTCTAAACACTACTTACTGCTTCCAATCCCAGGACACTCCCTCGTAAGGACCCGTATCTAAGAAGTCTCAGCCCACCAGCATTTGTGGCCAAATTGCCTCCAATATGGCAGCTTCCCTTCGCACCAAGGTCTAGAGGCATTGTATATCCTTGCCTTTCCAGATACTGATTCAATAACTCCAATATGCAACCAGCCTGACATACCAGAGCACCTGAAATATGAGAATAACACATGCAGCATTTTAAACATGCCTTACATCAATTGGGTACATATACATAAGTTAATTAGGGGGGCACCATGATGGGTGTTGCCTGAGGTTTAGCTTAAAATAAAGCTAACTCTTACAGTTCCACTATTGATGTGAGGTAGATATGGCCCAACCATACAATACTTTCTGATGCATTAAAGGAAAACACAATGTTATGAGACTAATTGTCCTGAAAAAAGCATATATCCAAGGCTCTTTGATTGTACAACCTTAATAACCCCCTAGGTGCCACTGAGTATGAAATAAGAAATCCTGCCTGAAGAAAATTGCAAAATGTAAGCAGTGCTGTTTCAGGGAAATGGCATGGTTTACAACAGTAAGGTTGCAGATACAGCTTATTTGCCCCACAATTACTTAATAAAGATTAAATGTTTGTAATGCTTAGAATAGATGGTCCCTTTAAGCAAGTGTTATTAATCATATGCATGAGATGACAATATTATTATATAATTGCAGTGAATAAAAATAACTAGAGCCCATGTTTATAAATAGTACAAAATTAATATAATTTTGGCAGTGCACATATTTAAAAGATAAAAAAAAATCACTGACCAGAGACATTATCGAAACTGATCACTTGGTCCATGAGAGCAGTGGAGATAATTATTTCATCAAACACTGGGACACTGCCCCCAACCAATCCTGTGTTGCCACCCTGAGGGGTTACAGCTAGATTCCTTCCATTACAATATCTGTGAATCAAAAGATAAATCAAACACCAAGTACACAGATGGTTATGTTTAACATGGAGAATTGTAGAATAAGTTAACAGTGAAACTTAATCCACATTGAATTAACACACAGAAAAATACTAAAGGTAATTACTAAACTTAGGTATCACCAGTACTTCACTCAAAAATATTAAGCTTTATTGTAGTATTAGGCACACAACCTAACTAACATATACAGACACACTCAGTGAACACCCAATGCAAAAACATCAAAAAGAGGTGGACTACAACGGAGCCATAACCCACAAGTGAAACCAAGTAGCCATTTCTAACAAGGTTTGAAGGTGAAACAGTTACACTACTTAGCTTCAAGCACACAGAGGAGGTACGAACAGATAGTCCCAGTAAAATAAGTATCTTGACCACGTCACTATGTATAAGCCCTGATAAAGGGACGTTTATTGTATCATACACTTAAAGGAACACTATAGTCAGGAATACAAAAAAGGTCAGGTATATCTGAGGTTATGGTGTTAAAACCACCATTTAGGTAACTGGTCCCTTGCTTCTCTTAAAAGGTAAGAAAACTTACCTTATTTCCAGCGCTGCGTGGATTCTGCCAACCCTGGCACCGCCCCCAATCCGCCTCTTTGGCTGACATTAGCAGAATTAATGATTTAAGACAATCAAATGCTTTCGCATTGGTGGATAGCGGTGGAATGCACACAGAAACTTGGATCACAAACTGCGAGCACCATCAAGGTGGACTTACCATCTTTCCCACATGCTGGCATTCTAAGAGGATTGTGGTAATGAGTCACTGATACTGTGAGTGTTTTTAATCTATTTTTCAATAAATGTCTGATTTCACAGAGAGCATTATGGATCACTCTTTTTTCTTTGTTGACGTACTTTATGGTTGGATACTCACTGGTGTCGTAGACATAGGTTGATCCAGAAAGTGTATTTCGGAAGAACGTGGTGGGATTGTATATGAAAATTGTTGCATGCACAAAATTGATAGTACAGTGGGACCTCGGTTTACAAACACCTCGGTTAACATAATTTTCAGTTTACAAATGAAAATCCATTGAAAATAATGCCTCGGTTTACAAATTTGTTTCGCAAGTTTCCCCAGGATGCATTGCACCTGGGAGGTTTATAGCACCGCCCCCTGCATGCTGGAGACTGTGAGTAGCACATGGTGTCGAGTGTGGAGGTGTTGGAGTGGCTATTGCATCGAGTTTTGGAGCCTCTTAAACGGTTTGACTACTTACCCTGGGGGGCACCACAACCACTAGAACTTAATGTAGTGGTTATTGTGCCTGGATTGTTTCGTTAAATAATCTACCAGTGCAGTCCACGCACCACAACACCCAACCACAACCACTCTAGCGAGACTAACGACCCTTGAATCATAGAGTAAGAGGCACCACGAGGAGCGCCACCAAACAAAGACGCTGCACACAAGCAAAATATATCTAAGCCAAGATAAGACACCCAGAGGCAGTCAAACTACGAATCACCAACACGCCTAGCGGCGGGAGAAAACCGCAATGCACGACAAAGGCAGACCACAGAGCCAGACACCTGCCTAAGCATCCCCCCACCCCATGAACATTGAAGTAGGGACCTACACATAGGAGGGGGACAGAGTGAGAGGGACAGGTGGACCCGAAGCTCCCCAAACAAACACCCAAAAAACAATCTGGAACCTGCATAGCCAACACTACCAATCTACACACAAAGGAATCTCACGGAGACACTTAGAAATCAATATGAAAACTGCACACACCCAGATGACCTAAATATGACCAAAACCGACAAAAGGGAACTGATCATCAACACACCATGTATTTGTAAAAGGGAAACTTATGTAAAATAGCAATGAATCTCTGGAACCAATGAAAACCATGATGCGCATGTATGTAGATGTTTATCCATAATGTACACATATATGTATATGATTACACATAGCTATTGTCTGTGTAGTCAGCCTGCAATGTAACCCCCACCCCCCACCTTTTTTCCTCGTTCTGTATCCTCATGTTTCCTTTTGACAAAATAAAAAACTGTCAATTGAAAAGAAAAAAAAAAAATCTACCAGTGCCACTCCCAAGATTAGGGACCCAGTACATGCCGAAGCTCTGTACATATATACAACCTAGAAAATAGTTTTGACTTGGGTGCCTTTGGAAAAATATTGAAATAGTAAGGGTACCTTGAACCTAAAAAGTTTGGGAACCACTGTAGATTATATTTTAGATGAAAAGTATTTTATTCAAGTATTCTAGTATTTTATATTATAGTTTTTATTCTGGGTTAATTTTGCAGTTGCTCTTCAGTGAATTAACGCATAAGTCCAGTGCTCACCTAATGCTAGCACTTCGTTAGACACTATACTTTCTAGGTAAATATACTTGCCAAGAGGCTTGTGGGTTAGGGAGGTGGCAGTTTGTTATCCAACCACATACTCTCATACCTTTTTTATGAATTGGAAGCTTTTGATTGGCTTTGAGCGTCAGCTGACTGGTCTAGGCCAAACAGCGGCGCCCCCACCCACTGGCACTCCACATTTCCTGAAACTGCACTGAAAAAAACTGGATGCCGCTGGGGATATGGAAATCCGGTGCTGGAGAGCAACCTTTGAGGTTAAACTGTTCAAGAACGATTTAATCCCTTCAGGTAAAAAAGCACTGGAGACTTGTGGGTATCACAACAAGGTCATAAAGTTGCAGTTCCTTTAAATTGTTGTTTTTACCCCATGCAGTTCCTTTAAATAGTTTTTACCCCAATTAATGAACATGTAAAAATTAGCGATATGTTATGCTAATTTTTTTCTCTTCAGATTTTAAATAATATTGTATTGTTGGATGTCCTGACACAGCCCGAGCATTCCATGTAGATTAAATTACTCTACTATAGTGCAATGTGTGCAAGTACACATGTGCACATACAGCATTTCAAAGCAGATAACCAAGCATGAGATCGTATGTAAAATCATGGGGTGATATCACATCACACTGGGCTCAGATGTGCTGTTAGATATGTGTTACTGAGGATTTTAAAAGCACATCCCATCCCTATAACCTGACTTTTTCCTATGTACCAGAATGCATTCTTAGCACTGAAAAACCACCACACTACTTAAGGGTGGTATCCTCTTTTCTAGCAGTGTTGGGACTATTAGCACCGACATGGCCACAAAAGCTACTCCCCATGCTTGAGATCCTAGCAATATAGCTCTTTTTGTACCAGAGGATAGGGTGGATGTGAGCTGGGTACCTGACTACAAGTGGTGGTGGTGAAGATCATATTTGTTCAGCTGTACGTTTTGCATTTTGTCTTTGATTGTATGGCATTATTGTATAGGAGCATTAAATGTTCGAAACAAACTTGTGCTGTGACAGACCTGTCTCCATATACAAGACAAGTTTTAGTTTATGCAAAGTTTCAGTTATACAACTTTAATACTGCTGGTGACAATTCAATCAGTGGTGCCCCTATCCATTGGGTACATATGCCTTACAGCAGGCATAGGCAACCTTCGGCACTCCAGATGTTTTGGACTACACCTTCCATGATGCTTTGCCAGCATTATGGGTGTAAGAGCATTATGGGGGATGTAGTCCACAACCTCTGGAGTGCCAAATGTTGCCTATCCCTGCCCTACAGCCTTCACCATGTGGGCAGGTCACCACTGCCATCTGACCTGTTGTAGGAGAGTAAGCATTTAGGAGAGCCTCCCTTATTATAATTCTCCCATCTTTCATTGCTTAGTGTTTATCATTGATATTCTGGCTATGTGGGCCCCATTTAACAGTACAGTATGCAGGTAATAATTTCCATTTTGTCTATCACAACATATTTTTCATTATGACTGAAAGCACATATATGTGGTGAGCTCTTACTTGCAATAAAGTTAGAAATACAAATGCACCATAACACCAGACCTGGAGTCCAGAATAATAAGTACATTAAAGAATTGATAATGACTATAGAATAAATCACAACCACTTGGTAGGCACAATGAGGGACCACATACATAACTGAAAGTGTGTTGCACCATTACTTTATTGATATGATTATAAACGGTAGTGTGTGTGAGAGATAAAGGAGGAGTATATGTGCTCTTCTTTCCCCTTCTGCTTTTTATGCCACTGGCTTCCCTTATATATCATTGTCCTTAATGTCACTGTATGTCACAGTCTCCCTTCAACTTTGCTTGACAGCCCCCATTGCCTTCTCATTCCTCTCCATATCACTCCTCTACCCATGTCACCCTCATTTCACTGTCCGCCTCTTTCCCTCCCTTTTAATGCCTTCCTTGTCCCTACTATACTACTGTCCTGTTATATTATTTCATTTTTTTCTAAAATGATCCTTCTCTGACTCCTTACTAAAAGCAGCAAACAGGAACTATATCCTAAAGTGTAGTAGTTCCCAAACCAGTCCAATATCTAGGGATTACTTAGTTGTGTCTAAGGAGTTTTTACAAAAGAAAAAAAAAAAGACACCTTGACATAACTGGGTAATTCCTAAATCCTGGATTGGTAGGGGGGCCTTGAGGACTTGTATGGAAATCACTGCTCTAGTGAAAGCTCAGTCATATCAAGGTGTGCTTCTACCTGGAAAGCTGACCTTCGGACTATATTTCATAAATACAGGATACCAGGATGTGACGTTATGCATCACAACATAGTGATCCATTCAGAAATTGAGATGGACGTTGGTGCAGCTCCATATCATATTCTGGCAGTGGCTTTGCACCTGTTACCGCACTGGCTCAGATACAGATGATGTGTCACTGGGTAACGGTAGTGGAGAGAGGAAATAAACATTTCGAGCACTTTCTTGTAATAGCATAATATTGTCACACTCACAGTGACAGTAAATGATTTGGAGAAATATGTTAAGATCAGTTCATAGTCTTACCTCAATATCTCAGACACTTCTTTTGTATTTCGAGGTTTAAGAAGTACCTTACCGTTGCCTACAATAAATCCACATGGCAGAGTTATCAGGGATAGCAAAACTGAACATCTACTAATGAATATTTGTAAATTATGTTAAACTAGTACAAAATGGCCATCTTCCTGCCTAATTTTACAATGATATTACATACATGCATTTGACTTATTTCTTTCTTAATAGAACCTAATACCTTCCAGAAAGAGAAAAACACACTCTTGCTAGTGTTAGGAATTCCATTTCCATCAACATTTGGACTTCTTTATGAAACCATGAATAGTTAGAAAATGTGCAGCACAGGTGAGGGAGGTGTAATAAAAGATATCACCTGAAAACCCTTCTTTGTCCTCAGACTGAAACTTTGTATTTAGTTGGCCAATGGGACTTTGCTGATGGCTGACAGAATAGGTTGGAATTCACTAGAGACTTAAATTTTCTTGGCTGGGAGATGAATAGAAGGTGATAGGGGCATAAGAGAACCAGAAACTAGGACAGTTGTCTGAACAAAATTGTTTTTTGCTGGCAATATATTAGACAATAAAAATGTAGAAGATCAGATTTCAGCTGCTGCACTTTCACAACTAGCTGTTCTGAGCTTGGCATGTAAGAGTGATAGCACTAATGAAGAAAAGGACAGTCACATATGAGAGGTAAAAAGCTATCACAGACCTCTGGTTACACAGTCTCTTGGCGATTTTCAAGCCTGGTTCAGTAGAGACAAGGATCAAGGGGGATGTGTGCTTGCTAAAATATTAGGTGTCTTTATGAGTGTCTGAATCTCCACATTCTTATTAGCTAAGGATTTGTTTTTTTTGGTTACACATTTTCCATTCTTTTGTCTTCGTAATTTTGGATGTGGTGTAACTTTACATGTGAGTGGAATCCTGTTGTGCATTTAACGTTTATAAAACAATAAAAAGGCGATTTTGCACTACGTTGGGGCGAGCATCAATATATTGTGAATATAATGGTATTGCCTGCACTGTGAGCATAATTTAGAGGTAGCCATCTATGAATATCCATTTTCCTGTTATTCTTCTGTTGTGCATCCCTATGTTTGTTTATGTTTAATGGAGAATATAACAAGAAGTGTAGCACTAAAAAAATCAATATGTCCAATTCTACTGTAGAGTAGCATAAAGTGTTGTGTGCGAACACTATCTGGACTGCAATCGTTTGACTACCACAGTCGAAGAGTTAATCTTCAGTGTGTAGTGACTCTGAAACCAGAAAGAAAAGCACAGATACCAAATTGTTAATGGCAGGGGCTATTTTACATGTGAGTTCTAGTAAATCAGCATCTACAAAAATCAACGTATACCATGTAAATGCTCAAACAATGCCAATTAAATATCCTCTTCTACACAATATGTTTGTATTTATACTGGCATTCTGTATTAATACTGGCATTCAACCATAACTTTTAAATAACCAAAGACAACTAGGTGTCTTGTGATTACATGCATCTTACCACGCACTGTTCGTAGCCAATCTATGTTGTGACTTTTTAGGACTTCTTTATCGGTGACTACTCGGCCTGGAACCACTTGCTCAAAGTAGTTGAGATCCTGGGCTGTGACTTCAGAGAATGGTAGACGGGACACATTATATCTGTCTCCAGTAGGAGGAGGGTCTGCGGGTGTCACACAGAGGAGCCTGCATCCTGAAGGAACTGTGACTTTTCTCCATCTAGCCATGGGTATTCTAACGGTCCTTGTCATTGCCCATGTCATAGAGCAGAATTTGAGAGTCCCCCTCATTGCAGAAAAAAAAGAAATCTGACCTATAATGGATAGACAGTATAATGTAAGCACGATTAAATATGGAATGATACCACTGTGTGACTATAAGTGTAAATATGTTTAAAACAAAGCCAGAATCTGTGTTAGCAGAGAAACACAATATTGTGAAGGAAGACGATCCATGATATTTAAAGGGACACTACAGCTTAATATAGTTGTTCTGGTGATTATAATCATTCCCTGGAGGCATTTTCATGTGAACACTGCCTTTTCAGAGAAAATGCAGTGTTTACATTGCCTCCTGGGGACACATCCAGTTGCCCCTCCTCAGGTAACTACTGGAGGTGCTTCCTGGGGCAGTGCTGCATAGTGTGCAGTACTGACATTCAGTGTCTCCACCCTCTCCATGGAGACACTGAACTTTCCACATAGAGATGCATTGATCCAATGCATCTCTATAAGAAAGTGCTGAATGGCCAAGCCGGCTTTTGTCACTGCCCCGTCTCCTTTCCAATCCAATGTTTTAGCAATGGGAAAGCATTGGATTGGCCGAAATCATTTAATTCTAATGATGTCGGCAAAAAAAAAACAGATCAGGGGTGAGGCCAGCAGTGACAGACCCGCGTAGTGCTGAAAAGAAATAAAGTTTTCATACCTTTTAGGGGAGTTAAGGGGGGTCAAGCCACCTATATGGTTGTTTTAAACACTATAGTGTTAGGAATACATGCTTGTGTTTCTGACCCTATGGTGTTCCTCGGGGACACTATAGGCATGTACACCGCTGCAGCTGATTGAAGTGGTCTGGGTGCAGAGTCCCTTTTACACCTTGTGCTGCAAAGAGAAACTGCGATGTTTACATTGCCACTCGACGTCTGCCGCCAATGGATGAATACGCTTTGCAAGAAGACATCCAGCGTCAGATTTTTTTCACAATAGGAAAGCATTGATTGATTGCATTGATTATATTGATTGATTATTTGCATTGATTAATTGCACTGATTATTTGCATTAATTGCACTGATTATTTGCATTAATTGTATTGATTAATTGCATTGATTAATAAGCCGCACATGTGTTAGGACTATCTGAATACAGCTCTGTATTCCTTTAATAGTAATCCCCATTGCTGCTCATGGCACACGCACTGTATGGGAGCTCACAGTAACAGGCAGGGACAGGCAGGGACACAGCTTACCCTCACACTAACCCAGGACACCGCACCTTATACCGGCAGGAGGGCGGCTACAGGACGTGCATGGTGCGGGGCTGCCATGGGGGGCGGGCGGGATGGAACTAACTGTCTGGACAGCTATGTCAACAACCCCACGCATTCACATGGAACGCACACACCTCGGGAAACCAGCCAGCCAATCACAGATAACCTATCAGGCGCCTCTGCAATCCGCCAACCAATCACTGCTCACTAATCAGACTCCTCTACAATCCGCCAACCAATCACAGCTCACTAATCAGACCCCGCTGCAATCCGCCAACCAATCACTGCTCACTAATCAGACTCCGCTGCAATCCGCCAACCAATCACTGCTCACTAATCAGACTCCTCTACAATCCGCCAACCAATCACTGCTCACTAATCAGACTCCTCTGCAATCCGCCAACCAATCACTGCTCACTAATCAGACCCCGCTGCAATCCGCCAACCAATCACTGCTCACTAATCATACGCTTTTGTAATCCGCCAACCAATCACTGCGCACTTCTCACGGGGCGACTGCAAAGCCAACCAACAAACAAACAACCAATGACCACGCACCACTCGCTGGCGACTGAAAGCCAGCTAACCAATCACCGCCCGCCTCTGTCACAGTGCTGCGCGGAGACCGCTGTATAGCATTGGACACACACTGAGCTGCCTTTGCGGCAATTGGTTGCGAGTGGATTACTTCCGGTAACAATGTACCCTCTGCTGTGGGCAAGATGGCGCCCACCGACCACAGGAGCGAGCTGCGGCGGCGGGCTGTCACCGTGCCAGGCGGGATCCTCCGCCCCAGCAGCCGGCAGATCATCGGACTCGGCCTCCCTGGGGCTGGTTCCAGCTTTCTCCCATTGGGGATTATTCAGACTGGAGCGAATTCACATTTATGGACAATCTGTTAATATTATTATTATATATCTCAAAATGTAAGAATAAATAAAAAATAAAGTGTTTAAAATATATATTACAATATTTAAATCGATTGAAAAGGGCACGATTTCGGTTAACCCCTTAAGGACACATGCCATGATTCCCTTTTATTCCAGAAGTTTGGTCCTTAAGGGGTTAAAGCTGCAGATCTGGAAACATTCACCGCCTGTTCCATAATCTCACCGAATATAAAAAGCCTAATTTACCTGCTACTAACCTGGCTCAGGCCTCTGCTCCCATTGGAAGTCCAGCCCCTGATATGGGGGTAGTCCTAATCATTCTAGCAGCCCACCCTTACCCTGAAGGCAGTGACCTGTGCTGGGAATACCACACCCCACCACAAGTACAATTATGGCAATGTCCCCTTGTTTTAGAGTGCAATACCATTTTGTTTATATTATGGGGATATGGCAGGGTATACCGATATGGTGGCGTGGCCCTTTGCCAAGAGTGAGCGTTATTATACTGATGATTTGTGTACACATCTCAGGCCATGCACATACTGTTAAAGTTCTCTGAGTAATCAGTTATTGGCACAAGCACCACTATGTACCATGAGTACAACAAAGACGATACCTTTTTCATACTGTTTGAAATTACGTATAACCTTACATTGCTAAACCTTGTAAAGTTGGGGTGTGTGTGTATATGTGTATATATATATATATATATAAATAAATAAATGAGATCCTGCACTCCATCAACTGCAAAGGAATTCCAATGCCCGGTGCTTGTCCAGCACAATATAGAAAGACAAATAAGATAGCACTCTCAGGACTGTATGGGAAAAATAAAACTTAACCTTTAATAGCTTAGTCCAAAAATCAACGTTTCAGTCTGTTAATACCAGACTTTCATCAGTATTAACAGACTGAAACGTTGATTTTTTTTTGGACTAAGCTATTAAAGGTTAAGTTTTATTTTTCCCATACAGTCCTGAGAGTGCTATCCTATTTGTCTTTTATCTCTATATCTCTATATATAAAAAAAAAGTCAGAGTCTAGAAGTCAGTTAAAAACTTTTATGTATGGAATATTTCACAAAAATCGAGAAAACAGTTCAACAAGCATAACAGATGTGAACAGTGTGTGTATATATATATTAATATATTCCTTCTACATGTAAGGTCTTTCCATATTACAATTAAGACGGCACAAAAATATTTTATTGATGACAAAATATGAATCTAACACTATCCAAAAATACAGACATTTCATTCCAGCATTATGCTTCCAATAAACATTTTGTAACACAGCATTTAACAGCTTTTCAAAGCAGAGACGTGTGGTTAGATATGAAAAATATATACTTAGCAATTTGTTTTCTGTGCAACGTATAGGATAACCAAGGGAACACAAATTGAGAATCTTACCATGTTAGATTAAAGGCGCTCTTTCAAAAGGGATTCTGTTATGCATTATATGGCAGTCACATTCATAGCAAATTGTCATATATATATACACACACACACATATGTCAAACATACAGTCTGCAAGCAGACTTTACAAATACTTCCTTTATCAACATAAGATAACATTCTTCTTGGCTAGTGCAATTACATATTGCTTTTCATTACGACATCATATAGGAGAGGTTAAACTAAACTATTTAAACCCTTTTATTATAACTCCGCTAGTCTTGACATATAACCCAAAGAGAATTAAGTATCAGTTTCGTCACGTAAAATTCTGTGTGCATGTCACTTGTGTCTGTAAAACAGTGCAAAACTATTTTATTTTTTTGTAAACATATAACAAAATTTTAGTACATTCATGTAATCACATATTGCTGCTCTTAACGATGTAAAATGTGATTATATTTTCTCTTATGCCTCAAAGTTCTAGATCTAAAGATCAGCAGTAACTCATGAAAGTGCAGCATCAAGGCAGAGGCCTGAATGTTAGGGTGCTTTTGGTGAAGAATTCTAGATACCATAAACCCAATGGGGTAACATTGGTGCACTTTACAAAAGGATAAAATAGGATTGAACATGAAGGCTGGTAAATTTACTCCCTCCCGATAGAGTTGACAGCTCCATCATGTTGTCCACTGACTTCATACCGCAAAACACCGCTTTTGTTGCACTGCCCAGAAGCAACAAAAAGGTTATGGCTAGGAAAGTCTGATGAGCTTGGCACCCCAACCTAACTGAACATTGCAGATTCAGACAGAGAAACTGGAAAGCCATCACATGCATTTTGAATTACCATATATATCCCTTATGTCTTGGTTCTAGCAGAGTTTTAAATCTACATAATTAAGAAAACTCAAAAGAAAACATAGTTGCTGTTATGTTGGTTTCACGACGAATGAAGGCAACATTCCAATATGGAGTTGTGTGCCTTCAAGATGTTGTCTTGGTATTCGTAGATAAGGCAGACGTGAAGGCCTCATAATAATGGTGAAGAATAGTGTCAGGTAATGGCTTTTGGGTATACCCAAAAATCTCTCACTGCAACTTTGTCATTTGAGTGTTTGTTTTTTCCCTATTAAAAAAGGAATACTCCAGGCACCATAACTACTTAATCTCAAAGTGATTATGGTGCAGAGTCCCCGAAAACAATCTTACATTCATGTACTACACCATTTCTATTGGTTTAATACTGAAGATGTCACCAGGTGCCAGTCTGCTGCCTCTCCTGTGTTCCACCTAAACATTAGCTTACTGAAGGGGTGTCAGTGGGAAAAGACTGTGGCCAAAAGCCATGTGATAATCTTTCATAAACCCATTTTTTGCCCTTGCACATGAACACACAGTCCTGTAGGCAACAAGTGGCTTCACATGCCACAGAATTTGAGATGTTAGGTGCATGTCAGGTAAAGATAACTCCCTTTCACCTCTGCAGGAGTTGCCTGTATGAGAGGGGCAAAAATGCAAATAACCCCCAATGCTTAGCTGTATGGATCCAGAAGTTGGAGTGTATATAATATATATTAAATAATCATTAAACTATTCCTTTAGATGTGCATTGTGTGCCTAGACTGTTCCTTTATATTAGAAATAAACTACTTTTACATTTTGAAAACAATTTCAATACTCAACAGTTTAAGATGTATATATAATTATATATATATTTTTGGTGCAACTTATATTTATAATGGTTTTAGTCTGCATACAACCAAACTACAAGGCACAACACGTCACTAGCTTAATCCAACCACCATTAACTTGACACACAAAGCCAAGTTACTTAGTGTGTGTGTATATATATATATATATATATATATATATATATATATACACACACACACACACTAGTGATCTGACTAACAATGCATACAATGACATTTTAGATCTTAAGAAACCTGGTCATTCATTGAAAATTAGTTGTGTATTATAACTAAATCACTGGATGGGCACCTGGAGTTGGCAAAAATCTTTAGCAGCACACAAAAGAAAAACTACAATTCCAGAGCGCTATTTAAGAATAAGAAGCCTACGGTTGTCCAGTCAGGTGCGATGTATAGAATTTTAGTTCGGTAGTGGATTCTCTACCGAAACCAGCATAGAGAATATATAATGCATGACTTCGTCAAATAAGATCCCTCCTGCATTTCCTAAGATCAAAACACCAATAAACGTGCCTCCAGCTTACAATGCAACAGTTCACCAACAGGTGGTCTTCTGATGACCCTAAGTGATTGTCTCACCTTAAGTGAAAACATCCAATAAGAAAATGTTACCAGAATCTAGATACTGCATGTTTAACAACTTAACATCTTAAATGACTTGATGCCAGCATTGGATCTAGGCAAGTAAAATATAAAGAAAACCCATAAAACCCATTCACTATACAATATAAAAGGTAGGAAATTAAAAAATTCACTTTATGATTAATTCCCTTTAATTTAAAGAAAGCATAATGATGGTCTTTTAGACTTGTAAATTCAAATATACTGTCATGTAATTTTCTTAGTATAGATTTATAGCAATGTGTTTCAACAGGTCTGCAAGTCAAACAGCATCTGTATTTGATTATCAATAGCACTGCAATATAGAATAAAAAGGGAGAAAATAAAACGTAGCCATTATAATGGGATGGATTCAAAATCTTCACAAATATCCAAGATTTCAGGGTTTTCTAAGTTTCCATGATAAAAGGTTTAGAGCAACTCAAATCCAGCCTTATAAAAGATGGGTCTTCGATATTTGTCTCATTAAAAATTACCTATGGACAACGCCTTATACTTTTAATGTTCATTCTTCAAAGTGTTCAAAAGTTTGATAGATACAAAAATTATTACACAGGGACTGTTTTATCTTTCCAGAGTGTTGGCGGTTATCAGAAATGCTTACTTCCCAACTTATGACTCATTTTTGAAGCAGCTACAAAATATTCACTCACAAAATACATGAACAGGAGAGCTTCTGTTGCAAATTACATTAGAAATCACAAAAATACACCCTGCCAGGTGGGTATAGCTGAAGGCAATGACAGACTTTTACAGTCACATGACATACCAAAGCGCTCTCTCTTGATCTTCAGATAAAGTGGCTGTCAGAATGCGTTCTTAGGACGGTTGCAATATGCATGTTTAAACTCACTCATGCTGCACTAGCAGTGGCATACAGGGTAATTGGGCTCATGCAAAAGCGCTTATAGTTCTGCAGACAGCCCATTTTTCTGGTTGGTTCCCCCCAGTAGATACATGACCCTTTAAGAATCTATTCATCCCCTCTCAGACCTGCCAAACCTAGACCAATATAACGTTAGCCATATATCCGCTAACGGATTGGGTATTGAATAGGTGCTCTTTAGTAAATTAACGGAATAAAATTTAGAATGAACTAGCAGCTTCCAAAATAAGTATAGGTATGTATATCAGACTGTGTATGGAAGTAAGTTTACATTCAACATTGCTCAATTTAAAAAAAAAAAAAAAAAAAACACTAGTTTTCTTTGTTCCATTTAGACAGTTTTGCGTGAAGATTTTGCTCTAAAAATATAATACACAAGCAATGTTTGTCACTGCCGCAAACATACAAACACTGGAGCCTTCAGCAGACCCCAGGTTAGCTGTCAAATCATATGGAAACAGTTTAAGTACTTGAGATGGGAGGGCACAAGGTCTTTCCTTGTACATTAACCATGTTTGTGCACTGTAGTGGTTAAGATACCTGGTGTAATTCTTAAAACAAATGAAACTGACAGAATGCAGCCTTCTTTGAAATAGCTGTCACTTTGCTGCTGCCACCTTCAGCTGATCAGGCAACACTTTTAGATGAAATTTATATCAAATGCATATAAAAGAAAGCCTGTATACTTTAGAAATATGGAGGATCCCTGGTGCAGTATAAAATGTGCATCTTAATATAAGTTGCATTTGATCCCCATACTAAATGCATTTTTGGTGTTCTTTCACAAATTGATCAGATTTATGCAAGGAAGCTTAAGTAATTAAATACTCTTGAAGTCTGGAAATGTACAACCATGCATTATTACAAAGCTGGTCACTGCAGACAATTAAAAAAGTTCTCTTAACAACCAAGACACATGTTTTGAAATACACAGTGCTAACATTCCAACGTGGAGCTAAAGAAAACTCATAAAATGTCAAAATAATGACACATCTCACACTCAAGTTTAAATCAAAGTTAGACTGACCTACACCAAAGCCACCTTCAAACAATTTAAGTTAGTCATGCATGTGTTTCAAATAATGAAAGACTGAATAGTAGAGCAGTTGAAACTTATAATTAAGCAACATATCCGGGGGGAGAAAATAAAAATAAAAATCTATATTTATACACAAAAACCATCCATATTGCATCTGACACTGCTTTCTGGCCATTAAAGGATTGGTCTGCAAAAGAATATTTATACATATAAATTGTGATCTCCATATAGATAGTTATATATTTCTCTTTTATAACTTTTTATATTTACATCTAGAAAATAAAAACTGAGACTGGCACACTCTGCAGCATTTTAAAGCAATAAAAAAAAAAAAAAGGGGGGCAATCTTTTCCTAAATCCAAAATAAACTGTCAGCAATCAGTGTTTGCTACAGAACTTCTATAAATATAAAATCAGACAAATTAAAGTCAATGATGTTTAAAGGAATGTAAATTACACAAACTAAAATAAAATTGTGCGTTTATTTTTTTTATTGCCTACAGTCTTTTCACACTTCACATAGGGAAGGGTGCAAAAGGCATTGCAGGAAAAACTTTAGGTCAATGCCCCATATTCTATTGGTTTCCATGGCACTTGCCTTTGTTGTTAGCGCCATTTTCATATATCTATCTATTTACCAAAGATTAATTCTAAAGCACTCAAAGCTTCTTTGACGGAGTTCATGCTTATATTAATGGAGCTTGATGAAAAACCCCTTCACAGGCTGTAAACAGGGTGTCATGGGGAGTGTGAGGGCTAAACCGAGAAAATTATAGACGTTTGACAAAGTAAACACACCCAAGATCATTAAACTTTAGGGGATCTGATATTAAAATTTGCATTGTTAAACAGTAGCACTATGTAGGGTTCAGAACCAAGACCTCTTGAAGCAGCAAGGTCTACACTCTTGAACAATAATTTTCCAGGCACAAGGATCATAGCAATACAAGCCCTGGGCATGGGATGGCACCCAACTCAGCTTAAACCCTTGCTCTGGTAGCAGCGAGGTTAATGAGACTTAGGTAATGAATTAGATCCCCTACATATCAATACTGCAATGGTAGGGGTGCGAGAGTGGTTCATTCTCATGAAATAGAACATTTAGGGATAGAAGTACAGTTATGTTAAGCTCCCAAATTTTTAGTTGTGGAACGGTCATTGGTTTTGTCTGATTTATATTTAAAAGGGTACAGTAGCAGAATTGTAATTATGCAGTTACGGTCTTTGTTTATATGGGACATTGGTAGGATTGCACCTTTAAGTAGGAGATCTGTTAATGCTTCTTCCTCTTAGGTTTTATGATAGAGTATACTCTAACTTTGGTAGACGTATAAACTTTGGATGGAACAATTTAAAGAATTTTTTTTTTTTAAAATACAGAGGTACCATTCTCAAAGTGCAACAAAGCCTCCAATGGAAGAGATGTTCTACTCAGCACAGTTTGGCCGTGCAAACCTGTCTGCCTCTGTGCTTCAATATGAAACTATCCAGAAGAATGACAAATGACAGGGATGATACAAAGAGAAAAGCTGAACATTAAAGTAGTAAAGACAAAGTTGATATCACAGTTCGATGTGAGTTGTGATCATTTCTTTCGCTCCTGGGTACAACGAGGGCAGAACCTGTAAAAGAGAGGATAATTTTAGCCCTTAAAGTAAAATGTGGGTTCTTCAGACAGCATAGAGGCCAAGACAAGGCCATCTCTCATAAACACCACAAGTTACAATGCAACCTAGGCCTCTATACGGGAGAGATCCCAATGACCTGTAAGACTATGTAAACTTGTGCAAGAAACTAGGGTTAGAATTCACATCTGACTGTTTAATCCCTTCTATGGTAATATCAATACAAAGCAAAAATGGTGTGGTGTATATAGATAAAAGTGCAAATAGAAATCTAGGTATAATACAAAAACAATACCTATCAATTTTCCATCAAGTGTTCCAGAATAACTATGAACATGTCAGGTCCGGATCCCTTCGAGTGGGGGAATAGAAACTGAATCCAGAAGTAGATGGCACCAAACTGGAGAAAATAGGAGTATGTAGTCTCTCAATGCCGACCGGTTTCGTCTCACTAGACTACCTCAAGGTAGAGCTCTCCAGTTTGGTGCCATCTACTTCTGGATTCTCTTTCAATTTCCCCACTCGAAGGGATCTGGACCCAGTACAGGAGGGTGGACTGAGGACTGAATCCGGTTGAATGTAGTAAGTAGCCGAGGGGGGGGAGAGGGGGAGAAAGAGAAAGAGGGAGAGGGGGAGAAAGAGAAAGAGGAGGAGAAAGAGAAAGAGGGGGGAGAGGGTAAAGAAAGAAGGGGGAGAGGGGGGAGAGAGAAAGAGGGGGCGAGAAAGATATAGATATCTCTCTAGAGGGGGGAGAGAGGGGGCGGGAAAGAGATAGAGATATATCACGGTTTTCAGATTTTACCGGGGTGTTGGTGTCCAGAGTGAACACTACTGTCATTTGTATGGTCATATCAAGTATTATGGGTGGTATATGGCATGTCCGGTTCATGAGTTTCAGTAAAATACATCTTCCCTCAGCCTTATTTGGACGACTTGTCAGTCTCCTTTCACCTTAACTTCTTATTTTAGACACTTATAAAAAACTGACTTTTATATCATATTCCACTTAACGTAATGCTAGAATGCAATCAATTTACAAATTTTAGCCTGTGTTTCCTGCTTAAAATTTTAAATATAGTGCACAGACTTAAATGAAATTGATAACTAAAATGTAGTAAATTACATGTATATTAAAAAAAATAAAAAATAAAAAAAGCCTTACCATTTTCCTTTCGGTTTGGTGGTGAGGTCCACACAAGCAAAATGGAACCACTCTATTGGACACTAAAAGACAAATATTTCTTTAAACTCAAATTCCAAATACTGTATCTTTGCATACTAGCATTAGCTATAAAACCCCAACATGACAAATGTAGGAGCAGACTCAAGACCACAACACCTCATGTAAAGCTGTATCTAGCATATCCTGCCCTAACCAGAAACAGGTTCCAACAAAGAATTATGGGATATGTAGTGCACTTCCTAGTCGCATTTTCACTCATCACAGTGAATCAGTGCAGCGTTATCCTGAGTCATTGTCAGTGTGCTTATGGCACAGGCTTGACACCTCTCCAAAGGGAGAGAGAGACATCTATCCTAGTAAAAAAAATAAAAAAAAATAAAAAAAAAAAATAGATTCCTTACTGTAGCTACAGTGTTCCCAAGTTTAAATTAAACTGCCACCAGTGTCATTTTGGTGTACTGGGGAAAATTACTTTAACTGCTCTCCACTGTCCCATTATCCCCTAGTTGCTTAACCTTCCAGGAGCCAGGTTCATGCTTATGCTAAACTGATGCTCTTGCAAAGTTGCAATGACATGGCATAGGTATCTATTGCATGAGATAATGTCTTTTCCAAGCAGTCACAACTCAGAATGGCTGATGGAAAGAGTATGGAGTGGCAGTGAAAGCTGCTTAAAGCTTTTCACTTTGCCACATATTTGCAAAAAAGTAGCATGCTTAATATGCTTAATATTAAAATAAGGCTTGATGGTCTGACAGGTATTCATTGTAGGTGTGGTGGTAGCTGTCCATTTTACAGGTAAAGAAAAATAAATAAAATCTTTAAAGTCCAGTTGAATTTCCATGTACATACAAGCTAGTAATTTATGGATAGAGAGAGATAGAGATAGATATATATATATATATTTTACCTAAAATAAGGCAAGAACTATCTGTTTAAAAAAAACAAACACACCTGTACAGACTTAAAGTGATAACAGAAGGTAAATGCAGGATTTATGCAGTTTCAGATAACAGGGTTTACAAAGTACAAACAAATCAATATGTTTATTAAACGACAATGTCCCATTTCAAATGTTGCATTAATTTTAGAGTTCAAATAAATAGAACACAGCAGCATCGCTAGATATATTCCATGCCGGTAGCCAGACAGCATTAGAAATAATAGGGTCCCCAATATTAAGGAGAAATAGTCCAGTTGCCTTACACACCACATGTTTAACCAGTAACCACAAATTCTGAAAAGGTTCGATTTCTTTAAGGGCCACTACAACCTTTTTCTCAATAGGAAAGGAACACTACCTAGTCTGTACAGCATGCACATGTTAAAGAAAATGCTTACATCTGGATTGTCACAGCCAATCATTTCTCCATAAGACACCTGGTGACATAGGCAGTATGTGGGCTCATTGGGATCTACTGGCATATCCAAGACATCTGAAGGATGCACAGTGAGCACTGCCTCTGAAAATACTGGCCTACAATGAACAGAAAAAAAAAAAAAGGAAAATGAATAGAGGTTTTACAAGATGCACATTCTGCAAGATGTATCATAGTACATGTATACAATTATGTAATTAGTGGATTGATATAAATAAGACAATCGCTTCTTTAAAAGCACACATTTGTTTTAGAAAAAAAAAAAAAAATACAAACATTACTACAAACTCTAGTAGGAATCAGAGACAGAATTGCCACATGGAAAGGGTTTCATTATAATATTTTAGAAACCATGGTTTGTCTCTTTATGCAGAGAATACTATTACAAAGTGCTTGAAGAGGTTTGAGATTTGAATTGGTGGTCTTATACACAACTAAGAGGCAGATCTAGTTCGAATAAATCATTGTCAACGCTCCATACAAGAAAATGAACGTATGTAGGTCCCTATATAGCTAAACATCAGGTACTCCCAAACATCAAGACAAATTAAATCTATTTTGGGGGAAGGAGTAGCTACATATAAATAAGCACAGGCAAAAACCGGTCTACATTTGTGTGCTACATTATGGAATTGATGCAAACAAAACTGACTACAGTATTCAACAAACTGAGAAAATGTTATAATATATATTAGTGATAGATATATTTATATTATTCGCATATATAAAAATGCTTGGAAAGGATTTCCACAGAGTGAGAATATAAAATAAAGCTATTCCCTACCCTCCTTTTAATTTCTTTTTCTTTACAGTGTCTTCTTCAGAAACCCTGCGTCCCCGGGAACCTCGTTTTTCTTTTTGACCACGATTTTCTGATGTAGGAAAAATATTGAGGGGATAGACAAATATTTATAATCGGAATAAATTAAATTTAAATCCATCTGTAAAGCACACACCTCAACATATGAAAAACATACTGTGGTCTTGAACACATAATAAAGTTCTGACAGCTACAGTTGCAAAAAAATAAAATAAAAAGTTTGTGTTTGGTTGTTTTTAACTTTCCCTATACATTAGCTCATGACAATGCTGAGTGGAGGCCAGATAGCCGGTTCCACCTAAAAGGAAATCTATCCCAATGCAGCTTTTACTTGAGGTAAACAAAAGCAAAAGACATTCCTAAACGTTAATTCACTGCCGCAAAAGCATTTCTACACTGCTAACACCAAATGCTTCGGTTATGAAACAATGAAGAATGCTAGAAGAGGAGCATGTCATGATTGCATTTGTTCATTTGCCAATAACTTTATAGCACGGACTCACTCTTTATTGTGCGTCCTGAGGAACTGTCAAACTCTGCCCCTTCCAGTTTTTCCTTTAAATCAGCTTCAAATCGTGCCAAGTCTGCATCCAGTCGACGTATGTGTTTGTCCACCTTTTAGTCAAAGGGCATGTAAAATAGTTACTCAAGGAGAGAGAAGAGAGAGAAGAAAGAAAAAAAAAACAAACACACATTTACTTTTTGACAACTTTTGCAACCATCTGATGCTTTTCAAAACCAGAAAGCACATTATTCTGAAAAGGTCAGTTACAAATGGATGCACTGAATGGGATAACCAATAATCTGACAGAAAGGTGAAGTGAGAAAGGCAGGTCAAGTGATTTCATAACCAAATTTCAAAATACAATAATACAATAAGTATTTTACAAGATTATATTTTTATTTTTAAGGACTTCTCCTTTAACATTTTAAACAAGCAAGTTGAGGCTTTGCGTTACACATGCATTAAAATCAAAGAACCAAACATATGATAACAGACTGCCCTTACCATCTCATAAGTCTGCATAGCCAGTTGCACCTTGTCATCACTGTACTCTTTGCATTTGCTGTAGGCATTCTGGATGCGCTGAAGATGCTGTACTCTTTGCTCTGGGGTGAAGTCCCGTACGTTTGCAATATACTCACTGGCCAATGTGTCTATTTCCTTCTTCTTATCTATTAGAAACAGAATAGAAATACGCTGTGAAGTGAGTCAATCTTCGCACCTTTCTGTTAAGCACTCATTCCTACAGTCTCACTGCCCAATAATCTGTTTAGGAGTTAAATTATTTTAGCAGACTTTGCAACACCTCCCCTAGCTCACACAACCACCCTACAAACTTCCTGAAAAAACCACAAACGAAAAAAAACACATCTGGAACCTTAAGTGCTTATGGTATGCAAGACCTTTGTTTCCAACTCTAAAAGCATCATTAATGTCAACTATGCTTAAAAAGGCTTTGCCAAATATGGTTGTGAAAACTTTTTTATTTTAAATTGAAAAACAAAAACCAGCATCACTGAGCTATGAATGGTACAGGACACTTACCCTCTGTCCTCTGGTCAAGATCACTCATCAGTTGGAAGTTTCTCTGGAGTTCACAGGGCAAGTTTTCTATACCTAGAAATAATTACATTAAAACATTCAAATAAAGAAAAACAACAAAACACAAGGACAGGGAGGGAAGATATCTGTTTCAGTCACCCTCTGTTTAGAACAGCTGATGAGAGAGACTAGCTAGGCAATAGGATGATAGAGTAGGACCTGGCAAGAATAGGGTACATTGATGTTGTAGCAAGCTTATGCAATGTATGATCATATACTGTAATCGAACTCATTTTTAAATAAAACTATTACATTCTGTGACATTTGAAATTGCGGTTTGGTGAATGTGCGAGTGCACTGGATCTGTATGGTATGTTGTATGAATTGGCCCAGCAGCACCGTATAATGTATACACGTTCAAGTGAGTGCAGCCTCTTAGTTTTATATTTATCCTATTAAGTCATTTAAAAAGAGTATCCAAAAATATAAAAATCTAGGCCCAAGATGAAATTTCAATGAAACGAGTACAGAAAAGTGACAGTACCAAGTTACCGCTCCCACGGTTAATGTCTGATGCATAGTAACCATCATTTCAAATGGCCAAAGAGGATGTACTTCATTATAGGATGTTTTGCTGGCAGTGAGAGACTAGTGAACTGAGATTCTATAAAGTAGATGTTTTGGTGGCTTACTGATAACCAATTTTACTTTATTATTACTATTGGCATTTACCTATGGCAATGTATTAGCTAGGGTTTTACAATGCATCTCTTTTTATCCCTTACTGTGGTATATTACCACAATAAGAGACAAACTACAAGTCTTAAAACTGTTCTATTATTTTCGGGTGTCTTTACATATTTTGCAAAAATCTCCAAAGTTGACATCTTTGGTTAGGATCCAGTAGAAGGTAGGTTACTCCCTCAAGCTGTCCCTTCCTGCCAGTCCATCTTCTTAGGCTTCTGCTGCCTTATTTGCCAGTAGGCCGATCAGTGCTCTACTTTTGATCATGCACAAGATTACAACACAGATCTATGTTTGAGCATACAAGAGCATCTGTAAATCATGTATCACAGGGAGCGAGACCATTCCTGAACCTCACAGCTGTCACTTGAGGCCACTGTTGGGATTAGACAACAGAACTCTGACTTTTCCCAACTTTAGGATTTACGATAAGACAAAAATAGTCTCTACCTTGTCTCAAAAATCTGTGAAATTCCACAGATTTATGAAATACTGAAAAATTATAGACATTTTTAACAGGAAACAAGTGATTATGGAGGACTTTGCCCTACCAAGTTTACAATCTATTCATGGTAAACTATAAGAGGGAAGGGCAAGAAACTTCTTGGGAGAGATATATATAGAACATATTGAAAGTAACACTCACCTACCAGCCACCTCTCCCTTAAAGGACCACTCTAGGCACCCAGACCACTTCAGCTTAACGAAGTGGTCTGGGTGCCAGGTCCAGCTAGGGTTAACCCATTTTTTCATAAACATAGCAGTTTCAGAGAAACTGCTATGTTTATTAATGGGTTAAGCCTTCCCCTAATCCTCTAGTGGCTGTCTCATTGACAGCCACTAGAGGCGCTTGCGTGCTTCTCGCTGTGATTTTCACAGTGAGAGCACGCCAGCGTCCATAGGAAAGCATTATGAATGCTTTCCTATGTGACCGGCTGAATGCGCGCGCAGCTCTTGCCGCGCGTGCGCATTCAGCCGACGGGGAGGAGAGAAAGAGGATCGGAGGAGGAGAGCTCTCCGCCCAGCGCTGGAAAAGGGTAAGTTTAACCCTTTTCCCCTTTCCAGAGCCGGGCGGGAGGGAGTCCCTGAGGGTGGGGGCACCCTCAGGGCACTATAGTGGTCCTTTAAAGGAACACTATAGTCACCTAAATTACTTTAGCTAAATAAAGCAGTTTTAGTGTATAGATCATTCCCCTGCAATGTCACTGTCATTTAGGAGTTAAATCACTTTGTTTCTGTTTATGCAGCCCTAGCCACACCTCCCCTGGCAATGATTGACAGAGCCTGCATGAAAAAAAAACTGGTTTCACTTTCAAACAGATGTAATTTACCTTAAATAATTGTATCTCAATCTCTAAATTGAACTTTAATCACATACAGGAAATAGCACGTCACAACAAGCTGCGTGTTTCTCAGAAAATAAGACCGAGTCTTATATTAATTTTAGTCACAAAAACCACACTAGGGCTTATTTTCAGGGTAGGGCTTAGAGCCAGTCTGTCAGCCGGTGTCCGCGCTGTGTAACCCCCCCAGAGACCCTCACCTCCCCCTCCCTGTAATATTCTCCCCTCCCTCCCTCCTTGTAATTCTCTCCCTCCTCCCTCCCTGTAATATTATCCCCCTCCCTCCCTGTAATACTCTCCCCTCCCTCCCTGTAATACTCTCCCCCCTCCATCCCTGTAATACTTTCCCCCCTCCACAACTAGAGTGGTCACAATCTATGACATTACAGGACTTCATGATATCAGTAGCCATGTCTAACTACAGCTCCAACCCTACACATAGAATGCGCCAGTTTACTGTTACAAACACTGCGAACAATAAAGTTTTTAAATCGAGAGCGAGCACGCAGCGTTACGTACATCCCTTACGTCATGACGCTCGGGCGAGGCACCGTAGGAGCGCGCCCGCTATCTGGTGACGCAGTTTTAATTACACGCTCGGCAGCCCCGTATTCAGGCCATTTAGCGGTGCTGGCTAATGGCGCCGCTATCCGCCCCGCCCGCCCGCTCCCTCAGGCTGACCCCACACTCACTGTCCAGGTAGTGCTCCAGGTACATCGCGGTCGCCATGTTCGCAGGGTCGGACCGTTTCCTCCTGCAGCTCTCAGTCCCGCTCAGCGGCTCGCTGGATTATTCATGAGCCGTGCGCTTCCGGCCTGGCCGATTGGCTGCCCGCCTCATTAATAAACATGAGCAGCAGTCTCCCGCGCTCGCTCTAGCCAGCCTAGACCAGACTGCGTAGCTCCGCCCACGTTTAGCGCCGCCCCGCGCCCTGATTGGCTGCCTAGACGCACGGACGAGCATTTTATTGGTGGAAATTTCAACCTTTGCAGCGGAACATGACTTACATGGAACGTTCGAAACACGTGATGGTTGAGCTACTTATTTTTTTTAACTACATTTCCCGTGGTGCTCAGCCAGGCTTGCGGATGGCAGAGCCTCACGGGACCTGTAGTTCGGTGAGTGCTTGTGTACCAAGTTAAGTCCTTGCTGCCCTAGTTTGGTTATGAAGTTGCAGCATAGCCAGCAGTATGAAGACTGCAGTCACTCTCCTTGTAATCAGATTAATCAGCACGTGGGCTGCCACTTCAGCTTTCCTGCTACTGCTGGCTTACTCCCTTCTCTTCATATTGTGCTAAAAAGAGAAGATCAGGCTCACTCTCTGCAGATGGTATTACTAGCAGGCTGCACGTGTCCTGGCTCACCATGAGCAGGTGGTTAACCCATTAAGGACACATGACATGTCATGATTCCCTTTTATTCCAGAAGTTTGGTCCTTAAGTGGTTAATATACCCAGGGAAACACCGTGGTCCAGAGATAGTTTAGCTCAGTTTAGCTACCAGTTCTGGTGTAAATGCACGGTGTATCCGGTGGGTTTTATTCAGAAAAAAGAGGACTGGTAGGGAGGGGAATGGATGCCTTTCAAGATTAGGTTTAGGAATGATTGTGTAATCCTGGTTAAAATGTTTCATTTGTAAGGAGACAGCGTTGTCTTTATGATCTAGGCTTGATAGGCCAGGCCATGCTTTTAGCCCTCGTGTATGATTAGTTTCAGATTGGCTGGCTGACAGTGTGTGCAGTGGAGTCCATTGAATGTGGCCACAGGGTAAAGGCCATGTGATGTTACTACAGTCATGGGACAGGAGGTCACATGATACCAGTTGCTCCTGGAAGTAAAAGGCAGGAAAAGGAATCTCTGGGAGTGAGTTGAGTCTGCCAATCTGTCACGGACTTTATGGAGCTTGGGCTCCTGGGGAAAACTTAACAGTTTTCAGGCTGACTGTAAATATTTATAAGCACCATGACCGCTGTGGTGATTTGAAGTGGTCATGGTACTTGAAATCTGTATATGCATGTGTTTCACTATGACACAAGTTTAACACCTTCTGCTGCTGGAGGTGTTAGTTCATGTATGGCAGTGTACTATCACGGCCAAGACAATATATCAGTCTGGAAATATGTTAATTCTGTTCATATTTCATTCATTGGCTGAGAGAAGAAGCCAGATACAGCTAATCAGATCTCCAAAGACCCATGGTGACACCTCACCTCATAGTCACTTCAGTGTGCTGTAGTGGTTATGAAGGTTGTGTCATTTTGTTTACTCTGCAACACAGTTGATTTAAAGGATCACTATAGTGTCAGGAAAATAAATCGGTTTTCCTGACACTATAGTACCCTGAGGGTGCCCCCACCCTCAGGGTCCCCCTCCTGTGGTGCTGAAGGGGTTAAAACTCCTTCAGTTACTCACCTTATTCCACCGCAGGGCTCCCTTACCTCTCCTCCCACACAGACGTCAGCGGAACGGAATGTGCATGGGTGGCAGTGCCGCGCGCGCACGTATTCAAAGTGTCCATAGGAAAGCATTTGTCAATGCTTTCCTATGGGCGCACTGCGTGATGGAGGCATAAGACAGCCACTAGAGGCTGGCTTAACCCCAAATGTAAACATAGCAGTTTCTCTGAAACTGCTATGTTTACAGCAGGCAGGGTTAACCCTAGAGGGACCTGGCATCCAGACCACTTAAAGGACCACTATAGTGCCAGGAAAACATACTCGTTTTCCTGGCACTATAGTGCCCTGAGGGTGCCCCCACCCTCAGGGACCCCCTCCCGCCCGGCTCTGGAAGGGGGAAAGGGGTAAAAACTTACCTTTTTCCAGCGCTGGGCGGAGAGCTCTCCGCCTCCGTTACGCCCCGCCGGCTGAATGCGCACGCGCGGCAAGAGCTGCGCGCGCATTCAGCCGGTCTCATAGGAAAGCATTTACAATGCTTTCCTATGGACGCTGGCGTGCTCTCACTGTGATTTTCACAGTGAGAAGCACGCAAGCGCCTCTAGTGGCTGTCAATGAGACAGCTACTAGAGGATTAGGGGGAAGGCTTAACCCATTCATAATTATAGCAGTTTCTCTGAAACTGCTATAATTATGAAAAAATGGGTTAAGCCTAGAAGGACCTGGCACCCAGACCACTTCATTAAGCTGAAGTGGTCTGGGTGCCTAGAGTGGTCCTTTAATTGAGCTGAAGTGGTCTGGGTGACTATAGTGTACCTTTTAAAAAAAAAAAAAGTGTGTATAAACAACTCAAACAAAGATACTATAGGGACAAATACTTCATATCTTCAGAGAAACTGCAATAATTACATTGCATGGTTAACTCCACCTAGAGAGGTGCTTCCTGACCTTTGACAGAGTTTAAAGGAGGATGTTCAGTGTCTTCAAATCCCCTTATAGGAAGCATTGATTCAATGCTTTCTTATGGGGAAGGCCCATGTAAATGCTGTGTTTGCCGAGCATGCACATTCGGTTTCCACATCGGTGAGGCTTCAAGGGATGAGATTGAGCTGAAATGATGCAAATGTTAAAAGGCTGTTTTAACCATTCAAACACGGGTGCAGACCTTTAGGTATTAGCAGAAGGACATTGTTATTTTATTATTTATATAGCGCCAGCAAATTCCGTAGCGCTGTACAATGGGTGGAGTAACAGACACGTAATTGGAACTGATACCGGAGAAACTGACGGAAGCAAAGCACAGAGGGATGGACACAGGTTTCTTCAGGAAGGAAGAGATTCTTTATTGGATCACCGATCGGGACTCAGAGGGACTAATGTCACCAAAAATACAGCAAGTTCTGAGCCCTGAACAATAGTGCAGGCTCCCTATATAGGCACATAACTCCTCCCATATTAAGCTCCACCCGCACATTCTCTTGACCAATCATTACAAATAAGAATTAACTTCCTGCTTGACCGCATGGCTTGTCCAGCACAATGGAGGAGGGGAATACTACATCCTGTATTCTTGCACATGCTCCGTACACTACTGATCGTATCTTGCCTCGTGCAACCAACTGATCGATACGTCAGCATATGCACGTACACATGCCACGTGGTAATCTCGGCCTACTAAATTTATTTTTACCGAGATTCCACCACATTCCCCCCTTTGATGCCTCTTGATATTTTACAATTACTTGAGGCATCACTTAACCTTGGTTTGTATACACCACAAGTTACCTTTGAACCAGACCAGACTTATCCTACGATGTGAATCTTCAACACTCGTCTTCCTGCATTGGTTCTCCCTGATCTAGAGCCTTATATTTATAAATTGCCATTATCTGTGCAGCAGCCTTCCTCTCTGCTATATTTTCTATCAGGCTTTGCACAGACCTAACTACTAAGGGTATAAGACACGGCAGGAGTAGACACAACATTAAAATCAGTAGGACTCCACCTACCACTGCCTTAAGCCCTCCAAACCACTCATACCAGCTACCAAACCAACTACTTGGATTGTACCCTTTCCATACCTGAGTAGGTACATGCGCTAGTTTAACCATATGGCTAGTAAGCTCAGCTATTGCTTGCCCTTCGTCATCTATTTGAAGACAGCAATTGCTCAGGTTAAACTTCCCACATACACCTCCCTCTACTGCCAAAAGATAATCCAAGGCTAATCTATTTTGGTAAACTGCTGTCCTCATCCTGGTATTATGCTTCGCTAGAAGATTGAGCGCTTGTGATGTCTCGTTAGTAATGATCTCAACCACCGCCTGTAACCTTATAATGCGGTTGAGCATATAAATAGGGGTTCTATAACCAAAGGTACCATCCTCTGCCCACGTGGCTGGCCCATAATAATCTATAATACGCTGGGGAGGCCATTCATTATCTTCCCAGGCACCTATCTCTATGGGTCCCCTTTTCTTCCTATGATTCACATCATACACTTTAACACCTAAAGTCTCACCTGTTTCAATAGGCAACAAGAAGAAGGATGGTTTTAACATACCCAACACACATGCCCCTTCCCAGTCCTGTGGTAACTCCGAATAGGCCTTCTTACCACAGATCCAGTACAAATTCGCTGGGGCTCTCCAGTTAGATGTGATGGATAGATCAAACCATACGGCCTTTAAATTGGCATATCTTGCAAACGGGTTAGATGGTTCTGAGACATTTGAAGCCGACCACCAAGTTGTATTCTTTGTATCATCATCATAAGCTTTTTGCCCTAGACAAGTTAATTCTCCTACAGAAGTATTATACATCATTCCTTTCCTCGCTATGCAAACATAACCTATGATAGAGGTCTTCAATCTCCACTCAGATTTACCTCTAACACTCATATGATAGTCGGCTTGTGTAGATATTAATTGGTCAACTGCCTCAGAACCGGACATTACCTCTTTTGCTTCCCAAGGCCATTGGTCTCCCATGTTAGTACCTCCACACACATAGCAGTTGGTAACATTAAGACTACCGGCAATACTCTCGGCTAAATCAATGAACAAGTTTTTAGCATTATGGGGATCTTATTATCTATGCTCATCTCTTCATAAAAGGAATGGTATACTTGATGAGTTTGGGAGGTTACCGTATCAGTCTCTATCCCTATAAACAATATTGTCCCAGGGTCTAAACCCGTCCCCTATATTTGAAACCCAAATAAATTACCATATTTATCTAAGAACTTGTCAGGGTTATTTATAAGTATATGGATTGGATTGCATTCCATAGACTTACAATATGGATTAGTAGGCAATTTAGTCACAATCATGTCCTTGTCTGCTGTCTGTCCCCAAGTCGCCCACCCCACACAAGACCAATATGGGCAGAAGTTATAATCTCTGTTTGGGCATCTTGGACTTACATATTTATTTTTACTACTGGGACAAATATATTTATCGTTAGACCCATACGTCCTCTCCCATCTAAGATCCCCACATACATTCCACGA